CTGTAGCCTCATAAAAAGCATTTGGCAATGTTCCTTCTGTTTCTATGGTTTGGAACAAATTGAAAAGCATTGATATTAGCTCTTCTTTGAAATTCTGATAGAATTCTGTACTTAAACCAACTGGCCTTGGGCCTTTTTTAGTTGGGAGATTTTTAATGACTGTTTCTATTTTCTTAGGGGTCATAGGTCTATTTAAATTGCTTATTTTGTATTTATTTAATTTTGGTATGTGGTACCTATCAAGAAAATTGTCCATTTCTTTTAGATTTTCCAATTTTGAGGAGTACAGGTTTTTGAAGTATGACTTAATGATTCTCTGGATCCTCAGTGTGTGTTATTATATGCCCCTTTTTCATTTCTGATTTTGTTAATTTTAATATTATCTCTCTGCCTTTTGGTTAGTTTGGATAAAGATTTGTCTATCTTATTGATTTTCTTAAAGAACCAACTCTTTTTTTTCATTGATTCTTTGTACTGTTCTCTTTGTTTCTAATTTATTGATTTCAGCCTGGAGTTTGATTATTTCCCGCTGTCTACTCCTCCTGAGTGAATTTGCTTCTTTTTGTTCTAGAGCTTTCAGGTGTGCTATCAAGTTGCTAGTGTGGGATTTCTCCAACTTCTTTATGTAGGCACTTAGTGCTATGAACTTTCCTCTTAGCACTGCTTTCATAGTGTCCCATAGGTTTGAGTATCTTGTGGATTTATTTTCATTGAATTCTAGGAAGTCTTTAATTTCTTTCTTTATTTCTTCCTTGATCCAATGGTGATTCAGTTGAGAGTTGTTCAGTTTCCATGAGTTTGTAGGCTTTTTGTAGTTTGTGTTGTTGAACTCTAATTTTAACCCATGGTGATTCAATAAGATACAAGGGGTTATTCCAATTTTTTTGTATCTGTTGATATTTGCTTTATGACCAAGTATGTGGTCAATTTTAAAGAAGGTTCTATGAGGTGCTGAGAAGAAGGTGTGTTCTTTTGTGTTTGGGTTAAATGTTCTGTAGATGTCTATTAAGTTATTTGAACCATAACATTGAGTTCCCTACTTCTCTGTTAAATTTCTGTCTGGCAGACCTGTCCATTGGTGAAAGAGGGATGTTGGACCTCCCACTATTAATGTGTGGGGTTTGATGTGTGGTTTAAGCTTTAGTAATGTTTCTTTTACATATGTGAGTGTCCTTTTATTTGGGGCATAGATGTTTAGAATTGAGGCTTCATTGTGATGAATATTTCATTTGATGAATATGAAATATTCTTCTCTATCTCTTTTGATTTAATTTTAGTTTGAAGTCTATTTTGTTGGTTATTAGGATAGCTACACCAGCTTGCTTCTTAGGTACATTTGATTGGAAAATCTTTTCCCAACCCTTTACTCTGAGGTAATGTCTGTCTTTGAAGTTGAGGTGTGTTTCTTACATGCAGCAGGAGGATGGATCCTGTTTTTATATCCATTCTGTTAGCCTGTGTCTTTTTTATTGGCGAATTGAGTCCATTGGTATTAAGAGATGTTAATGACCAGTGATTATTAATTCCTGTTGTTTTTCAGTTTTGGTGGTGGTGATGGTAGTGTGTGTGTTTCTCTTCTTTAGGTTTTGCTGATGTGGGATTATCTATTGTCTGGTTTTGTGGGTGTAGCTAGCTTCCTTGGGTTGGAGTTTTCCTTCTAGTACTTTCTGTAGGGATGGATTTGTGGTTAGGTATTGTTTAAATCTAGTTTTGTCATGAAATATCTTGTTTTCTCCATCTATGGTGATTGAAAGTTTTGTTGGATATGGTAGTCTGGACTGGCATCCATGGTCTTTAGCATCTGCAAAACATCTTTCCAGAACCTTCTGGCTTTTAGAGTCTCCATTGAGAAGTCAGGTGTAATTTTGATAGATCTGCCTTTGTATGTTACTTGGCCTTTTTTCCTTTGCAACTCTTAATATTCTTTCTTATTTTGTATGTTTAGTGTTTTGATTATTATGTGGCAAGGGGACTTTTGCTGTTGTTGTTCAGTCCATTTGGTGTTCTGTAAGCTTCTTGTACCTTTATAGGCATGTCCTTCTTTAGGTTGGGAGAGTTTTCTTCTATGATTTTATTGAACATGATTTCTGTGCCTTTGAGCGGGGATTCTTCTCCATCTTCTATTCCTGTTATTCTTAGGTTTATTCCTGTTATTCCTGTTATCTTAGGTCTTTTCATGGTGTCCCAGATTTCCTGGATGTTTTGTGTTAGGAATTTATTGGATTTAACATTTTCTTTGACTGATGAATCTATTTCCTCTGTCATATCTTCAATGCCTGAGGTTCTCTTTTCCTTTTCCTGTATTCTGTTGGTGATGCTTGCATCTGTCATTTCTGTTTGCCTCCTCAGATTTTCCATTTCCAGAATTCTCTCAGTTTGTGCTTTCTTTATTGTTTCTATTTCAATTTTCAAGTCTTGAACCATTTCATTCACCAGTTTGATTGTTTTTTCTTGTCTTTCTTTAAGGGACTTTTTGATTTCCAATTTTTGTTTGTCTTTTTCTTGATTTCTTTAAGGGAAGTTTTCATTTCCTTTTTAAGGGCCTCTATCATGCTCATAAAGTTATTTTTAAGGTCGTTTTCTTGTGTTTCAGCTGCCTTGGAATATTTAGGTGTTGCTGTTGTAAGATCACTGGGTTCTGGTGGTGCCATATTGTTCTTTCAGTTGTTGAATGTATTCTTACACTGGCATTTACTCATCTGTTCTTCCAACTGGTGTGGTTTGCATCTGTGCCTGTGTAGTCATCTGGGGTTACAGGGGAGGGTGGGCCATGGAGAAGATGTTCAGGTACATGGATTTGGGTGGCAGAGTGGGTCTTGGAGGGACAGAGTCCAGAAGATGGCAGGGGTGGTAGTACAGCCTAGAGGCAGGTCTCTCACCTGCTTGAAGGCTGGTGGAGACTGCACCAGAGCAGTGGAGTTCCACCAGAGTTGGGAGCAGGGCCCAGGTACCTTGCTGGTGCTGGGATAGGACAGGGAAGGGCACAGGATGTGCCCTGAGGTTTAGGGTCTGGACTCTGGGGAAGTCCAGCTGGGAGACCAGTCACTGACCTGTTTTTCCAACTGGTGTGGTTTGTGCCTGTGCATATATGTAGCCTGCTGGGGTTGCAGGGAGGGCTGACTATGGGGAGGGTGTTTAGGTGCATGGGATTGGGCAGTGGAGTGGGTCTTGGATGGCCAGAGTCCAGTGGGTGGCAGAGGCAGTTGTGCAGCCTGAAGGCAGCTCTCTCACCCGCTTACAGGCTGGTGAGGACTGCCAAATTAACACATTGTAAAACATCTTACTCAGTGTCTGTCATGTGGCTGGCACTTAACAGGCAGCAGCTATTACCAGTTTGCCCGCACAGATTGGAATAGAGTGAACACAACAAGAAAGCAGGAGTGACCTGCAGCAGCTCCTCTTCCGAGGCAGCTCCTCTCGCTGAGGCAGATAGCTGGATGTGTGTCATTTTCGACAACAAACACCGCTTCCCCTTCTCCCTTCTCTTCTCTGAATCCACATTGTGCTTTTACTTTAGAAATTATAAGTTTTAAAAGTAAAAAGTCTGTAAAACTCTCCTCCTGAATTTGTGTCACACATACACATGCCTACATGTATGTGTACACACACACACACACACACACACACACACACATTTGTAACTAGGAATATTTTTTAAAGCTTACTTTGACAACTTTTTTTGCATTTATCCTTTTATTTTTGTGTGCCACGGTGTACATGTGAAGGATAGAGGACAGCTTCCTGGACTGATTCTCTTATGCCGCCATGTACTTTCCAAGAATTGAACTCAGTCCATCAGGCTTGGCAGCAAGCACTCTTACTGACTGAACCCCCTCACTGGCCTGACACATTTTTTTATAAAAGTGTCTACCCAGGTGTGGTGGCGCACACCTTTAATCCCAGCACTCAAGAGGCAGAGGCAGGTGGATCTCTGAGTTCGAGGCCAGCCTGGCCTATAGAGTGAGTTCCAGGACAGCCAGGACTACACAGAGAAACCCTGTTTTGAAAGACCAAAACAACAATAAAAAAATCTATATATCTATATATCTCTATATATAGATATATAAACTGGGTAAGATTATAATGCCTGTAATCCCTGCACTTAGGAGGCAAAGGTAGGGGGATAATGAGTTTTAATCTAGCCTGGGCTACATGAGACCTATCTCAAAAAAAAAAAATAAAGTATATGCACCATTATAGATATTGTTATAAAAATAGCTTTAAAAAACCAAATTAATAATTATGAAGTTTGTATTATAGACATAAGATTATATCATCTCCCAATTAATGGCTGCAAAGTATACTTTTATACAAACAATGTTTTATTTATTTTGCATATTTGTTTGTTTGTTTGTTGATACAGGATCTCACACTATAACCCAGGATTCACTATGTAGACCAGGCTGGCTTCACACTCCTTCTGTCTCAGCCTTCTGAGTGCTGGGATTGCAGGCATGAACCACCATACATGGCACAAATAATATCTAGTTAATGGCTGAATATAGAAATAATTTTCAATTTGGGGCGACAAAGCCATGCTGAATAGAACACTTGCCTGACTGGTTTCTTCAGATCCATTTAGCTAAAAAAGGATGTATACTTTCTCTTAGTTTAAAATGCATTTTGCTAAATTTCTATTCTAGAAATTATACCACTTACTAGCCTTGCCAGATGCATCCAAGCAGTCTCATTTCTCTATGTGGTTAATGCAAGGTTTTATTTTCACCTAGACTAGCCTAGACCTAGTTAATTGTTGTGATACATATTTTAATAGGTTCAATTTTATTTTTAACACATAATGAAATAAATAGATGATTAGATAAAAACTATCAGTTTGCAAGTACTAAAATTTACCATGAGGTTGAACAGTTCCCCTTCATATATACTGTCTTCATATTTATATTTTGTGAAGTGCCTCTATGTATGCTGTGATGGCTCAAATTTTTCCTTTTACTTACACTTATAATTTTCTTTCAGTTACTAATATTCTTCTATTTCAGGTTATGGACTATAACATTAACTTGGGCAAACACCTTCTCCCCCTCGTGGTCCAGGTGCTCAAATACTGCTCTTGTCCTCAACTACGGCATTATTTCCAACAGCCACCTCGCTGCTCCCTCTGGTCCTTAAAGCCTCACATCAGGCAGATGTGGTTGAAGGCCTTGCTCGTCATCCTTTACAAGGTGAGTGGCTGTGCTTCCTCTGCTGGGATGGAAGGTTGTTTTGAGAGTACAGTGCTAGGAGGGTCCCTAACGGATGAGGATTCCATGAGATAAAAAATTTGACCTTCAGAAGAAATGTAATCAGTGCTGAGAGGCCAAGAGTTATTAGAATGGAAAAGAAACAGGAGGGAATGCCAATGTAGGATTTCAAAAATGTTTTTAAAAATAGTCATTAACTTCTATGCTCAGAATCTCATATTTTATCTAAGTATTGATTAGTTTTCAGAAAATAAAGATGATACTTAAAATTATAGTTATCTAATAGCAATGCCCGTGTTCTCTGAGGCATCTGCTATGGTCTAGCCAATGTTGCTGTCAGTGGTTTGGTGCAAGGAGAGGCAGGGACCCTAAAAGACAAGCTTCTGATCAGAACCTATGTTGTTACTTTTGTGTGTGTTTTTCTAGTGCATGAGAAATATAAGGAAACTACCAGTAAGATCCCTGGGAAAACTTATCCTTTGGAATAACCACTTGTATTTTCTCCCCATTGGACAGTATCCCTACCGAGACTGTGATGTCAGCAAGATCCTGCTACACCTGATTCACATAACAGTCAATACACTCAATGCGCAGTACCATAGCTGCAAGCCCCATGCCACGGCAGGACGCTGTACAGTGACAACAGCAACATAAGCAGATACAGCGAGAAAGAAAAAGGTACTTCTCCAGACAGAACTCTGTCCTGAACTTAGCTGGGATACAGGATGCTCTTCCAGACAGCAGCCTTTACATTGTCTAAGGAGGTAGAGGAGCACTCCTATATATTCTTACGAAGCCAAAACCGTCACTGCCTATTTGGTTAATTGTTCAATAATCTCAAGAATGTTGCTGCTTTCACTTTTTGAATTGAGTGTGCAGGAGAAACAGTTGGCATACTTCTGAGATTCAAAATAATAATAATATTAGGTATGCTATTTTCTGCCATCTGATTAATAAGCTGTCATAGCCTCCTATTACAGGCTGGAAACATCTTGCCTTGGGGCTATGACCTGTCTGGGTTGGCAGTCAGTGGAACCATCACTTGAGTGTCTCTAGTTTGCCCTTGAACTTCATGCTCACAGATTTTGAATTCAGTCTCAATTTTCTGAAGTGCCTTTTCTGAGCCTTATTATTCAGTATGAAGTGATTGCAGGTGATGGACGTGAAGAAGCTTTTGTGTATAGGTTTGAACTATTTTCGGTGTGAATGCCTTTTTCATTGATAGCTTTTCCTCAAAGGCAACCGTAGAACGAAATGCTAAATTGAGTGAAATTACAGGTAAAAGATGAAGAGCCAAGGTTTGTATCTTTGATAAATGTCACAGTGTAACTAGAATTATAAATGATGCCATCATTGAATCAAATCGTGGGAGAAAACCAAGTGCCCGTTGACCCTGTAGTGTTAGAGCAGCTGGGACTGGTAGGGCGACCACAGGAAGGAGCTTGGCTAGTGGCTGGTGATCCGTTGTTTATTACTGTGAGTCCCAAGGCACTTGGCTGGCTTCAGATGAAGCAGAGGACCAGCTAGGATTCTGGGACCATTCACTTCCTTCTTGAAGAATGTGGTGTTTGTCAGCTTAGGTCTCTGGAAAATTCCGTAGACTCATTTAAGCTATGGCGTTTTCAGTGTGCTTAGTGTCTGGACAGGCCCAACCTCAGATGGCTTTCTGGGTAGAAGGGACAGTTCATTGTCCTCTCATCTCTAACATACAACACAGTATATTTTGAGAGTTATTCCAGAATTATGAATGCAAGTCGCTATTGCCATTTGCTTAGAAAACTAGTTTCTAAAAGGTATTTTTTTTCTAAAACAGAAACTAAATAGGTCATGTTAATGCATTTCCCCAGAAACATGGGAATTTGATGGAATGCCTTATCTTTGTGTATGCACACATGGAGCTTTGTATCCATTTTGATTGTTAATGTTTTTTATTTGATTAAACAGATTTCTGTGGTGACATCAACTAACGGTTTCATTCACTGTTAGACTCTTGTACGTTAGGATGAGATTGGTCTATACACTTTAGGGCTGACAGTTTTTCTAGACTCAAGAAATCAAGACTCAGTGTCACCATTGTCACACCTGGGTCGTGTCTTGTCACATGTAGGTATCCATGAAGCTCAAACATTACAGTTCCAGGGATACTCACCTCAGACAGCAGGCAATTTCATGTTCTGTGCTGTGAAGTGCCTTTCACTGTCCTTTCTCCCACTGCTTTTATGTGCCTTCTCCTTTTGAAAGGAAGAGAGAGGAAACGTGGGGAAGTAAACACGAGGGTTTGTAGCAGAATGGTTCTTTCTTCACTTATATGTTACTTGGATTATTTTGACTTAAGCGCAGCCAAGTTGGGATAGGAGAAAGGACCTGTAAGCAAACTTAGACACTAAGCAACCAACTTGGCTATGGAGTCCAGGATCACAAGAGCCAAAGGTTCTCCCCACCCCCACCCAGGATCCATACCATCTATTACAGATGCACAGTAAATGCCTCAGAGAAGAGTCTTCTTATAATAGGAAGAAATGGGATTTTCTGTTTGATTTTTCCTTTGTTTACTCTTTCAGTTCATAATCATCCGTGGAGCTTCTGAGATGACAAGTGCCTTCTCTAAGCTTTCTCTGTGTGTTGTGTGTTTCATTACCAAGTGTAGAGTACAGTATTTTGCATTCACAAAGTATAAGGTGCATGTACTGTTAGGCTGTGTCTATGCCAGTTCCCAGATCCCAAGAAGGCATATAATTTTAGAAAGGTCAAGCCCCATTCATGTTAGTGTCCTTGTTGTCAAATTAGCCTGAAAATAACAGACAAATTCAAGCAATGTCCAGAATCCTGGATAGAGTGCTGACATCTGCATATCATTTGGTTTTAAGAGTAATGGGCATATTACTCAAGGAAGGCTCTTGTGAACCACTGAGATGCTTCTCACAATGCTGCCCTCTGTCATTCAGAAGATGATGGGCAGCTTTGTAACCGGTTGCTTGCTTTAGATCTGGATGATCTGGATGGAGTATAGACCCACAGCTAAACTCTGCTGGTGCAGAAAGCACTTAGACTGCTCGAGAATGCTTTCACTGAATGCTTGTGTAGACACAGCCTAAGAGAGAGTAACCTCCTAAGTGTAATTTTGACTTTTTCTCCCCAATTAGAAGAAGATAGTGTTTTTGATGAATCTGATATTCATGATACACCTACTGGACCCTGCAATAAAGAGTCTCAAACTTTTTTTGCAAGATTGAAAAGGATAGGCGGCAGCAAAATGGTGAAATACCAGCCGGTTGAAATGAATGCTCAGAGAAGTATGAATTTTTCCTCTTAGTAGTTTTATGCAGAAATGTTGTACTCTACCATTTGTTTGGGGTGAAATCTTAATTTTATTATGTTACCATATATTTTGATATTGTTGATTTTATATATATGTATGCACAAACAGTATATATATACACACATTTATATATATATACGTGAGTTGACAGATATGTCATTAATGTCATGATTGTCTTCAAGGGCCATTGCTTGATTTGATTTGTTGCAAAATGTTTGCTTCTCTTCCACACAATTTGAATACAAGTTCCTAGACCTGCCTCAGCCAAAACCAAAACGAAATAAACAAAACAAACAAACAAACCCCTCTCTTATGTTTAATGACTATCCGAGCTGAGGAGCTACCTCCAAGCTTGATTTTTTGTAAATCCTATCTTAAACCATTGCTTGGGTTTCTTTTGTACCCAACTTTCCCAGTTCTTGAAATCAGAATAAATCTTATAAAAACATGGCCAGAAAGTCAGTTTTCCCTTCTGGTAGAGCTGGGATTATAATTACGATTTGTGCCAATTGTGTACCCAAGTATGAGGGGAAAATGGTAAACTCTGAGGGAAATAGTACTAGCTCTTTCTGTTTTAATCAGGTGAAATAGAACTGGCTGAATATAGAGAATCGGGTGCGTTACAAGACAGCGTTCTGCACTGTGTGAGAGAAGAAAGCATTCAGAAAAAAAAGCTACGCTCTTTAAAACAAAAATCTCTTGATATAGGGAATGCAGACTCCCTCTTGTTCACATTAGATGAGCATCGTAGGAAGTCCTGCATAGATCGGTGTGACATAGATAAGCCTCCTGCCCAAGCTGCCTGTATCACACAGCGGCAAAATGACCACCACGGACGGTCTAGACAGAATTCTGCCACGAGGCCGGACAATACTGAAATCCCCAAGAATCCATCGAGTGAAGGTTTTCAAGAAACACGAAGGCCTGTGATACCAGAAGTTAGGTTGAACTGCATGGAGACATTCGAAGTGAGAGTTGACTCCCCGGGAAAACCTGCTCCTAAAGAGGATTTAGATCTCATAGATTTGTCCTCAGATTCAACGTCTGGGCCAGAGAAACGCTCTATACTCTCAACATCGGACAGTGACTCTCTTGTATTTGAGCCCCTCCCGCCTCTCAGAATAGTAGAAAGTGATGAAGAGGAAGAGATGATGAACCAAGGGAATGATAGTCCCTTGGTTAAGAATGCTGCCTCCTCGCCCTCCTTCCCCAGCCAGCCCTCGGTCCTCAGCCTAAGCACCACCCCGCTTGTGCAGGTGAGTGTGGAGGACTGTTCCAAAGACTTCTCTTCTAAGGACTCAGGAAACCACCAGTCAGCAGGAAATGGAGACTCTACGGTCACGGCTCTAGACGATCTCACAGACTCGGAAGAGCTGTCCAAGTCAGAGGAGCTGAGGGAGTTTCCCTCTGGCAGTCCGCTAACGCTTAAGCAAAAACGAGACCTCCTCCAGAAGTCATCCGCTGTCCCTGAGATGTCAGTGGACTACAGCCCTGACCTTGGCCCAGCTGAGGAAAAGGCAGGGCAGACACCAACATCAGGGACCAAAACTGTACTCCTCAAAGTTCCTGAAGATGCCGAGAATCCGATAGAAATCGAAAAGCCCAACACCAGTGCTGAGTCCGATACGGAACAGAACCCTGAAAAGAAGGTGGAGGAGGATGGGGCTGAGGAATCAGAATTTAAGATTCAGATTGTCCCCAGGCAGAGGAAACAAAGGAAGATTGCTGTCAGCGCTATCCAGAGAGAGTACCTCGACATCTCCTTCAACATTCTAGACAAACTGGGTGACCAGAAGGACCCAGGTAAGCCTGTCTCTCTTCTTCCAGACCTCCAGGTTTGCACATCTTACTTGGTAGGGTTTCGACACAAAATATGCACCAAACTGGAAATCTTATAATGTCAGGGCTGACATTATAACTGCTTCCCGACCACTCGGAATCCATCCTGCTCACCACAGTGTGCTGGATTCTGATGCGGCTCTACTGGCTCCATCAATGTTTCATGTTTGTTGTTTCTAATTTTTACTATCAATCTTGACTGTCTGGGCAATAAGAGACGGTGGCTAAGTGATTGATACCTGGATATTTCAAAAATAACTTTGGCCTTCCTAAAGCAACAGAAATGATTAATTTTGCATTATTTTTGCTTTCATTTTTTTCCTCTCTTGTTATAATTTGCTTTTTGTTTCTGTGATAAAACACCGACCAAAAACAATTTGGGGAGGAAAGGGTTTATTTCATCTTACACTTCCAGGTCACAGTCCATCATTGAGGGAAGTCGGGGCAACAATTCAAGGTAGGAACCTGGAGGCAGGAGCTGAAGCAGAGACCATGGAGGACCTTACTGAGTTACTGGCTTGTTTCCAGACTCAGCTAATTTTCTTAGGTAGCCTAGGCCCACCTTCCTCAGGTTGGCACTGCCCAGAGCAGACTGAGTCCTCCTACATCAATGAGTAGTTATGAAAATGTCCTTACAGACATGCCCACAGAGTAATCTGATGGAGGCAATTGATTGATTGGTATGTAATTGGCAAGTCCTCTTCCCAGGTATGTAATGTAAAGTTGGCAACCAAAATCAGCCATTACCCTCTTGTTTATGTTCTACGTAGTCCCAATGCAGAGTACATGAACTGGTTGTAAAATCATTTAGGGCTACAGCAGATTGGTCAGCACACTGAGCAAACATCAGGAAACCCAAGTTTCCAGCTACAATCTAGACTCTGATCCTCAGACACCCTCTGATGCATTTCCAGCCTTAAGTGTCATTTCCTACGTTTTCTTTGAGGCACCATTTCTAAGAAGATGTTGTCTAAAAGGTGGCCTTCTGTTGGCCACCTCATTCATCCCAACCCAGTCTCCTGTCTGTCACATTAACAGGGTGGGGGTGCTTCCTTCTCCTTTTCTGAATGATGATGGTAATCAAAAGATGTGAGAAAGGCTAGGGTAATTCCAGTCTACTTAGAAACCAGAGACTGTTGGAAATTGGTAAAGACTTTGGAGGTGACCTCAAGTCTAGCCTGTGGATTCTGAGGTCATGCGCCTTCCAGCTGACAACACCCATTTCCAGTTTGTCTCAAAGACACTGGGAAACTGCTGAGTTTGGAAAGGGTCAGGTTCTAGCCAGGCATGGGTGGGGTCCTGTCATATCAGGGAAGTTTAACCAGCTAAGAAGGTTTTGAGGGAAACTTGGGACATTTTTATCTCGTTTGGGGCCAGAAAAATTGCTGTATTTAAGTGAAGGACAGAATTGATCCAGAAACTGTATAGGTGTATCGTGGGAGGTTAACAAACTAATGAGTTGTGCATGATAAACATTTATAATAAATAGGCTGTATATAACTCGCAGGATGTGTTAGTATATGCATACACTTTATCTTCTTCATTTTTCCTTATATTTATTTGTTCCCCAAGATACCAGTGGAAAACCATTTTTTTTTGTAGTCATACATTTGATCCCAGAACAAGAGAAAAAAGTTTTTATAGTGCCTCTTACCTGTCAGTTAGCTCTTTAGCACTCCGCTTCCCACAAACATACATATCTTTCCCTACTGGGAGCACTGGAAGGAGGAGAGGCCCACACCGTAAGTGTATGGCTCAGGCTTTCCTGCTTCTACCAGGGGGAGCGAGAGAGGCCCAGACACCCGCTTTTCCTTGTCCTCTCCATTGACAGCCTCACTCGCTAATTGCCCAGAGGATAGAGCTCACCTCTCTGCTGGTGTCACTCACTGTGAGAAGACCCATGGGCTGGGCTGCTCTTCATCTGCCTCACTAGATTTCCATAAGACCTTGTACACCCCAGTTCTGAAAAAAATTCCCATGGTACCTTCCCCCACACCCTCAGAAATTCATGGGTCCCTCGTAACAAAACCCTTTGTCTATCTCTCATTTCCTTCCCCTTCCTAATCTAATGGAAGCCTGGCTCTTCCTGAGGATGCAGCTTCCCCGAGAGCCCACGTAACTGACATGTGCCCCTGGACTGGGGCCAGGGATTAGGGATTATTCACGCTCACCCTGGCTCCCCTCGGACCATTATTTCCTTGCCTCTAAGACCCTCAGCTCTGATTTTGTTGTTATCAGACCGTCAAACACACAGTCTCACTGTTCATTACTACTCCCTGACTCTGACCCATCAACACACACGTTCTTGTCTTGATTCTTCCTGTTCCAGTAATCCGTGTGGATGCCTTCTGGTGCCCTCTGATGCCCAGGCATCTCAGTTTCTTGAACTGACCTTCTCCAGCACTTTTTCATCCTCTACCTTAGCTCAGCTACTCATTTCTGTAATCATATCACAGACTTATTATTACCAACAACTACAGCCCTCCTGAGACTTCAGTTATATCTACTATTCTTTGATTACCAGTTCTTTCTCTCTCCTGACTCTACTGTCTTTTAGTATCTCCCATTTCCTGTCTTTTCTCCTTCCTACCTTAATTAAATTCAAATCCGCCAGCATAACTCATCCCTGCCTTTATCCTCTCAGGCATTTCCTTTTCCAAACATGCTTGGATAAATATGTCCTCCCTGAAGTCAAACCTTCCATGCATGAGCACTTGCTCCTATCATGTGACTATGTCTAGCTAAAAATGTATAATGTAGACTCTACCATTTTAAACTCATGGTGGCAAACCTTAACTGGGAAGTTATCTACCAGTTCCACAGTATTTTCCAAATCCACACTTCATTCTCCTACCTGACTATTTCATAGCTACTTTTCTCCTCAGTGGTCAAGAACTCTTCCTACCAGACAAGAGCATAGGGAATTTCCATTCTTCTGTTATATGCTTCCCACAACTACTTCTGCCTCCTCCTCTGGCATTTACATTTGAACACTTCGGTTCCTGTCAGGATCCTGATTCTCTTATCTACCCTGGGATGCAGGCAACATTCTCCACCCTTTACCCTCCATGTTTTCTTTTAAAGGACCTCTAACTTGAACATGCAGACATAATCTTATTTTGTTCTTTACTTAAAAATAAAAAGGCTTGTAAAGGCAGTGTTTTGGTTTGCTTCCCAGTTGCTGTAATAAAAATGCTATGACCAAAAGCAACTAAAGGAAGAAAGAGTTTATTTCACCTTATGGTTCCAGAGGATTAGAGTCCTTCACAGTGGGGAATGCATGGCATGGTGGCAGCAGCAGGAAGCTGGCCGACCATATTTTATCTGTACACAGGAGTCAGAGAGAAAGGGGACAGGATGTGGAGCCAGGCTATAGACCCCCAAAACCATAAAGACACACTTCCTCCATCAAGGCTCAACCTCCTAAAGCTTCCACATCCTCCTCAAACAGTGCCACCAACTAGGGACCAAGTGATCAGTACACAAATACATGAGTCAATGAGACATTTACCATTCAGATCACCACATGGATCCAACAATTACCACTCGCTCCAGTTTTCTTCAATGGTATTTTTTCTTTCATTTTTCCCTACTACAACAACAAAACTATATTTTTTCAATATCATCAAGGACCTCCATTGCTAAATCCAATGATCAGCTGTTGAAACTTATCCCCTTCATAGCTACAATATTTGACATAATTTATGAATCCTACTTAAAGTGGCTTCTAGGATACTGCATGCCCCTGGCTTTCCTTTTCTATTCATTGACCACTGCGTCTCAGTCTCTCCTGTTAGTTTTTCCTCATTTTCCCGAGGGAGTACCATCCCTGGTCTTTTCCCCACCTCCGGGGACATCCACTTTCTTGGTGACCTCATCTACCAAGAAAGTTATCATTTACCCATTGCTGAACTAATGTCATGTCACAACAATCACCAGCATACAGCAATAAGCTTTTATCTACTCTGAGGGTCTTGGTCATATAGAGATGAACTAAGCTAGACCAAGCTTGGATGGGTGGCCAAGCTCTGTTTCTCATTCTTACCAACCTTCTCTGTGCTCCACGAAATCTAAGGATATATATATATAGCTACAGAGAACAAGATTGATTGCACAAGCACTTATCAAAGCGTAAGTCAATGTTTGTTTGTGGTGTTGTGATAAAACATTATGAGCAAAATCAACCTGGGGAAGGAAAGGGTTTATTTAGCTTATACTTCCAAGTCATAATCCATTATTGATGGAAGTTGGGGCAGGAACTGAAGCAGACACCATAGAGAAATGCTGCTTATGGGCTTGCTCTCCCTCTGGCTCATGCTCAGCTAGGCTTCTCATACAGCCTAAACCCACCTCCCTAGGGATCTACCACCATAGTGGGCTGGGTTCTTATATATCAGTTAACATTCAAGAAAATGATCCACAGACATGCCTACAGGCCAGTCTGGTGACGGCAATTCTTCATTTGAGGTTCTCTCATCCCAGACAACACCAAGTGATCCAAGGTAACACTAGGTTGTATCAACTTGACTCTAACATCTTACCAGGACAGTCACAGAATGCCTGCAAACACTTCGTTAGGGAAAGTAAATCACACAACTGAACCAAAACCAAGGGGAAATAGACATTCCTCATTAGTGGAGGAATGTCAGAGTCACTCAGTGAAAGGGGCTGGCTCAGGGAGCAGTGGGAACGTGGAGTCTCATCTCTCACATTGGACAGGACATAGTCATACTATAAAATGATCTCTTGCTGTTCATCAGAAGTTAAACCTTCACTGAGCACTGTTAGTCCCATTTGGCAACTTTACTCTCCTTTAAGACATAACATATACCGCCTCCTTCTTATGCCTATCATTTCTGTAGTCTCTGTTGGTTCAAGGGGTCAATACAGCCTATCTGGCTTAACTACCATCATCTCCTAACTCATCTTCCACTGCCTTCCTTTATTACCTCCATTCCTCTCTATATAGCAGGCAGAGTGATCCTTTAGGATAGAATAGTCTATCTTTATTTTTCTGGCTTAAATCCTTTCAGGGCCTTTTACATCTCTTACAGTAAAAACCTGAATTCTGCAGATGCCTAGAGAGTTCTCCAGCATCCCTGTCTCCTCACGCCCTCCCACTTCATTTACACTGCTCTCTCCACATGGTCACACTGGCCTCTTGCCATTTCTTGACTCCCTCTTACACACTCTTAGTCTGGGGCCTTAACCTGCTGTTCTCCAAGGCTTGAGTGGTCCAATACCCACTCGACGCACTCTCTCGCTCCCTCTCACCACTGAGGCCTGCCCTGAGCTTAGTCACACACCCCCAGCTGGCATCCTGGTTCTCTTTCCTTTCTCTAGTGTTATCCAACACGTAATACTTCATTCACTTTTCCACATGGCTCTCCCCATCAAATCAAACCAGAGTTCTGAGATGCAGTATTTTTGTTGTGTTGGTTTCCTGATTATATCCTAAGTGACTAAGGGAGCACTGGTACGTGTGGCTAGAAGGGGAGTCACTGAATTTTCTGCACATGACTCTCGAAAACTGAGTACAGAGGTGTTGAAAACAAGTGGGTAGCTCTTTTCAAATATTTGCTTTAAACTGTGTACGGCTGAGAGGCCTCAGAAAATGCTTGAGAACTAAGAAAAGATTGCCTAGTCTAAAGAAGTTATGCGAACTAGGTCTTCAGTAACTGTCATCAGGTACAGTTTCTTTAAAGTTTAAAGTACAGTCAATATTTAAGTACACACACCCAAAACCCCATGTAACTATCATTGAAAGATAGTTACAATGATTTTTCAGTGGATTCTTGAAGATTAACTTCATTTTCCTCATTTCATATTATTGGTGGACCATAATCTGTAGCTGTAGCACACAGAGAAGGCAGGTAAATAAGGGCAAGAGAGGTAATTTTATAACTTTTCTAATTTTGCATTATGAAAAAACAATACCTAACATTTTTATCTTGATGACTAAAGTAATTTCAAATGATTACTCAGTATTAAGAGTGTTGGGAAATTTGCAGCAGGTATACTGTTTTGTTATGGTGAAGTTATTGGATGGGGGTGTTGGAGCAGTGGTTCAATGTATGAGTGCATACTGCTCATATAGAGGACCTGAGTTTGGTTCCCAACACCTATATCAGGTGGCTTACAGCAACCTGTAACACCAGCTCCAGGGGATCCAGTACCCTCTTCTAGCCTCTGTAGATGCCTGTACACACACACACACACACACACACACACACACACACACACACACACACACACACACACACACACACAGTGGGGGGGGAGAGAGAGAGAGAGAAAGAGAGAGCGCTAAATAAATAAATTTACAAAAAAAGAATACCTGAAGTTATTAGTAATGATTTGACTCAGTTGGTAAACTGCCTGCCACACAGGATGAGGAACTGAGTTTGGATAACTGGCAACCATTAAGTGCCAAGGAAGGCAGTGTGCACTGTCTGTGGCCCTTGTGTTTGGGGGCTGGGATGGGGCCGAGCATAGAGAGACGGATCGCTGCAAATCCTTAGCCAGTCAGCCCAGCTGAATCTATGAGTTCCAGGTTCAGTGAGACAAAAAGAAGTAGAGACTGATCAGGGGACACATTCAGCATCAAACCCCGGCACACCTACACACACCCACATGAGCATGTACATTCAGGACACACATGAAATTATTAATATGGCAACTACATCTATGCATCAGAAAGACCTCTAAAACTGAAAAGTAGACATTCCAAAGCCATTGTCCCAAAACTTTGTCCCAGACTCTGTCCTGGGACTTTTTATATCTGACACCTTAACAGGTTTAATGGCATCTAGTGTTGGAGCAGCAAACATTAATTATAAAATATTGTGGATTGCTCTGGGGCAAGAAGAAGCAGTTGGTGTTATGAGAAAGACGCGATGGTACCTTTTGAGTTTAAGAGCTTGAAGCCACTTGGGAGGGCTATCTCTAACTCACAGCGCAGTGTAGTCATGGAAACCCACACTGGCAACTCTGAGCCAGCAAGAGGCTCAGTGTATTCACTGCCCAGTGCTGCTGGAAAGAATTGTGGGTTTGACATGACGATCCTTTGAGAAATTTCGAGAGGTTACTGTGCAGTTATCTAGAATGGTGTAAGAAGGCTTCTTTCTCAATGTTGATAGATTAGTAAGGCAGTATTATAGGCATAAAATACTTCACATCAGGGGGGACATTTATTCAACAGAAAAAAAAGAGGTTGTGTCCCTCTAAAGCAGCAGTTCTCAACCTGTGGGTCATCATCCCTTTGTGGGTTGAGATATCCAGCATATCAGATATTTGCATTATAGTTCATAACAGAAGCAAAATTACAGTTATGAACTAGCAATGAAATAATGTTTTCCTTTTTCTTTCTTCTTTCTTCTCTCATATATTACATCCTGACTGCAGTTTCCCCTCTCTCCTCTCCTTCCAGTTCCCTTCTTCACCTCTCCTCTCCCCCATATCCACTCCTCCTCTGCAACGGAATAATTTTGTGGTTGAGGATCACCATAACACGAGGAACTATATTAAATGGTTGCAGCATTAGGAAGGTTGAGAACCAATGCTCTAAAGAAACCGAGACTCTCACTTAGTGCTATTTATTTCATAGTAGACAAAGATCCTGCTCTTAAATTGCTTTCAGCTTAGTAACATTTATAGGCAAATAAGTAAATAATAACATTACAGTGTGATACGTTTGGAAAATGTAAGGGCAAATGCTCCATAAGAGAGTCACCTGACTCAGTTTTTGGGAGGGAAACAGTATCTTGGAAGCCTCCCTGGATGTGAAATCCCCTATTGAAGATTGAAATATAAATGAAAGAGAGGAAACTTTCAGACAAAGGTGCAGATAGGTGGAATGGAATATTAGGTGTTAGCTGAAAAGCAGCAAATATGGAACGGTAAAGTGTTCAGAGCTAGTTAGCACCATGGACATTTCAGGCATTAGCTTTACAGCTACGCAAGCTTCAGTCTCCTAAGGGACATGGCAGCGCATACAGAATGTGATGTAGACTATATGTAATCTCTCTAAGGTAATCGCTAGAGCAGAAAGTGCCTACAGATTTGAATGGACAGTGTAGACAAGAGGGGGAAAGACCCAGAAAGGCTCTCCAACGACTTTCCACCACTGTCCTTAATTTTAAACAGTATTTCCATTTGTAGATCCCTCTTCTAAAGGACTTTCAACACTGGAAATGCCACGGGAATCTTCATCTGCCCCTACGTTAGAAGCAGGTGCACCTGAAACAGGCAGTCACTCGTCAATATCAAGTAAGTGTTTCTCAGTGACGGTTTCTGTATGTGTCAGTTTTGGAACATGACCTATACATATTACTTTCAGTTTTGCTAACCCTCCTACTTAAAAAAAATAGTGCTTCAATAGCTTCCTCAATGATACACTGTTGTGCACTCTATGAAACTCTTGAGGTTAGCATGGCCTGCTTTAGTCCATTCCTCAAATGTTGGCTTGTCCAAGAATCCTAATTTATTAAGGAATAAATACCAAATTTCATCATTCAACAAAGTAAACATCACTACTAGCCTGACCATAGAACATAAAACTGGTCATGTGGTACATGCAAAGCTTTGTTCATGGCAGAACCTTACTTGGTTAAATCTGAGTTACCTTCCATCATGAGCACAGCTTTATCTGGGTTATCCTAAAATAAATGTACCATGATCCTATAGGTGCAACTAAATCTGCTCTTTTTAGTTGCTGAAAATAAAAACGGTCCAACACATCACAAAGTCTACATTAGGTATTTTGAAACTTCCCCCTGCTCTTGGGAGCTAGGTTTTTACCACGAGAATCTTAAGCTCCACTACTGTTCCATCAAGGTGTTTCCCCAAGTCAGTGGTGTCAGGAGATTTTCAGCAGAAAGAAATTCTTGGAAGGAATCAGTGACCCAGACAGATAGAAGTGTACTTTCTGGAAATCTTTCTCTCATGTCCTAATAAACTTGTGTTCCATATGGATGCTGCCTGAAGAGTTAGTGAGTCTTCATGGACCATCTTTTGAAAGGAGGATGGTCTGAAAAGCCAGATACAGTTCTTAGTGTAAATGCTGGTCTGGTTGTGTGGAAAAGAACCATTGTCACCATTCTCTTATCCATTTGCGCATTCATTCATTCATTATTCATTCATTATTCCATGCATTATCTGGTGGGGGCCAGGTATTGTGCTTGTCATTGGGGATCAAAGGTGAATAAATAGAACCTCATTTTTCCCCAAGGAGGGTACAGTCTTAATGATGATCCTAGATAACATTTATTTGATTCTCCTCCTGTATTGACGCCATGATGAATGGCTCACACACAGCATGATCTCGATCCACTCCTTACATACGCACTGCATGGCAGACAGAGGAGAAAGGCTGAATGGCTTGCCTAAAGTCACAGAGCCACCAAGTGATAGAGATAGAAACGGATACTTTGATCTATTAGATTTTCAAGTCGATACTATTTTTAGTATTCCACACAGTCTTTGAATAATTCTAAATCAATTATATTATATGACTGTAAAAGTTTTAAGAAATAGTTTCTAAGTAGCATATATTTTGCCTTTGGTTGCAAAATAGAATGGCTAGTTCTAAAACTAAGTGTTGTGTTTATTTTTTTAATCATGAAGAAGGTTTGATAACTTGACAAAAATCACAATAGTATATTTTCTCTTCCTTATTTACATGAGTCATCTTTAAAAACAAAAGGACACTGAATTCCCTCCTAGAACTCTAAGCAGTATGATTAGAAATGGACAGAATGGTGAAATTGCTGTAATTCCAGTGTGTCAAGGGGGTCAGGATCTCATAGTCATGACTGAGTCTAGCCTTTTGGGGGTGAGTTTAGCACCCCATCTTCCCCGCTCTTGTCATAAAAAGCATCATCATAGAATTCGGTGGTGTGCTCTTGGAGGCATAATGCCAGGAACCTCATCCACTGGTTTTGCTCTCAGGAATTCTGCAGTCTTTGGAATCATTTGAGAGACTGGGAAAATGGAGTAAAGTGGCAGAGCCCTTGCCTAGCATGTGTGAGGGTCTGGGTCCCATCCCCAGCACTGCAAACCAAACCAAAATGAAGAATTGGGGAAATCATCTCAACACTAGAGGATTTATATCCGTACTTGACTGAGTCTGCAAGATGCCACTTATTTTTAATTTTTTAAAATCCTTTAAAAGATTTCTGTTTTTAGTTTGGCATGTAGTTCAGTCAGAAGGTGGCTTGCTTTACACATGCAAGGCTCTGGATTCAAACCCAGAATATTTCTGCTTTTGAATTGTTCTTGAACCTTTACTTTTCAAGTAGTTGCAAACTTGTAAAGTTAACTAATCAATAAACAAATCAGTAACGTTTATTATTTAGTCGGTTAGCTATTCCCACAAATTTAGTGATTATGGGCTCCAAGACACACGAATCCCACCCCATTCCTTTCTGGCTCAAGTTGCTGGTTGATTGTTTTGTAACTAAACATGCCATGACCACCATAAATCAAACAGCATGCGGACTATACCAGAAATGATGTTATAAATGATTTCACTTCATACGTAGCTGCTGTCTCATTGTTGACTGTGAAACCTATACGTATCATTCAGAGTTGCCCAGGGGCTAGTCAGTGGACATTCTGGTCTCTGCAATTCCTTTCTAGGGTGTGCAGTTCAACAGCTTTGGCTTCTGAACTTGCCCTTTCAAGTAAGTCGGGTGGGGGAACCCAAGTTGTCAACATCTGGGTGCCTGGGGGTCAGGCCTACAGTCATCTTGGTGAGGCTGAGTGCTCACACTGGCTGGTGTGTAGGCATGGAGTGTCGCACAGGGGAACAGGAGCAAAGGTGAGGGTGACTTTCTAAGTTAGCACACAGTTGGCAGTGTGCTTTGGATGGTCTCTGGTTTGGAAAAGCTTACAGCTTTTCATTGCTGAGAATCATGCCAAGGCTGAATTGTGGGACAGAAATGTTACCATTGTTTTGTCAAACAAAGAGCGTACTTGTGGAGTGCTATTTAATTCACATTTTCCAAATAGTAGACAGGGACTCAAATAGCTTGGAAATAGTGCAGGCTTTTAAATCAATGTTTTGGCTTACCTCAGTAGCTTTCGATTCAATTCAAGGTAGCACTGTTTGTTCTGAATCCTTTTTAGAATGTGGCAGAGCACATAAGTAAAAAAGCTAACACAAATGAGCATATTGCATTCATTGAGTAAATATGCATAGTTGGTAGATGAATGCTAAGGAGTGCTATTGCCTGTACCGCAGAGACACCGGAAATGACAGAAGGCTTAAGTTTTTTCACTTGATTAGGAGCATATTAATTAAGATCTGTGTGGATGTATAGAGCCTATGTGTGCGACGGGAAATATATTCCCCCCCAGTAATCATCTCCTAATTTCCTTCATATAGCTCAGTATAGGCAGATGAAAAGGGGATCCCTGGGAGTTCTGACAATGAGCCAGTTAATGAAGCGACAGCTGGAGCATCAGTCTAGCGCCCCCCATAACATCAGCAGCTGGGACACTGGTGGGTCAAGCCTTTTCTTCTTCTTTGCCTCTCAGATTAGCTAACACCACTTTCTCTGTGTCCGCTTCTTGTGTTCTTTGGTTAAAATAGTTTTTTAATAACCTGGAAGTAATGAACATATATTCAGATTTTCCAAGTGCTCTAGAGCATTGTGGTCTACATCTAGGCTGATCCCCATCTAGGCTTGTCTCTGTTTAGACGGGTCTCATTTAGGCATGCCCAACTCTTTATTCCTGTAAGAGCCAGATTTCAGATCTCAGATTATCTGCCTGGGGAGGAGGGGTGGAGCTATGATTTCATGGTACAAAGTTTTAAAGGCACCAGATTATCATTACCCTCATTCATAAATTATAAAGTACTGAAGTTTAATAACAAATGTCAGCTTGGTGATGGCATGGTCTCCAAGTCTGACAACGAGTTGTGTATTTTAGCCAGCAGGGTCACCAGGCTGCAGCCACACACTTTCATGTTCATAAGCCAGAACTACACCTAAGCTGTTGTACAGTAAGAATTGACTGCTGTGGCACATCCGTTTTAAATATGACCGCTTTGTGTTTCCTGAACCTTATCACATCTTCTATATACACTGCCTTCTCAGCTCACTGTACAGCAGTGGTCCTCTTTTAAGTGCCTGTCTTGTCTTAGTTTTTCCTTCTTAAATTAAATGGGTCATTTGAGGTACAAGATTATAGACACAAAAGCACCTTGAAGTGTGCATACACCATGAAAATATGAGGGCTGATTATTGCAACATGCTGTGGGAGTGCCCTTTATTATTTTGGTTATTATTTTCTGACTCCAACAGTGAGATTTTTTTTAATTTATTCATTATGATGCAGAATCATGGTGTGCACACAACCAAAATCCTGGGCTGTTTTTCAGATTGTATGTATGTCCTCCCATTTATCTTTGTTGTTCTTCAAGAAGAGATCCACATACCACACCCACCCTTGTGTGTAACAGACAGCTTCAGACTCCCGGAATTCGAAGATTTTTTTGACGTGTCAAAGGCTTGGTGGTTTCATTTAGTGGCATACAGGAGTGAGTAATGAGTAGCCAAGGGGCAACAGACAAGAGAGAGGGGGGAAAGACACTGGCTAGCCATCCCCAAGAATATATTTGGTTTGAGCATTGGCTCCCTTCTCTGTACCGTGGGGGACTGTACCCCCATCTCCAGAGATGAAGCCATGGAACCTGAGAAGCGCAGCTCAGTTAGATCTTTGGTACTAAATGCTCAGGTTGACTTTGGGGCCCTGACTTGGGCTACACGCTGTTGTAGCTCGGTGTGTAGTGCAGCCTCAGCCATTGTAGATTCTGACTACAACTATAATCTAATTTGATTAAGTAGAGTTATGAATATGTAAATTGACCTCAATTTCTGATCTGAACTTTAAGCTACAAAACGCTTCATGATGCCAAATAACCCATTTAGCCATATTTTTTTTTTTTTTTTTTTACTTTTCAACCAGACTTAATGGTTCTCGTCTTTTTGGCTTCACACTTAAGATTCCATGTTGTCCAGATTTCTCTCACTAAACACAGCTGGGGCTTATTTTTTAATTATCCACTCCCCAACTTTGTTCACTTATCTCTGAGTCCCTTAATAAAAGCTTTAACTCATTATTCTCAAGTTTTTTGATTGTTTTGCTTTGGACACAAGATCTTTCTTTGTTACCACCCAGGCTGGCCTTGAACATCTGGGCTCAAGTGATCGTTTTGCCTCAGCCTTCTGTGGTTGAGCCTACATTACACCCGGCTTTGGTGTTCTCATGCTTATTACCTGATCCCAGGGGAGGAGTCTGTGAACATGGAATATGATGTTAGGTGACATGTCACTTTGAACCACACACGTTGCTTCCATGACGCTCTAGTTCCCACCAGGAACAACTATGGTCATGTAGACACACTGAGAATGACAGCTTAAATTGAGTCATGACAAATTCGCCTCAGCATGCACCAGCCCATTCATAGAAAGTCTGCCTCCTCTCCACTGTCCACATCTTCTGTGTGAATGAACGTGCCCTAAGCGTCACTCCATTCTTGCTCCCTGTTCTTGTTCTTCATCTCTCAGCCGAATCTCTATCATTTTCTCTACCTGGTCCATGTGTTTCCCGTGTGAACTGTCTAGCCATTACTCCAGAGTATCATTGATGTATTTGTTGATTTGCATAAAGCATTCTTTCATGGCCACGACACTGGCCCTTCATTTCCTATCAGGAGACACAGGATTTTCATTCTTTTGAAACAGAGTGGGACTAGAACTTTAAAAAAAAGTAGTTTTAGGTCCTCTACCATTTCAGATGCAGCCCATTTAATTGAGTGACAGGTTTGTAACAAAACTGTGACTAACCCTACCTGCAGGTTTCACTTTTATGTCTTAATAAAGTAGCCATGACAAAGATGGCCCCATGTGAAGGTTTGCTGCATTGGTTGTGCTGTGACTATGCTGTGACTGGTATTAAACTAACCACACTGAAGACTGAAATGCTCTCTTTATCCACAGAACAGGTACAGCCCGGGAAACGCCAGTGTAATGTGCCAATGTGCCTAAACCCTGACCTGGAGGGACAGCCACTGAGAACAAGAGGTTGGTTGAGTCCCAGGGTCTCAGACTGTAGAACTGAAGGACCTTGTGTCCCTCACAGATCCACCCAGCAGGTGCAAAACTCTTCTTCAACAGCTTCACATATTCCCAACCCGTAAAATACCTCCAGGGCTGGGGAATTCATGACAGTTCATCCTTGAATGTGTCCAACAAAAGCCCTGCCATAGAGTATCTTTCTAAAGCTTGGGGCCACACAAGACAATTCTAGCATCTCTCACCTCACACTTTGGACATTTGAAAATAACTGCCCATTTATTATGTCCCTAAGCTATTTCTAGACCAGGCATCCCTGGACTCTTCAGCCTTCCTCCCAAGATGCATCAGTTTCCCATGTCACCCTATATTCTTTTCCTGAGCAGAGTTCAGATTGTCCTTATTTTTTCTAGAATGTTGAGACTATGGATAAACAGCTTCTTTTTCAGCTATCTTGAATTATGTATTAAACTACACACTTTATTCTAGTTGTGGGAACAAAATGAGTATGCATCTGCACTAAGATCATTGGAATTTTTCTTTTCCAAATTCATCCCATGCATTTAACTACATAATTAGTTAATTATTACCTTTGTTATTAAAATTCAGAAGGCTGATGAACCTATCATTGGTTACAAAAGAAAGAAAGGAAGGAAGGAAGAAAGAAAGAAAGACAGAAAGAGAGAATTCTGACCACGTTTTCTAAGTAGTCTCTTGAATCAGGCAAACCTATGTTGCTAGGCTAAACTACTCTTCAATTTTTCTAAAGCCTGAGGGGAAATTTGTGTCCAGCTTCCTGGACACTTCTTTGGTAATGAGTAGCACTCTGGCCCTCCAGCAGATGAGATGAGACACTTGTCTGTGAGGCTAATAAATGCTTTCGTAAGTCAGGGTGGTTGAAACAAATCCTTGGTGCTTGGTTGTGATCTAAGTGACCTATCAAAACCAGCATGAAATAAAGGTGAAAGCATCAGTGTGATGCTCAGTCATCTAAGTGACCTACCAAAACCACGGTGAGGTAAAGGTGGAAGCATCAAGGTGATGCACAGTTTTTCAGTCTCTCTCTCACTGCAAGTGGGAGAGTCCATGGGTACAGTTGCGCAGCTGATGTGTGCTTTGAGACAAGTGCATCCTCAGAGTCTCTCTCCCGTCTCTGAGATCCCAAAAGAGACATTGATCAGCATCTCCAGCTTTGAAGTTAGGCTTTGGAGATGGTCCCCTCTGTGTTCAAGTTTCGGAGAGCTCTCTGTTACGGTTCTGTACGGAGGCACTCTGGATGTTCTGGCAGGCAGCAGTGGTGGTGGGCTCAGAGTTATTGCCAGCAAGTGGAGGACAGAAACAGAGGCTGAGTTTAATACTGCTGACTTAGTTGTGGATCACGTACAAGGAAAAGTTGCTGAGGTTTGTGGCTTTCTTTTTTCATATTTCTCACCTTCTCATACATTACTCCCTGGTTCCACTTAGCAGGATTTAGCAATCCATTGTTCAGCTAACGATGTCCTATAAGAACCCATGCCCAGTCACCTAACCTATTTGCTTTGATAGATGCCTGCCATAAATATTGCAACATACTTTCTGTGTTGTCGTTAGAGAAAAACAACTTCATGGGGCTACTGTAAAAACACCTCCCCTTAGGTAATGCTTGTTGGGAAGCCACAGAAACGCCAGAGTCCTTCTTGTTCCTTGGGTTGTAATCTTGACAACCTTGTAATCTTGGAGTTGTTTGTAGTGAGATTGTGGGCACATTACTAGATATTTTTGGACTGATTTTTTTTTTTCTGCTCTGGCATAGTCAGTTTCACCTCTGGCTAGTATTCCTATCAATGATCATGAGACGTGGAGAACTGTTTATAGGCTTGTGCTTTTGCCGACTCTACTGTCGATTTGCTGATGTCTTTGACACTGTGCAACATTTTTACAGACATTCTTTGTTAACCATACACTTAGATATCCCTGGGGAGGAATGCTAGCTCAGAAACAGCTGATAGGTATGGTAGCAAGGTTTGTATTCCCAATTGGGATCTCAGGAAGGTGAAGATATTTTTAGATAGTTGGTACTTGCTTCTCAGAAATATGCTTTAGAAACTTTACCTGGGGAGGTGGTCTATAGCGTGTTATCGAGAACTTCAACACCATTTCCCCCTCAGACGGCAGCATCGCCCTCCAGGTTAGATGTCTAAGACTTGTATTCTCATATCTTTAGTGACCATTCTTTCACTTGTTATTCTTTCTGAGGAGAAATAATACATTTTTTTTTCAGGACCAAGTTATGTGTTTCATGATGAGAAATGGATTATTTAAATGATCATTATTTTATTATGCGCTTTTTTTTTGTCTGCTTGAAGAACTCAGATTGATAGTTACTACTTAGCAGAGCATGCTGTTATTTCACGTTGTCACTCTGGGGGTCATCTTAGAGGTCTCATTTACACAGTTCCAGGGCATCTGCCCTGCACTGGTGGCTTCTTAATGGAGAACACCCTCCTGACTCTCCACATTATGTTTTGAGATTTATAGTGTGTGTGTGTGTGTGTGTGTGTGTGTGTGTGTGTGTGTGTGTGTGTGTACTCACATGCATGCAGGTGCCCATGCAGGCCAGAAGAAGAGCCTGTCAGGCCCCTGGAGCTGGAGTCTCAGGCAGGTGTAAGTTGCCTTGATGTGAATACTGGGAACCAGACTTGAGTCCTCTGGAAGAGCAGAAGGCTCTCTTAACTGCTGAACCATCTTTCCAGTCCCCACATTCACTGTCTGTTGGTGCTGGTTGCTAAGATTCTGGCCTCGGATTTCCTTGAAAAGATCTAAGCTCAAAGTTTTGAAACTGTTGTATTGACTGAGTGAAGCAGAGCAAGTCATCAAGGGAAGTAGCTGACTCTGCATTCACAAATACTTCAGTTGACAGGAAAGTCTTTTCGCTCTAGTGTTTATGATAATAATTTCCAAAGCAGAATACTGAACTAGTTTTCTAGTGTCCCCTTTGTTCATGTGTATGAAGTTTGGGGTCTCACTACCTCCCCTCTTGTTTAAGTGTATGAAGTTTGGGGTCTCACTGCCTTCTCATAGAAGCCCACTTTAATGATGATATGCACTTGTGCATTAGAAATATCATATTGTTCATTTAATGCTAGGAAGTCCATCTTTATTTTAGACCCTGCTGGCCCAGCTGAATTTTCTGGTTTTTTTAAAGTCATGAAGTGAGAGAGGTAGGGCATCCAGTTCTTCCTTGGTCTTAGTTTCCTCTCAGGTCTTTGTCATGCCCCGGGTGGGATGTCTGTGATCTCATGAATGTGATCTTCTGAGAGTTAATGAATGCCGAGTGGAGACTGTCCTGGTTCCAGAAACTGTGTTCACGGTTGTCTCTCTGCTGCTTATCCAGGTGCCACTAAATCCAGTCTGCTGTCAGCACCCAGCATAGCCAGTATGTTTGTGCCCGCACCCGAAGAGTTCACGGATGAGCAGCCAACGGTGATGACGGACAAGTAAGCTCCCTGGTTTTTGTTTGTTTGTTTGCTTGCTTTTTCTTGTGCTTTGGTTATAGAGTTAGAGTTTGGTCCCCAGGTGAGGAAGTGCACTTTGCATTTGAGTCACACCTGATTTTTCAAAGGGCTGAAGCTGTGTTGTACACAATTGAGGTTTAGAAATGTATGCACTATGAGTAGTGTTTTGTTTATGCTTTGGCAGCGCCCCCTTTTAATTTGGATAGAATCAGATAATCCTACTTACCCCTAAAAATAATTTAACACTCATAAAATCTTCAGCCTGGAAATGTCCAGTTGTTACACTGGGAACAAAGAAGAGACTCCATTCTCTTTTTTTTTTTTTTTTGGTGGGAGGTGGGAGGGGATGTCTAGATAGGGTTTCTCTGAGTAGCGCTGGCTGGCCTGGATCTCAGAGGAGATCCGCCTACCTCTGCCTCCAGAGTGCTGGGATTAAAGGCATGTGCCACTACTGCCTGGCTTCATTCTTCTTCCATCCTGGAAGTACAATCCACTCTCTGCATCTCAAACTGGCTCATCACCTCCCAGACTGTCAGTTGCTGATAGCCCTGAGTTCTTCTAGGATTAAGCCCACATGTTTAGCTTAAGGCATTCTAGTGTGTGAATGTCCCTACTGCTCTTTCTTAAGCTCCTTCTCTGTTTCCAGAGCATTCTCGAGGCGTTCTTTCTTGGTATTTGATCTTCCTAGTGAACTTCGGATTGCACACTTAAAATCTAGCAGAAGGCAAAGTTCCCCTGGTTGTGAGGGAAAGGATTAGTCACACCCTTCTCCAGTTTCCCAAAGCCTCTGGGCCATCTCCAGCCCAGCACTTGTAGCACTGTATTTTATCTCTTTGTCTACATAGTACAGGTGCATGTTATAAAATAGATCGTGAGTTCCCTGGGATGAGAGCAATTTCTTCTGTGTTTTGTGCCCTAAGTACCCTATGTCTTGCCTGGCACACCAATATTTTTTTAGTGTGTATGATAAAATAAAATGAGGCTTGGAGATTTTCAAACCCGCACAGACCCCAGGGACTAGACAGGCTCCTGGATAAAGGGGGCTCACAGTCTAATAAAGGAAAGCGAGGTAGAAAGGATGGTGCAGATATCCACATAGTGTTGCTCACTGTGCAGTCAGAAGTGAGGTGAAGGCTGTCTTAGGGTTTCGACTGCTGTGACTAAACACTATGACCCCAAACAAAGTTATTTTACAACTTGTAGTCCGTCATTTAGGAAAATCAAGGCAGGAACCTGGAGGCAGGAACTGATGCAGGGGCCATGGAGGAATGCTGCTTACTGACTTGTTTCCCCATCACTGTCTCAGCTTGCTTTTTTATACACCCCTAGACCACCTGCCCAGGGATGGTACTGCCCACAGTGACCTGGGCCCTCCCATGTCAATCATGAGTCAAGAAAATGCCCCACAGACTTGCCTACAGACTGAGCCCATAGAGGCATTTTCTCGGCTAAGATCCCTTCTTCCCAGATAACCCCAGCTTGTATCAAGTTGATATAAAAACTAGTCGGCACAGTTCTTCTCACATACTTGAGAAGCAGATGTGTCTGGCTTGTGCAACTACCTAGAAATGTCCCCAGAGCTTTGGTATAATTTCTCCATTTTGTGTCATAACGCCCCCCCCCCCACTTTAAGTTATCGTTTTTCTTAGTTGCTTCTGGTTGTGTGTGTGTGTGTGTGTGTGTGTGTGTGTGTGTGTGTGTGTGTGTGTGTGTGTGTTTCTGTGTGTTCCAATGCACATGCATTTATGTGAACATATGTGTGGAGGTCAGAGGTCAGCCCTAGTGCTGGGATTACAAGCGCTTGCCCCAGACCCAGCTTTATCACTTGGGTACTGGGACTCAACCTCAGGTCCTCATACTTGCATGGCAAGCCCTTTACCAACAGAGCCACTGTCCTAGCCCTTTGGTTCCTTTTGTGTGCTGTCTCTAGAGTTCCAAATGTGAATTTTAAATGTTAAATTAACTTTAAGACACTCTCTTCTTTGGCTCATATTTAGGCGCATTTCAGATGGAAAGGGTGCAGTAACCATAGCTCTGGTCCCTGAGTTATTTTTAGTTCTCAATTTCACTTTAGAAAGCTGCCTTTGGTTGGGTTGAGTGAAATCTATATTAGGACACAGCAAAGAGCAATACATTGTGGGTTTCTTAAAAGCAGATGCCACTGCTCTTCCATATTAGTTTAGCGGGACTAGACATTCACAAAGCTGGTATAAGAGAGCAGTGGAGAAGAGGCACTGGCCAGCGCCACAGGCTTCCTAGAGTGTCCAGGTTCACTTGAGTCCTCTGTCTTTTCCCCACAGACGGGACATCTTTTGAAGGCTTCTAGCCATGGCTAGGCATTTTTTCACTTTGACAATTGAAAATTAATCTAGTTATCGCAATCCCCTCTCCATCCTTGGTGCTGCCTGTGAGGTGGCTGCCGTCTCCTGCACAGCATCGTGGCTGCCCTTAGACATCTGATACAGCCCAAGATCATCAAATAGAGGACCCTGAAGGTTATCCTGTACCAGTCAGAACACTATGTCCAAGTTAAGTGCATCTGACAGAAACCCAGAGGCATCAGCAACAGGGTGTAAGGAGATTCAGGGGCCAGATCCCGAGGCCTAGCGTTGGCTATGGGACAGGAAAGCTGGGCACAGACCACCCGGTGGCTTCCAGAAGTTCCTGGTCCACCGCGTCAAGGATCTGGAAGACCTGATGTGAGCAAATCTGACTGTGCTGAGATCACTCACAGCGTTTCCTCCAGGAACCCCAAACCGTCACGGAAACAGCAGCCCAGCTGGCCGTCCGAGCCACCAAATGTTGCCAAGCTGTACGATGAAGAACAAGTAGATGACTCATGTGCACGTTTATCTGTGTTTAAGTAAAACTGCAAAAACAGATCCGAAAACTCTAGTTACTGACTATTCTTAGATGTAATTTCACTTTCCTGAAGTCCCAGAAGCTGTTAGTCTATCCGAAGCTCTTTCTAAAGGAGCAGAAACTCCCATGGGGCCAGAAGCTTGTGGGCTGAATGGTAATGGAAGGGCCATGATCCCTGCCACCCAATCTCTTCCCCGTCTTACGGTGACAGTGGCACTGGAGTCTCCCAAGACTTCCGGCAAATGGTTGTGTTTGTGTACTGCCTTGAAACCACGGTGGCTTTCTAGCATGTCTGCCCTCTGTTTTCCTTTGCAGATGCCATGACTGTGGGGCCGTTCTCGAAGAATACGATGAAGAAACCCTGGGGCTGGCCATCGTGGTCCTCTCCACGTTCATTCATCTGAGCCCGGACTTGGCGGCCCCTCTGTTGCTTGATATCATGCAGTCCGTGGGAAGGTGAGTGTTAGCCTCTATTTTATCCGCTAAGCAGATCTTGAAGTCGGAGCCATCAGTTTGAAAGTGAACTACCCAGTCACCTGGTAGATGCCTGGTACCTGTGGGATCAATTCAGACTAGTTTTTTTTTTTAATGGATGGAAGCATCTTTTGATTTCATTTCTCAGCTGTACCAGGTCATGAGTCAAGGTCAGAGTCTGACTGTCGCTCCCTAGAGCTGCATGAGCTATTATGTGTGACAGTGTTCGGATGGTCCGTCCAAAGTAGGCTTTGTGTTAACCATTATAACGATGATCCTGTTCTCTCTCTTCTCCTGTTTTGTGGTCATCTGACACTTCTTTTGTGATCTCAAGGGAGCCTCACTTAACTGTTCAGTTCAGGGTATCATTGTGTGTCACACTACATCTTCACAGTTCTGACTCAGATAAAGGAAGCGTGCACATGTTGTGGGAATAGGACCTTCCGTCTGAGGGTTAATATGAAGGCAATTCCCTTTATGTATAGACATTAGAAGAGGAATGTGTTTTGTGCCCATGACTAAATTCCAGTTCAGTAATAACTATGTAGCTCACAGAGACTGAGTTAGACTCAGGGTGAACTTGCAAAGTTTCTGATCTCTGCCAGCACAGTGCTAGGTGCCTTGGACCATCAGCATTAAGACTTCACTCCTGGGGCTGGAAAGATGGCTGCTCTCCCAGAGGACCAGGTTCAATTCCCAGTACCCACATGGCAGCTCACAACTGTCTGTTAACTCTAGGCCCAGGGGATGGGATGCCTGGCCTCTGAGGGTGCTGCATACACACAGTGAACAGACATCCATATACATAAAATAAAATTAAAGATTAAAAATATTATAAAAAAAAAGACCTAGATCCTATGTTCAGGTAATCTGTGGAGCTTTTTGTTTGTTTCCTTTTGGTTTTTTTGACAGGGTCTTGCTGTGCAGTCCAGGTTGACCTTGAACTTGCTGTGTTGTAGCTCCAGTGGCTTTGATCTTGTGATCCTCCAGCCTCAGACTCCTTAGTTACTGGGATTATAGATGTGTGCCACCATGCTTGGCTATGGCTTGGTTGTTGAAAGGAACAGTTTTGTGTGAAATCGTTGGGTGGCCACACAAGACAGGGCTTAGGCAAGCACCTCGAGAAGCCGAGAGTGGAAATGCTTCCCATTGTTTGGAGGAGGAAGAACCTGCAGATACTTGGGATTTCAGGGAGCGAAAGACAATCTTTTTGGTTTGTGGCCTTGGGTTTTTTTCTTTTTTATCTTTTGTTTTGCTTTTGATATAGGGTTTCACTATGTAGCGTAGGCTGGCCTCTAACAGGGTTTCCTCCAGGAACCCCAAACTGTCACGGAAACAGCAGCCCAGCTGGCCGTCAGAGCCACCAAACATTGCCAAACTGTACGATGAAGAAGAACAAGTGATGACTCACGTGCACGTTTATCTGTGTTTAAGTAAAACTTCTGTGTCCTAGGCTGCCTCAACCAACAATCCTCCTGCCTCCAAAGTGCCGGGCTTATGGGCGTGTGCCAGCACACACCTGAGAAGGAGCCTCAATGCTCCTAAACTTAACTTAAAAAAGAGTAAGAACAGGGGCTGTGGAGATGGCTCAGCGGGTAAGACATCTGCTCTGCAAGTGTGTGTGCCTGGGTTCAAACTCCCAGCACCCACATAATAAGCCAGGCATGCACAGGTGAGCATCTGTAGCCCCAGTGCTGCTGGGGGCTGAGGTATGAGGAACACTGGAATTTCCTGGCCAGCCGAGCTCCAGGTTTAGCGAGGGACCCTGTCTCCAGGAAAGAAGGCAGAGAAGAATACAGGACACTGACAGCCTCCTCTGGCCTCTGTGCACACCGTCTGCGTGTATGGGCACATACACATGTACAACATGTACACTCACACACTTACACAGTAGTAGTAATTCTGATGTCGAGTTAAACAGGAAAACATTAAAAACTTGATCACAAAAATATATAATCCTGCTATTTGCTCCCCACCCCAATTCATGTGTATAATATGGTGTGGTATGTATATGTATGATATATATGTGGTGCATGTGAGTGTGGTGTGGTATGGTATATGTATGTAAAGTATGTGTGTGGTGCGTGTGAGTGTGGTGTGGTATAGCATATGTATGTAAGGTATGTGTGTGGTGTGTGTGTCTGTGGTATGATGTGGTATGTGTATGTATAATATGTGTGTGGTGTGTGTGAGCATAGTATGGAGTGGTGCATGTGAGTGTAGGATGGTGTGGTGTGTATGTGCATAGTATGTGTGTGGTATATGTAAACATAGTATGGAGTGGTACATGTGAGTGTAGGATGGTGTGGTCTAGGTGTATATGGTATGTGTGTGGTGTGTGTGAGTGTAATATGGTGTGGTGTGTGTGTGTGTGTGGTATGTGTGTGGTACATGTGAGTATAGTATGGTGTGGTATGTGTGTATGGTATGTATGTGGTGTGTGTGAGTGTAGTATGGTGTAGTATGTGTGTGTATGGTATGTGTGAGTGTGTGGGCACACCTATTTGCATATGCAGAAGCCAGAGGACTTCAGATGTCTTGCTTATCACTCTCCTCCTTATTCCCTTGAGACAGGGTCTGTCCTTGAACTAGAAGCTTGCTGATTATGCTAGGCTGACTGGCAACGAGCTCCCAAATTCCAAGTGTCTCCACTTCCCAGTGTTGGGTTCCAGGCATATACAAGCATTCCTAACTTTTTTTACATGAGTGCTAGGGATTTGAACTCAGGTCCTCACGCTTGCACAAGTGCTCTTACCTACTGAGCCATCTCCCCAGCCAGATCTCCCTGATGATTTTGGAGTATTTTTAGAGTTACATAGTTAGAGACTGCATAAAGTTAAGTGTAACCAAAATTCAAAAGCCATTATAAGAAGTAAGTGATGAATATGGGAACTGGAAGAGATAAGGAAAAGATGGCTTCATCCAAGCCGTTGATTTGAACTCAGTCTTGGTAATTATAGAATAAATGCTGTGTCCTCTATCTCTACCCCATGGAGTTGACGGTTTTGATTAAGGCATGACCACAGTACCTACTGTCACCACTCTGTAGTTTTAGAGCAGGTAGAGTTGTGGTTCTGCTCTGTGGCCATCTTGGCACAGCTGGTCTAAGCCACAGAGGACACAGAGAGGAGATTGTGAGGTGTAATATTAAAGTGTATATAATCCGTGTCCTGATTACTACCAACTGTTAGGGTGGAAACGTGTTTTGAAGAAAAACATGGAAAAACAGTAGCACACACATTCACATACTTCCATAGGTAGACACTTAAATACCTACATTCGCACACTTGACTATCTAGCTCCTTTGGGTAGACTAGCAAGAGACTGAAAAACATTTAGTGCAAATTGGCGTGACTCTTGATAGCCTAATCTTGACCATCAAGCTGCCAAGAAAGCAGATTCTGGAATCATCTATGCAGCTTTCTTTACATGTCCCAGTTTCACTGTGAAGAACACAAGATGAGATAATGTGGCTTTAGCACGCTGCCGGGACCACTACACAGAGCATCCTCTGGATGTTTTAGGAGTCTGTAAGCTCAACACAGACAGCCTGTTCGTCTCTCCCTCAAATGTTTCCCGTCTCGTATAGAGCTGTCAGCTTAGATCCCTTCAAGCTTCAGTCCTCTGGTTTTCAGGTGAATCCTTTAAGTTCATGTTTCCCACACCCTTGATTATGGTTTAGTTGGGTTGCCAACGTTTCTTTCTCCATCGTAAAATCTTTAGCATAAGGGCCTTCAGCCAAGGCAGCTGGGGACGATATTGCTATGGCAGTTGCTGGAGCCACCATCCCTCTCCGAAGCTCTTGGTCCCTTCAGTTGTTCTACTAAAATAGTTTGTAGCATTCTCCTGGTGTCTTCAGTAACTTACAGATTATAGTATGTGCTTTTGAATCCACCGATTTGGTTCATTCTCTGTCATGAGAGAGCATATGTCCATGGCCAAGGAGGCACACTATAGTTTTCAAAATGTGGTCAGTTTTGCATATTTAATTCATAGTTTTCATCTCCAAAAGGCAGTTTTCCCTTCTCACCACTCCAACTCAACAGCAAGCTGAGGATTCCTCTGCTGTCTGTTCTGTTGTGGTAGAGGGCTGTATTTTCAATGTGTGGTTCGCTTGGAGTCAGGTTTCAAAGGTCGGTGACAGAGAAATGAAATTGAGTTAATGCAGGGGTCACTAGATGACAGGTTCTGGTGTCTGTCCAACTGCACTACAACTGCCATTTTTTCAGGTTGGGTGGGCAACAGTAAACTTTTCCTTGGGAATCTGTGACTGACACAGAAGACAGGTCTGGGAGAGTGGGTTTGAGTGTAACGCTGGACATGACCTCGTAGTGCACCCTCTGATGCCCATCGAAGGTATTGCCAGTAGCTGTATTCTCGCCACCCAAACCTGAACCACAACCCTAGCTCAAGGCTAATGAGTTTCACCGGGGAAAGCTAAGATACTGTGTGACTGTTTACTTTATTTCCTAGGCTTGCATCCAGCACCACCTTTTCTAATCAAGCGGAAAGGTAAGAACCTCAAGTGGGTCTCATTTCTCTTTCTCTCTGTGCATGTCCACATGGCACTGACATGGCCACGGACAGGTGCTCTCCAAGAAGCTGCTGGTCCACTGTTGCTTCACTGGTTTCTGATCGGATTTGTGAATTTACACATTCACTCATTTTAGTCAACAAGTACTTTTAAGCCCAACTTGCACTAGTTAAGTGGTTTGTTGTTGTTTTTAGTTTTTGTTGTGTGTTATCTTGGGAACCTAACTGAGGGCCTCAAGCATTCTGGGAAAAAGCTCTACTGCAGAGCTGCACCTGAGCCCTGCTTCAGCTCATAAAGGCAACAACTGGAATGATCCCTAGCCTTGGTGGGCTTTCATTCTCACCAAGGCAGCAAACGTGAATGAATAGTCACAAAAATGCGTAGTAACTGTGCTACGTGCTGTGAAGAAAATAGACTCCCATAATGTTGATTCTTCCCGTGTTGATTCATTCGTGGGTGTGCATGTATGTGCGGTGAGTGTGGAGGTCAGAGGTCAATGTCAAGTGTCTTCCTCAACCTTATCTTTTGAACCCAGCACTCACCAGCTGGCTAACATGGCTAGCCAGTGAGTTCAGGGACCTTCCTGTCTCCTCTCTGCCGTGTACTGTTAGAGACCCTTCAGTGACTATCTACAGAGTTAGTGCCCAGCCCAGCTGGCCAGAGTGGTTAAATGTCAAATCCTGTTTTCCATGGAACTTACATTCAAGTCGAAGAAGCAGAAAATAAGCAATTAACCAGTAAGAAATTGACAGTGTGATTGAATATCACTTACTGCAATGTGTTGTGAACATTAATTAATTAATTCCAGGTGATAGAGGAGGCCCAGAAGTAGTACTGTAGACATAATGGCCAAGGACAGCCTCTTGGAAGAAGTGCTATTTAAACAAAATCTAGGTGGGGAGAGTGGTCTACACAGCAGTTTATGGAGAGAATACCCCAGCAGAGGGCACAGCAGAGGATAAGGGCTTTCAGTCGGGAAAGAGGGTGGTAAATTTGGAGACAGACCAATGTGGCTTCAGTGAACACGGAAAGCCTGGTAGAAAATGAAATGGAAAAGATGGAGGAACCTAGGCCAGGTAGCGCCATGGAGGTCACTGCAAGGGGTTTAGCTTTTAATGAACGCGCAGGGTACAAAAGGGAGGGCCAGCATGCTTTGCCTTAAAACACTGGAGACCCTCTGCCTTAGCAGAGTTTGAGTGTATAATGCATTCTTGTTGACAGACACCATATAGTACTTTAGTGTGGCTTTTCTTTTGTGAAATTGACATAAGGAAATACACAAACCACAAATACTTATCCTCTGAGTGTTAACAGGTGGCTTTACCTGCATACCTGAGGCCCTGTCAAGACACAGAACTTAACCATGACTCCCGAAAGGTCCATCTTGCACCATTCCAGCTGCCCTCCATGCATGGAAGGAAACACTGTTTTCTTCAAGTGTAGGTTAATTTTTGCCCGCTGTAGAGCTTTGCATGAGTTGAATTTTGTGGCCTGTGGTCTTTTGTGTCTGGCTTCTGCAGGTAACCATGCTTTGAGGGTTGTTCATGCTGTTGCTTGCTTGTCTCTTAGTCTGTTCCTTTGTCAAAGCTGACCACGGATCAGGGTATCTGGATTATTTCCAGTTTGGTGTGATTCCTTTGCTGTTGTGAACATTCTTATACAAAGTTCTTTGTAAATACTTTATTTCCCTTGGAAATGGAATTGTTGGGTCACATGATATATGGTTTGATTTTTTTTAAGATAAGAAATCAGAATTTCTCTTACGTAAATATATACACATTGTATAAAAATGGTTGTGCTGGAGAAATGGCTCATCAGTTAGGGCACTTGCTGCTCTTCCAGAGGACCTGCCTTTGTTTCTCAGCTCCCATGTCAGTCAGCTCACAGCTGCCTGTAACTCCAGTTGACTTCTGACCTCTGAGGGCATCTGAACACTTGTGCTCATACTCACACATAGACACATAAGTAAACATTAAATGAGGGTTATGCTACTTCTCTTATGTAAGATGCTGTATTATTTTATATTCCTACCATCAGTGAGACTTCAGGCTGTCCCACATCCTTGCCAGATTTTGACATTGTTGGTATTCTTAACTGTAGAGACGGAGTGGATTTGTGGTGGCTATCTCTTTGTAGTTTGAATTTGCATCTTCCTTTTAACATTGTTTCAAGTGTCCATCAACTATTTTATATATTCCTTCCTGAAGTGTCTATTTAAATAATCTTTTACATCTTTTTAATCATGCTGTTTTCTTTTAATTCTGTTGTTGTAGGACTTCTTTGTATAAATACGTTTTAAGAATATCTTTACTCATGCTGAGCTTACTCATTCATTTTCTTGATGCTATAATTTGCTGACAAGTTTTTAAGTTTGATGAAGTCTAATTTATCCAAGCTTCAAAGTGTGTGTGGTTATGGATTTTTATTGTTTAGCTAAGAAAACGTGTCTACTTCCAACTCATGCATGTTCTCTGCTGTTTTCTCCCGGGCACGTCATGACTTCAGCATTTAGATTTAGCACTTAGTGTGATCCATCAAAATGAAATTTTACATACAGTGCTGGGTTGCAGTAGGGACATTCTTTTTATTCCCGTCAAATGCCCAGCTATGTTAGCACCTCTTGTTTTAAAGACTCCTCTCCTCATTGGCCCGTTGCTGTAAACTCCAAGTACCACAGATGGTAGCTGTCTGGACTTCCCACTTGGTTCCTTTAGTCTTTATGCCAATCCTCAGTCTAACTCAGCAGTTCTCAACCTTCCTATGCTGCCACCCTGTAATACAGTCCCTCATGTTGTGGTGACCCCCAACCATAGAGTTATTTCGTTGCTACTTCATAACTACTGTAATTTTGCTACTGTTATGAATTGTAGTGTAAATATCTGATATTTGACTCCCCAAAGGGGTCGTGACCCACATGTTGAGAACCAATGATTGAGTGCCACACAATCCAGATTACAGTGGTGAGTCCTGGCAACAGATATCGGGGCCCTCTTCTTTAGTGTCTTTTTTTTTAAAGCTTTGTTTAGATATCTAGATTTTTTTAAATTTTCAAATTAGTTCCTCTTTTTTTCACCCCCTTGGCTTTTCAGGACAGTGTCTTGTGTGAGCCCTGGATGGATTTTCCTTCCTCTGTCTCCCCAGTGCTGAGATATTAGGTGTCAATACCACACCACACCACACCACACCACACCACACCACACCATACCACACCACACCACACCACACCCACACCACACCCACACCCACACCACACCCACACCACACCAAAGCTTTGCCTTGTTTAGACAAAATGCTTACTGAAATGGAAAGTGTACATCAATTTGGGAATTACTCATAGAAAAATGCTGGATTGTCCAAATAATGAACATGACATATATCTCCATTTCATTATGTTTTAAATTTCTCTCAGCCATGTTTTTGAAATGTGTGCGTAGATGTGTATGCACACGAGTGGAGGCGTGGAGTAACCTTGGGTGTCATCCTTAGGAATACTGTCCACCTCCTTTGAGACAGGGTCTCTTATTGGTCTAGAGCTCACCAGTTAGACTAGACGGGTCAGTGATCCCCTGTGATCCCCTGTCTTCACCTCCCCAATGCGGGATTCCTGGTGCACACTACCACACCTTTCCTGGTTTCCAGGACACTCAGGTTTAAGTTTAGATCCTTGACCTTGGAAGGCAAATGCTGTCCTGGCTGAGTTGTCAAGCCAGTCCTCAAGCAGTGTTTAGTAGTGGTTTTGTAAGTCTTTGGTTACATTTTGTTAAATTTATCCCTAAGAATTTTATGCTTTTTAATTTCAATGTCAATTGAACTGTGAAGAAAATAATTTACAAATTTTTCCTGGTAGATAAATTGGATTTTCTAGATTACTGTTGTGTCCTCGCTGAATTCACACACAAGCTTTAGAAGTTCCTTGGTAGACTCCTTAGGGTTTTTTTTATTTTGTTTGGCAAAACTTCGTAGCATCTGCAAACAATGAGTTTTACTATTTCCTCTCTGATTTTTGTCTTTTTACTATTTTATCACAGTAGGTGGACCCACCTGCACAGGAAGAGATGTGGGAGTGGCCAGTCTTGCTGTTTCCTGCCTTCAACATCTCATTCTGGTTATATGTTAGCCATGTTTTTTTCACAGACACATTTTTTAAAAATTGAGGATGTTTCCTTCTATTTCCAATATGTTAGTTTTTTAAAATCGTGTGTTTTTTCTTTATTTTAATGTATTGTATCTTTTTATGTGTATAGTATGTGTGTACATGTGTGGGGTATACGTGTGTGCAGCTGTGTGTGCATTGGCATGTGGAGATCCAAAGATGATATCAGGAATCTTCCGTGGTCATTTTTTCACTTTATGCTTTGAGGCAGGCTCTCCATCAAGCCCCAGAGCTTGCTGATACGACTAGTCTGGAGAGAAAGCTTACTCACTTGGGGAATTCCCCCATCTCCATCTTCTGAGGCTGGAGTTATAGGCAGCACTGTGCCCATGTGGAGGATCTGAACTCTGGTTTTCTTCCTTGCCTTCTCCCCAGCCACTACACTGATTGTGAAATTTTTCTGATATTCTATGGATAAGCCCTACTGGGTCATGATATATTATCCTTGTAATCTACATTTGGGTTCAGTACACAGAGGAATACTGGTCTGCATTTTCTCTCTCTGTTCCCTCTTTGCTTTTATTTATTTACTTAGATAGCACTTTCTCTGATGTCAGTTTTAGGGCTATGGGAGCCTCATGAAACAATGAAAGGTTCCCTTGTTCTGTTTTCTTAAATTAGTTGTAAGTTTGGGGCTTTGTTTCCCCAGAAGGCCATTTTGGTATAAACCTTTGAACTTGGCATCATGAGGTCAGAGCTGATAGATTAGGAGAACTTCTTGCTCTTCATCCAGTTGTGATCTTTGATTTCTTCCTTCTGGTAACTTACTCTCCCACCCAACTACCTCAGAAACTATCCTCTCTGGTGCCTTTGTCTATAAGGCAGAACCACAGAAAACTCCTGGCTCCCTTTTGCCACTTGGGAGTGTATGGTAGGCGAAGGGAAGCCTTGCCTAAGTCAGTCTTTACCACAAGTACTAGCTCAGATGCTCCAAGAACACATCCCAGGTCTCCCAAAAGAAGTGAAGAAGACCACACTGTGTTTCCCTCAGGGCAACTCTCTCTCTTGGTCAATTGCACTTCCTTAGTATGACCTTGTTGATAATGCTCGCCCACTTCTGGACACGTGACCTTTGCAAGTCACTGGCTTTGGAATACTCAGCTGTACTTTGGGAGACCTGGAATAATTCTGCTTTCACTTTGCAACTTCATGGATCTGTCTAAAAAAATTGTTATGAAGTACTAGGTTTGACGATGGGTAATTTCATCTCACTGAGGGAAATGGTGAGATATAGCATAAAATTGTGGTGTTCAAAGCCTGAACTCTAAGTCACTCCACAACCATGCTCATTGGCCCACAGCTTATGTCTCTCTCCTCTGTGTTTGAATGCAGCATGATGGTTCCAGGCAACGCGGCAGGTGTGGCCAAGCAGTTCCTCCGCTGCATCTTCCATCAATTGGCCCCCAACGGCATCTTCCCCCAGCTGTTCCAGAGTGCCATCAAAGGTAACTCACTCCCCCGAGGACCCAGACACTGCAAGCCTGGCCATTCCCTGAAAACACCACTGACTCTGACTGTTTGCTTTACAGATGGGACTTTTTTACGGACCTTAGCCACATCACTCATGGACTTCAATGAGCTGAGCTCAATTGCTGCCCTTGGTCAACTCTTGGAGGTAGGCTTGCTGTTGCTGGGAAGAAAGCAGCTGCTGCTGTTATTGATAGCCCCAGTCTTTATTCTGGAAGATTCTTTCCAGCAGGCATCATTCACTGTCTTCTAAACATCTAACCACCCCAGTTATATCCTTACATAGTTCTTATTTCATGACCCAATTTTACCTCACGGATTTAAAGATCACAAATTTTGCCCAGTTTTTCTAAATGTAGCTGGGTTTTCTTCTGTATTCTTCCTGCCTGTTGGGATGATCAGCCTGTATAGCAGGCTGTCCAGCGTGTTTATAGTGTGAATATGTGATTTCTAAACAAACTTTCACTGGATAGCTTTATGAATTCGTGTGCTGCTTTCAGCAGTTGATTGCTTATGCTTTTGTGTTTTTAGGGTCTAAATAACAAAAAGAATTTACCAGCAGGGGGCGCGATGATACGCTGTTTGGAAAACATTGCCACGTTCATGGAGGCTCTGCCCATGGATTCTCCTAGTAGCCTCTGGACCACAATCAGCAACCAGTTTCAGACATTTTTTGCCAAGCTGCCTTGTGTTTTACCTCTGAAGGTGAGCACAGCCCAAGTTTTTAGCCTCCACCGCTCTCTGTCCATCTGTTTACAGAGACCAACACATGATGCATGGTCAGGTGATCCAACAGATCCCAAAGAGCTGGGAAATCTGTCAGCCAGAGTGAAGTAAGAATGTTTAGGTCAGTCAGTTTGCAACATTACAAGTTGTCAGCAGCGGGGGTGGACATTTTACCCACTGATAATGAAGCTACCCAGTGACCACATGGTTTTTAGTTGAATAAAAGGGTGCCGGTAGACTATGGTTTGTTCTTTTCTGTCTGTCTTTCTGTCTATCTGTCTTTCTTTCTAAATTTGTTTTTGTTTTCATTTTTAGTGAGGGGGCTAGAACTCTGCATCCTGTGCATGCTGAGTAACATTCTACCACTGAACCTTGGATTGTCTTAATGTAGAAGTTTTTTTTTTTTTTCTCGAGTGGATATCAAATAGGCAAGGGAATTAATAGTTTTGTTTAAAATTATTAAATTTTAGTTAATTTACCAGACACAGGTAAAGTGTTAGTTTTAGAGAATTATTTTAAGTGACAAGTGGTTTTGGATAATGTTCTAGTAATGTTCAGGAAAGACCAAGACGATATTCTACAGGACAGCTTTTAGTGTTTGGATCAACACAAGGCACCTGGGAAGAATACACACACACACACACACACACACACACACACACACACACACACACACACACGGGGTGGGGAAGGTGATATTGTGTTACCTAACTGGTTAATCTTGTGGTCCAAGGATCATTATCATCATATGGTCCTGTTAAGTGCAAAACCAAACCAAACCAAACCCAGGAGCCTATCCTGTTAAAGCTGGAGACACCAATAAAACGTGTTGTTTTTGTATGTCGAACAAGGAGTTGCAAATTGAGAGTAGTGTAATTTGTAAAGCTCCACAGGGTGGGGAGATTAGAGACCGCATCTCCTGACTCACAGTCTGGTGCTCTTTATATAGCAGAACTGTACACTGTGATAAAGCAGGAAAGGTGTGGACATTTGTGTCTCTAGAGCCAGGGGCCAGGAGGTAGCTAGCCTTGTCAGAGATAGTCCTCTGAACCTCGCTCCACTAGAATTTTGTTATTTTTTTTTAAATGCAACTCACAGATAAAATGATTTAAATTGAAACAAAAATGAATCACTTGTTCATCTGACCAGTGAAGTCACATGTTGGTGCTTCTGCATGTGTGCATGTATGCAACATGCTGCAAAGGTCAACTAACCGTGGTAGTCACTGTTGCCGCACTGGCGGATGCTAACAAGGATGCTGTGAGGATGGTAATTCAGAGCCTATCGCTTGCTGAGTGCTGCTTAGGGTTCAAAGTAACTGTGCAAAGCAGAGCAACAAGAAGGCTCCTTTATCACCTCTTTCTGTGATACCTGTTTGCCCACAAGTTAGAGTAGATGAATAAGTCCAAGTGAAGAGGACTAGTCCTGGACTAGTGAGATTGCTCAGGGAAGGGTGCTTGCCACCAAGCCTTGTCTGAGCTTGATTCCCAAGTCCCCCGTGGTGGATGGAGAGAACTCCCAAAGATTTCTCTCTAACATCCATATGTGCACACACACACACACACACACACACACACACACACACACACACGCACACACACACACACACACCAAGTACACACCCCCTTAGACCATCCTTTGCTGATGAGCCAGGAACATTCAGAAGCATGGGTTCCAATGTAATAGTGAAATGGCTGAACTCGGACACTGACCAGCAGGGAGCGCTGCTGCTGTCAACAACTGGTAAGCGAATTCCTGACAATCAACTGTGCCTGCAGGGAACCTGGCCAAAAGGTTAATGAGTAGAGCCGTGCAAGGTAGGAAAATGAGGAGAACTGAGGCCCTTGACAGTGTTAATGCACAGCCCCTGCCGAGGTCCTTCCACTCCTGCTGGTGGTAGTTATACGGGAACAAGCCTCAGCATATGGGTCCCCCTGCCTCTTTTCCCCCCTAAGATGACATTTCCTGGTTTTTAAGTCACCAGGGTTTGGCCTGATCAGCAGCTGGTTTTCAGCTCCTGGTTTAAAGTAAGTAAATGTCACTTCTGAAGGGCGTTGGCATATTAAACAGGCCGAGGTTCTTTTGTAAGAATCTTAGAAAATACTGTCAGGATTTGTGTAAGGAAGTTCCCTCCTCAGTCAGATCCAAAAACTGAACCTGTTTCGTCCTTAATCTCTTAGGAAATATTCCCCACTGAAAATCTTGCTGTTTGTCTTGGAGATGCGTCACTGAAGGAGATCTCAGACTTCAGTGTGCACCACTGTCCCTGCTAATGCCAGAGGGCTGTGACTGGTGGGAGAGAGGCCAGGTGGCAGACAAGCCGCAGGTCCCGGGATCTGTGAGGAGACCCTTCGGCTTAGTTTATACTGTGTTGAAGGGGGTCATTGTCCAGTTGTAGGGGCTGGTCCGTGGCTGTGATAACACGCTCGCAATAGTAAATGACAGCTCGATGTTTGTGCTGCCAATTTCCTCCCAACCCCTGAAAACTCAGGGATTTTCAAAGAATATTTTGACCTAGAATCTTGCAAAGTGTGTTTTTTTTTTCTCTTCAGATAGATGTTAGAGAGAAGTCTTGCTGCTTTTCTCCAGGTTCTGGGCCATGTCTTTTCATGACAAAGGGAAGGTGAATTCCCACCTAGGAACTGGGGAGGCCTAGCTCAGTGGTACCACACCTTCTTGCTATGCACAAGGACCAGGATTAATCCTTAGCCTTGTGAAAAATTAAAATAAGAACAAATCCCAGAGGAAGGTCGATGAAATTGGTTTTTATTTGGACCAATGATTTCTATTAGGTTTTCCTCTAAGATAGCTTTTCCTAACTTTTAGTTATACTTCTTTAGACTGGTATACATTTAACATCTGCCTTCTTAACCTATGTGTCTATCTGTCCATCTTTCTAGCCACTTGTCCATCTACCTATATGCCTGTCCATCCATCCATCCATCCATCTAGTTCTTTTTCCAACTTTCTATATCATTTAATTCTGGAACTATATCTTTGAGAAATAGTTTCAGAGCTGTGTTTATTTAATTTACTTAATAATTATTTTAATATTGCATAATTGTTTCATTAAAGATTTTAAATCTGAAAACAATTGTTTTTGATAGACATAGGAAATAGAGAGGTGATTACAGTAAGACTTGTGTGTGTATGGGCGTGTGTGTGTGTGTGTGTGTGTGTGTGTGTGTGTGTGTGTGTGAATCCCTATGGGTATGTAGGCATATAGAGGCCAGAGGTCAGCATTGGGTATCACTCCTCAGGCACAGTCCACTGTGTTTTGGGGACAGGCTCTCTTCCTGCTCTAGAGCTCACTGAGTTGGCCAGGCTGGCTGACCAGTGAGCCCCAGGGATGCCCCTGCTTTCATGGCCCCCACACCCAGCTCTTTCACATGGGTTCTGTGAGCAAGTTTGGGACTTTATGCCTGTGTGACAAGCCCTTTACTATGGAGCCATCTCCCTGGTTCCACAGCTTTTTGCAAAATATTTGCGGGAAATATTTGAAACAAAAGAAACATCGAGAAGGAAGCTGATCTTTACCTTTTCCTATCTGTCCACAGTGTTCGTTAGATTCCAGTTTGAGAATTATGATTTGCCTCTTGAAGATCCCTTCTACCAATGCCACGAGGGTATGTATTTAAAAAAAATGTTTCAGAAAAGCTGCCTGGTTGGTTATTTGATTACCTTCTAACTGAAAGACAGGAAGACAGCAATACTGAAGACATGGCTGCTGCTTACAGAATGACTCCCTTTAGCAACGTGCTGGGTCAGCATCTAACACACTGCAATGTTACCATTTGTAACCATTCATCCTGGTCTGGGGCAAGCCTACCGCTCCATCCAGATTACCAATTAGCTGAGCCTTCTGAGTAGGGTTGTGTTGGTTCCTTAGGTAAAAGTCTTTGATGACTTCTGGTTTCTTTCAGAATAACATCTAAATTCTTTGATGTAGCATACAATTTCATCCCTTCTCACTAGCCCACCTTTCCAGTTTAATCTCTGCTGCTTGTCCCGCCCCTCCAAGCCTGTCATGCATCTTCAGGTTAGTGTCACTATCTTCATGAAGACAGTAGACACCTTCTGTTGAATGATCCTGTATTGCGCCTCATGCCTTACACATAGAATCCTATTGAGTTTGAGATCCTCACTTTTGCTCAAGCTCTTTCCTTTGCCTGACATACTTTAAACCCTTGTCAGTGTGAACCCACACTTCATCCTTCAAAGCCCCATTTAAAACTCCCAAATACTTATTTTATCTGTAGGAAGCACTTTTTTGATCAAGCATTCAGTATTAACACCTACAGTGTCCTACAGGTTCCCCAGTAAGACCATGAGTTGTGTGGGATGTTCATGACTGTGTCTCATTCCCTGCTCACATATCTTGGCTGTCTTCTGTGCAGCAGTACAAGAGCTTGTATTATGGTGATGCATAACTACCAGCTCATCTGCCAACAATGCACATTTCTTATAACTGTTTACCTTTACATTTTCACAGAGTCACAGTTCATGCCATCAATTTGCAAAGAGAGATGAACTAGTCTGCACCTGTACAGATAAAGACATAGACTCAGAAGCAACATGTCTGGTCAAGGTCGTAGCTAGTTTGTCAATGGCCTGAAACTTGGATATAGGTCATGAGAGAACAAATTCCCAGGTTTTTCTGCTGTGTCCTATTGCCCATCAGTTGCTATTTAGATGGAAGTGTTTCCAAATAGGCCCGAATATAGCTTTCTATCTACAGGCACCATCTCAATGTTTCCTTAAGGTTTTCTACATAAAAAGAACAGTATAGGTTTCTGTAGAAGAGTCCAATAACACCTTCATTCTCAGGGGGCAAAGAACAGGTAATGAACTGATTTTCATGTAAATACAAAAGGAATCTCAAAAAGTTTCTTTTTTAAAAAAAGATTTATTTATTATGTATACAATATTAGGCCTGCATGTGTCCCTGCAGGTCAGAAGACCACACCAGATCTCATTACCCGTGGTTGTGAGCCACCATGTGTGTGCTGGGAATTGAACTAAGAACCTCTAGGGGAAGAGTCGGTTCTCTTAATTGCTGAACCATCTCTCCAGCCCCTCAAAAAGTTTTTTTATCTGGTCTGAAGAGAAGGCTCCATAATTAAGAGTACTTGCTGCTCTTGTAGACCCCAAGTTTGGTTTCAGGCAGCTCACACCCTTGTAACTCCAGCTTCAGGGACTATGATGCCCTTCTGGCTTCCTCAGATACCTACACAGACATACACAGACACACACACACACACACACACACACACACACACACACACACACACACGTAAAAATAAAATAAATCTTTAAAAGTGAGTTTATTCCTGGAGCTTCAGAGATGCTTGGAGGGTAAAAGCACTTGGCATGTAAGTGTGAGCACCCGAGTCTCCATCCCTAGAACCCACATAAAGACTGGATGCTGCACAGTGGCAAACAGCTAGAGAGACACTGCCTAAGACAAGGTGGAAGGTGAGGATAGATACCCGACATTGTCCTCCGACCTCCGCATATGCACCATGGCACAAACACACACTCACACACTCACACACAAAAAGTAGATATTTTTGAAATGTTCATATCCTCTCATTGGGTCAGTCCTCTTCTGGAAGTTTGTGCTAAGGAAGAACATTAAACTGAAAATGTCATGCAGACATGTTTACCGAGGTGGCACTTGCAGTGTGGCTATCAAGATGGATGGCTCTGGAGGATTATATCACACTTTACTTTCTTATATTATCAATAAGAGAATGAATTGTTGTATCTGTTATCAAGATCCAAGACTCCCACTAAGAACAGTAGCATCACAGGCAGGAGCTTGTGTTCTTTCCTGGCTCCTGGGGCTCCAGGAGAAGTTTGAAGAGGACAAACAGTACAGAAGTGCCAAGCTCTGCCTGACACTCAGTGGGTGCTGACAACACATTTCTGGGTGACTTATGAGAGCCTGCCAGACTCAAACAGCCCTAGTGGGGTTTGGAAGGGGAAACAGACAACATCCCTCTAATAAATATGTGCAGGAGGCTGGGCAGCAGGAACTATGTCTGAGCTCAAGGCACTTGCTGCTACACACATAGGGCACTTCTCAGAGTGTAGCTGGTGGATACGAATCTGAGGACCTGACACCTGAGGGTTCAGAGGAACAGATTGGGGGACCCCAACACAGCCTCACAAAGGCGGGATTGCTTAGCCTAGCAGGAAGACAGGAGTGTGCTTAGGGGGGTTATAAATGATGCCACACGGGAAAAGGGGTTCAATTTTTCTGAGCAATAAAGTGACTGAATCATTCTCTTTGAATTATGTGTGGATTTCTTAGACCAACAGAGTGGCCATTAATAGCACCTTGCATCAGATTTCTAACAAACAACTCTTAGCGGTTAAAGTGTAATAAGACCAGTGCTTTCTTTCAAATGAAGGAATAAGCAATTTATTTGGCTTCAATCTCATTGCAGAGTTTGTTGGAACCATTTTCCAAGCTCCTCAGCTTTGTCATTCAGAATGCTGTCTTCACGCTGGCCTACCTGGTGGAGCTGTGTGGCTTGTGTTATCGAGCGTTCACTAAGGTAAACCTCCCTGTGTGTTCCCAGGAACCCAGAGATAGCAGCATCAAGTCCACATCAGCATAGCTGCTTTACTGTTAAAATGAGTGGTTGGCTATACTGAGTCCTGTTGGATGCTTCACACATGCATACTTTTACTGGTTCTGTAATGTGCAGCTTTGGAGACTGAGGTCACACGGTTTAGAAAACAAGAGGCACTTTGAGCGAGTTAATGGTCTAGGTGACCTCATAAAGACCTTTTCAAGTTTATTATAGCTTCATGAGTGGGCAGACCACCACTGTGTGTCCTTTTTTTATAGCCAAAGGAGAAAAAATAGCTCGCTACTTGTACAAGCTTCTAGAGTGCTCCTTAATGCTCCCGTGTTTATGTCCCCAGCTATGGGTTCTTGGCCTCTGAGAGGAGAATCTTAGTCGTGGCTCCTTCCTCTGGGTTGGTTTTAGCACCTCTCTCCCCAAGCCTGAGAAAATGGAAAAGGACGTCCTATCCAGTGGATATGGCCACCTTCTCGGAGCCAGCAGGCGCTGGCCTCGTGGAAATGCAGGCATCAGGGAAAGTGGCTCCTTCCCATCCTGGGGACACTGCAAATGCTCTGTTCCAAGGCCCAGTGTCCTAAGCTTGTTTTCAATGGGGCCTCTGTTTCTGTGAGTCCCCCCCCCCCCCGGAACATTCAGAATGCTCTTTATTTATGTCCCCTCCTTCTATGAGCCCTTTATTTCCCCCCATAAACTCTCATTTCACAACAAAGCTTTCATTCTATTTATAAAACGCTCTGCGGTCATCTTTCTTACCAACGTGCATCCACTCTGCCATGTTAAGTGTTCCAGGATAATTTCCTCTCCGGCCTTGCACGTTCTAAGTCGCTTACTGGCCTGCCTGGAGCACACATTTTCCACCTCTCAAGTTTTTTCCCTTGCACATTCCCTTTGAAAAGTAACTTAACCCTCTTTTTCTTTTATGCTTAAAAGAGTGTATCTTTACAATATAGCACCAAATACAGCAAATTGCTTTATTTTTATTTGAAAGTAGTGGTATCTAACAGCGTCTCCTTATGTAATCCAGTGAAAAGACAGGAGAATGCATAAAGTCCTAGTGGCATCTTTTCTTGGAAGTTGGGCAGTCTAGAAAATCCAGAACCACCCCCACTGAAAAGACTAGGATTCTGGGTGAAATATAATAACACTTACTTTTAAAATATTTTTATGATGCTTACTTTTAGTGTACGATTAATATTATAAGAATGACAGAGGGCAAAAGAAGAAGGAATTGAGAACCAAATGTAAGCACATAAGCAGGTCTGTGTAGGGGGTCACTGTCTTAGCAATGGGGTGGGTTGAGTGCTGAAGTCCACACAAGGAAAGGGGATGATGATTTTACGACAGTTCCATGCCAGGAGCTGGAGCCAAGTCATCTCCCCCAGGAGGTCAGAACCATTGAAAAGCTATACCCTGGGTAAAAGGGTAGCTCCAGAGGAATACATTTGTAACGTAGCAGTGACAAGCAATGCTATGTGTTTTAGCTTCTGAACGGAGGAAGAATATGATGTCCCTTGAGAATTAGTAAGCATAGCTGATCATTGAAAAGATTAATGGTTTGAATTTACAGTACCTTGTTGCAGTATATTTGATCACACTGTGAACCTCAAGATTGTGTTATTTACTGGAGGAACCTGTTTCTAGTTGTGGTGTGGCTCAACCCTAGCACACACCTTTAATCCAAGAGCTTCTGCTTGAATATTGTAAATAGGATTAAGTGAAGTCAACCATTGGTCAAGAGGCAGAGGAAGCAACCAGTTGACAGGAAGTAAACAAGAAAAAAAACCATAGAGAGTAAGGAGGGAGTCAGGAGGACGGAGAGAGAGATGCCCAGGAAATAAAAGGGAGGGACACTGAGTTGGAGGAGACTTGTCTGAGACAGTAGGAGAGAGAGGAGACTTTGGGGATGATGGCAGAGGAGGAAGGTCAGCTTTGCCTCTCTGAGCTAGCAGGCTTTCACCCCAGCATCTGGCTCCTAGGTCTTTTTTGGTACAATAGAATGATTGTGATTTTGTTGAGAACAACAGTACATGCAAGCTGAAGTCACATGACACCAATGCTGCACTGCAACAGTGGCTCGGCTTCGGCATCTCTGCAGAAGGAAGCTCAGAAACAAACCTCAGGCATGTCTACAGAGATGAGCCTGCAGCCCAGCCCCACTATGATTCCTGAGGCTAAAACACTGATGAGCATAAGTAATCTAAACTCCATGCTTCCCAAGTAAAAACAACCTACCGTGGGCTGAATTGGTAGAGTCAATAAATAGTGATATTATTTCTGTCAAGAATATGGAGACTGTGAGACAGGGGCTATCAGAGTTTACTCTATACTATACGCACACAAAGAATTAAAAAAAAATACTAGAAAGAGATTTAGTCATTTTAGAAAAAAATCAGGTTAATTTAAGCTTGATAAAAAGTGAAAAATAGCCACTAACCTCGAAACAAAAACAAACAAACCTCAATTCACAAGTTAACTAGCAAATTAGACAAAGCTTAAAGGGAGAATTGGAGACACAGGAAAGCAGAAAAACAGATCTAAATAAAAATCAGACAAAGAGATAAAAAGATCTAATACACATTAAGTAAATCTGTAGAAAAAGAGACTAGGCTTTTATCATTTCCATAATTAATGAAAATCATCAGTTCTATGACTTGGGTTAAAATGTGTCCAAAAGTAGTATAGATTCAGCCTTGCCACTCACCTGCACCTGCTCCCCTGCACCCACTCACCTACACCTGTTCACCTGCACCCACTCACCTGCACCTGCTCACCTTCACCTGCTCCCCTGCACTAGCTCACCTGCACCCACTCACCTATATCTGTTCCCCTGCACCTGTTCCCCTGCACCAGCTCCCCTGCACTTGCTCCCCTGCACCCACTTACCTGCATCTGCTCCCCTGCGCCAGCTCCCCTGCACTTGCTTCCCTGCACCCACTTACCTGCATCTGCTCACCTGCACCCACTCACCTGCACTCACTTACCTGCACCTGCTCCCCTGCACCTACTCACTTTCACCTGCTCCCCTGCACCTGCTCCCCTGCACCTGCTCCCCTGCACCTGCTCACCTGCACCTACTCACCTTCACCTATTCACCTGCACCTGCTCACCTGCACCTGCTCACCTGCACCTGTTCACCTTCACCTGTTCACCTGCACCTGCTCCCCTGCACCTGCTCACCTGCACCTACTCACCTACACCTGTTCACCTTCACCTGTTCACCTGCACCTGCTCACCTGCACCTACTCACCTTCACCTGTTCACCTTCACCTGCTCACCTGCACCTACTCACCTTCACCTGTTCACCTGCACCTGTTCACCTGCACCCACTCACCTGTACTGACTCACCTTCATCTGCTCTCCTGTACCCACTCACCTGCACCCACTCACTTTCATCTGCTCACCTGAACCTGCTCACCTGTGCCCACTCACCACCTGCTCACCTGCACATGCTCACCTGCACCCATTCACCTTTGCTTGTTTATCTGCAACCGCTCACCTTCACCTGCTCCACTGCACCAGGTCACCTGCACCTGTGCACCTGCACCCACTCACCTGCATCCACTCACCTGCATCCACTCACCTGCACCCACTCACCTGCATCCACTCACCTGTACCCATACACCTGCATCTGCTCCTACAGGCACATTTTATGACCAGCTGTGATTTGGAACAAGCAAGAAAAAGACAATGTTTTAAGAGTAACTGAGAGAAAAGCACTCTGAGAACAGACTTAATAGCAAACCTCACAGCAGCACAATGCAACCCCAGAGGGAAATGGATCCCAGTGGGAAAGGTCTTTAAGATGATGTGAGGGAAAAATTATTCCCTAGAATTCTCTACAGCTGAGACATCTTTTAACAATGGAGGCTAAGGAGGTATTCATGAGGAAGAAAAGAAAATATTAATTCCCTTGAAGATTCATTAATTTTTACTTTCTGTGTATGTGTGAGTGCCGGCATGTCTGTATGTGCACCCTGTGTATGCCTAGTACCGGAGGAGGCCAGAGGACAGCATTGGATCCTACAGAATTGGAGTTACAGATATGAACTGGTCAGTGTGGGTGTTGGGAACCGAAACCCAGGTCCTCTGCAAGAGCAATACTTCCTCTTAACTGCTGAGACATCTCCCCAACCCCTGAAAATGTGAATATACTCTTGTTGAAGTAATATTTCAAGATGTATTACAATAAGAAGGAAATTGAGCCAACAAAGAAGTTTTTAAATATATGAAGGAAATTTACCAAAGAAATTAGTAAAATGTATAAATCTAAGTGATCATTGACAATATAAAGCAACAATAGTAATAATATTAACTAAGAAAAACAAAAGGATAATAAAATACCACCTAACAATAATATGTATACAGGGTGTGCGTGTCTGTGTGTGTGTGTGTCTTTGTGTATGTGTGTCTGTGTGTGTGTGTCTGTATGTGTGTGTGTGTGTCTGTTTTTGAGTGTGTGTCTGTATGTCTGTGTGTGAGTGTGTGTGTGTCTGTATGTGTGTGTGTGTGTGTGTGTGTGTGTGTGTGTGTGTGTGTGTGTGTGTGTGAACAGTTGGGGGCTGGAGTTAAAGCACTCTCTCACAGGTCCTGTTCACAAGGACAGGGATTACTAGTAACTTTAAACTCTTAAGAATACATGTCAGCGTTTTAAGTGTAAACTCCAAAGGCTAGAAATACAACATGTAAGTTCCAAACAAGTACAGACTAAAATAGGAATGAAAAACTTAATCGTGACAAAAGACACAGAAGAAGCTGCAGCCAGCTCAGTTAAGGAACTCGAAGTGAACCCCAAACACGGCAGGAATCAAAATGAACGTGTATTATGCTCACTAGAAAACAATTACATGTCATCTGTAAAATACACACATAAAATATGTCTAAAGACACCAAGAAAGTCTGAAAACTAATAGCTGATATGTAGACAATATTAATGGGGAAAAATGACAGTAAGGTGACTTTAAGTTAGAATTTTCATGTTAGAATTATAACATCATTGTATACTGAAAGAGGGAAGTCTATCAGAAAAATGAGATAATTCTTCAGCTCTGTAGAGTAAGAACATAGCCTCAAAAATTAATATAATTGTAAAATGAGATTGATAAATTCACAGTCACACATTTTATTGAGTATTGAGATAAGAATAGATATTTGGGGCTTCCTGCTTTACCCCTAGATAAGTTGGAAGAAGTGCTTGCTATTCATGCAAATTTGGCTTTATCAGCCTTCAGAGCCCTGTGAACAGGGAAGAGTGAATGTGCATACACATGTACACACACACACACACACACACACACACACACACACACACACTACACCCACACACCCACATATACACACCACACAAACACACACACACAAACACCCACCCACCACACACACACAAACACGCCCCCCCACACACACCACTGGTACAAGGGTAGGTGTATCCTCTCCCAGCTACTTAGAGAAATCTATGAGATTCTTTTCTTGACCACTCCCTATTCTCAGGTACATGGATCCTGTCTCCTTGTCAGATCCACAGCCCACCACGTTATCTGCATGAGTGCACCCCTGTGTAGAGTGAGTCATGTCTGGCATGGGAGGTTGTGTGAGTGGATGCACACAACCTGAGACTAGTGACTGGCAAGGCTCTGAAAACAGACTTTGCAATCCTGTGTTAATGCGTGTGGGCGTATGTACTTTTCCCTGTTCTTACAAGGTGATGGTAGTAGTACCTGAGCCTTGTTATATTTGGCAGCTAAAATATACTTTTCAATAAATCGAAAATCAAAAGAATGTTTAGGAAAATTTAGAAGACTATTTAGTATCAATTATGAAAATACTACCTTCAAAATGGAGCTTTATAGCCACAGCGTGTGGAGATGCACATTTAATGCCTTACATACTTGTATGTGTGTACAGATACATGTGCACATATGTGCATATGGAGGCCAGAAGTTGATGTGGGTGTCTTCCCCTGGCTCACCACTCTGTTTGTTTAAGACAAGGACAATCAATGAAGCTGAAGATCACAGATCTGGCCGGTGAGCCAGAGATCACCGACCTGGGATGACAAGCACACACCGCCATGCTTGCCTTTTTTTTCTTTTTTCTTTTTTTATTCATGTTAGAGATGTGAACTCAGGTCCTCATGCTCACACAGCAAGCGGTGTACCAGCTGAACACGTCCCCGCCCCCTGTCCTAAGTACTTTACTAGGAAGAAAGAAACACTAAATGAACTAAACAGGCCAACTTACATGACAAGAAAAAGGAGGTAACAAAGATGACATCACACACACCCACAGAGGAGCGACACAGCACAGGGCCCGTGGCTAACCCATTAACCTCGGTGACCAAGAAAGTGATAAACAGCACAGATAAAGTGGGTTAAAACAGCCAACTTCGAGCCAGTACCTTGAATTCTTACACAATCGGGGTAGTTTTCTAGAAACATAATGCATAACAACCAGGGGAGAAGAGAAAAAGAAAATGTTGATTACATTTAAATGGTGAAAAAACAGAGTTGGAAATTCAAAGCCTCCCTTGAATGAACACCATTGCAACTCTGGTGACGATGTCCACTCAGTGTTTAGAAACACAGTGACCTGTACTGGCACACTAAGAGGGCAGAAACAGGGAGCACTGCCCAAACATTCTAAGAGGGCAGCAGACTCCTGACCCCAGCCGGACAGGGGCAGCAGGGGAAGGAGATGACAGACCAGTGTCCATCATACATGAAAAATTCCTGATGAACAATACAAATCAGTATGTTAAAAGGAGAGCCTCGCGAGCCAGCTGGGATCTACAGGACTGTAAAATTGGTATACAACCAAACATTTCCTACTAATGAGTCATGGATACATTTATTTTAGAACAATTATTTGGTGTACATACACTTTTACCATTTATTAAAGGTAAAAGAAGGTTTCAGAAATGGAAAGATGGCTCATTTGTAAGAATGCATACTTGCCCCTGCGGAGAACTCAAGTTAGTTCCAACACTCATGTTGGGTGGTTTACAGCTGCTTATGAATCCAGTTCCAGGGGATTCAATGCCCTCTTCTGGCCACTGCAGACACCTGCACTCATGGGTGCATATCCACACAGAGATACCTGCACAAACACATTAAATTTTTTTAAATTTTTATTTAAAAAATTCTTATTAATGAATTGGACCTGCTTGTTTATTTTTATATAAAGAATCAAATATTGCCAGAATATTTGATACTGTAGTATGCTATCTTTAATGTTTTTCAGAATTGTTTGGTGTTTTTATTTTATTCCTATCAAGGCTGAAAACCACGCTTTGCATAAATATGTAGCACAAAAATCGCAGAAGCATGTTCAAGACCATCTCAAATTGTTGGAAATTTTTTCCTAATCCCAAGCTAAAATTTATGCAGCAATTTAAAAAAAATGAAACATAGTTCAGCAGCTGAAAAAGCAATTTTAAAGCCAAACATTCTAACTCTATGATTCAGAGGTACACTCACTTGGTGCGCACATGCTCAGGAATCACGGTGGGACAATCTTAAAAGTCTTCTCCACAGCTCAACCGTGTATTTCTGTAAAAGCAGAGCCTTTGTATGTACAACAGAAGACCACAATCACTAGCACGCCACAGTCTGAGCTGAGCTGTTGTCGGCAGTGCAGTCCTGCATTCACAGGGCAGAGTGTGTGTGCACACGCACACACACACAGATTTTTAATAATTGAATTTTTAAAAAATGAACAAGCTATTTTCTTTAAAGCTTCTTGGAAGCATCAATATGTTAGCAAATATACAGACATCATGAGGCCAGGGGCCACAGGGTGGTGAGCCTAGTTGAGTTCCACAGGGTGGTGAGCCTGGCCCTGCAGGTTGCAGGGTGGTGAACTTGGCCCTGAAGGCCAGTTTCCCCCTGGGAATGTTGATCAGTGTGTGGATAATGTGACTGAGAGACTGAGCTGTGGTTTTAGAAGCTAATGAGGGTAGAGAGACTAGCATCAGACTGGAGACCTGGATTCCACATCCTCCAGGTGTATACCTCTGTCTATAGACCACAGACTAAGAACGCCCAGAGTAAACTTGTTTTTGTTGGACCCAGCACAGTGTTGGCTCTGAGGTTAAATCCACAAGACTTTCTGTGTACTAAGGTAGTTGTGGTCAGCCAGTGTGGGCCACACACACCAGGGAAAAACAAGCAGAAGGCTCTATGAGGGAAGAGAACAGTTCAGGAAGCACATTATCTCTACATGTAACTTTGAAGAGAAAGCCTTCATCACACATTTGACAGTAACCAGCTATACAAACAGATACAGTGGGTGAAAATGAATACAGAGCTCTCCAGAGCTCCTCAGGTGTTGGCTGTGTGCTGTCCTGTCCTAAGTGCTCATTACTTGAGAGCTAAGCCCATTTTAATTCACTTAACTGTACACTTAACACACTGTGCACTCTCCTACATGTGTGTTGTGTTTGATAGTAAAGAAGGTCCATCTAATGTACAATTGACGTTGGTGAATTGTGGCACAGCCATACAACATAATATTAGTAAATTGTAGACTCAAAACAATGAGTTAAATGTATCAAGGGCTAATTAAAGAACACAAATAATTCTAAGTTGAAGAAAAGATATGCACAGTGTATGAGTACTAAGGCTAAAAGCCAATTTTACGAAAGAGGTACGCATGTGTAGTCAAAATATGAAAACACAAAATAAGCAGCAGATTCAGAGTAGAGAGGACTTTCAGGAAGGGAGGAAACATTGAAAGGGATGGTGGGTACATGAAGCGTCCCATTCTCTCTGCTTTTCTGTACACTTGAAATCATCCATGTCAAAAAAGGAGCGTCTTGGAGGGACCACGGAGCTTTTCAGACAGCTGTGCCTGCTTCTCTCTGTATCCTTTAGTCTTGTTTGATTGTGCAGCTCTTGGACTCTGCTCCCTGTGACTCAGAAACAAATCCCGTGGTTTTGATATTTAAGAGACATTCTGTTGCTCCTCATCCATTCTGTGATGTGTGCTGGTTGCAGCAGGGAGCTCATTCTGCACACGGGACTCTTTCTTGTAGTTTTAATTTTATCTCTGAAAGGAAACTCGTTGCACTTTAAACACCATTTTGAATTTCTGATCTGTAAATTTTTGAAGCTTATTTGGCACAGATCACGTGAATTGAACTTTGAAAATGACTGACCCCCTTCTATTTTGTTTTATTCAGGAACGGGATAAATTCTACTTGTCTCGTAGTGTTGTTCTGGAACTTCTCCAGGCCCTGAAGTTCAAGTCTCCTTTGCCAGACACAAACCTCCTGCTTCTTGTCCAGGTAGATCTGCGTGCATCTGCAAACCTTCTCATGACGTTGTGTGTGTTGGGGAAAGGCTACGGAGGCCTGGAGCGCGTGCTTGGGGCCAAAGCCTTTGTCAAGGTCGGGGGGTGGCACTCTAACAGTGCACTTGGCACTTCCACTGGCTAAAAAAGACAAAAGAGGAGTCATTTTTTTTGTCCCAGTGTGGACCTAGTTTTACGAATGATAAAAATATAGAATAAAACAATAATTTTTGTCATCAAGACACTTGTAACTCAGGGCTGGAGAGATGGTCAGTGGTTCAAGTTTGGTTCCTAGCACCCATATCTGGCTCAGTTCAGCTCAAGGATATCCAACACCACACACACACACACACACACACACACACACACACACACACACACACGCACACACACACACACAAGAAAAGAAATGTGTAATTCATCAGTTGGCAGGCAGTTTGCTAAACAGTGCAGAGATGGGACTAAGGGAGCCAAGGGTGGGGCTGCAGGCTGAAGTTTTCCTGCATGGTCCAATCAGCACAGACAAGCCCCAGAATCTTCCATGTCTGTGAGGATGGGCCAGACCAAACACAGGCAACTGGCAGGGTATGCTGAGTCCATGGGGTGGAAGATGAGAACCAGTTCCCATGACTCCACTGAGGCAGAGGCCTTGAAGGCAAGCACTGGAGAGTTAATGACAAGGATCACTCTTTCCCGATACTACAGGTGAGGGGCTCAAGCCCTCTGTCTCCAGTGTCCTTCACAGCATCCTAGGCAGGCCCATTTACACCTCCAAGATAGGCTGTGACTAGTGCCAGAAAAAAGAGATAAGGAAAGTCCTTGAGAGAAGTTGTGAGCAGGAGAGATTCCCTCCTGTGTAGTGTGTGATCAGGGGAAAACTTATTGGTGACTTGTCCTTATAGCTGGGTCACCAAGGACAAGCATCTGCTTGGTATGACGGGTAGCCAGAGACTGAAAGGTTTCAAACAATACAGGCAGGAAACGAGCTTGAGGTCCCTGGGTTCCCTCCATAGCACTGGATGATGTCCCTTCACTGCCCCCGGTCTTGAGCAGGTGTGTCTGTGTGACCGATCTTCTTGGGGTCTGGCACCTCACACTGTAGCTGTTGCGGCCTGGTTTCTATGAAGTCCATGAGTCAGCCCTAATAAGCGCTTGTCACGAGACAGCGGAAAAATCAGTGACTGCTTCAATTACGCAGTGCGCGCTTACGGCGACCGCGAAAACGGTGATTACCGCATCTCCGTTTGGTGGACAAATAACAAAAACAAATTTGCGTTAACAAGAAAGAAGGCTGAATGTATACGTTTCTAAAAGTGACTTCGGAATGTCTGTCTGCCATTACAAATACGACATTTTTAGATTTTTTTTTTAAGACCGAGTCTCATCACGTAGTCTAGGCTAGACTCTAACTCCTCAGTGCTTCCTGCCTCAGCCTCCCAAGTACCAGGATTATATTTCCAAACTAACAAACAATATATATATATATATATATATACATATATATACATATACATATATATATATTCACACACACATACACACACACACACACACACACACACACACACACACACACACTGAATCATTAAGTTTAGAAACTATTCATGTTGAAGAGATGTTCAAGAAACACTGATATCCTACCCTGGAGGAGTAGCTTTGTGAATAATGTTTCATCCTTTTTTGAAAAAAAGAAAGAAAGAAAGAAAGAAAGAAAAAGGAAAGAAAGAAAAGAAAAAGAAAAATTAAACATCATGCCATTTTGACTTAACTCATCTAAAAACTGGTAGAGTAAATCACTCTAGTTAGTAATGAGTTAAGTCAAAGTGAGGTGTGGCTTAAAGCCAGTGCAGCTTTCGCCTCTATCCTGGGGTTCTATCCCAGATGAGGTAGGACTAGAGGGGTAAGTTACATTCTTCCCAAGGGTAGGACATACCTTAATTGTGTTTCAATAAGATGGCAATACCAAAGACTCCTATGTAGTTGGAATTTTCTTTGGGCTGCCAACCAGCTCCCAAATAAAGACATAGAGACTTAATATAAATTATGAATGCTCAGCGTTAGCTTGGGCTTGTCCCACTAGCTCTTTTAACTTAATTTAATCTGTTTTTCTTCATTTATGTTTTGCCTCCAGGCTTTTTACCTTTCTTTCATTCTGTATGACCTATTCTCCTGCTTCCTCTGTGTCTGTCTGCCTGACCCCTGGCGTCTTCCTGGTGTTCTTCCCAGAGCCTAAATTCCTCCCCCTCCTCACTCTCCCTGCCCAGAAGTCCCGCCTATACCTCCTCCCTCACTATTGGCCAGTTAGCTTTTTATTCAACCAGTGAGGTGCCTTAGACAGGCAAGGGAAAAGAGTAACACTTCTTTGCATAATTAAACAAATGCAACACATCTTTACATAGTTAAACAAATATTCCAAAACACTCCTACCCAACAGTGAACGCTTGCCTACTTCAAGGCAGTCACAGTACTGGTCTATTCCACAATTCCTAGAAATTCTTTTTTGCTGGTGGCATCCTGGGGACCTCCCCTCCATACTGTGGATGTTTGATGTATGATAGATAGGCCATTATATTTGAGGACTAAAAGAAAGCTTCCCTAATAGAACAATAACTCATTAAAAGTCACTGGAAAGACTAACTTCAAATCCAAATGGGTTTCCTCTGCTCCTCTGTGTGGAGAGTAGACACTCTGCTAATTGGCATGCTCCCCTCCCACGCTGTGGGATACCTGCACATCTAAGTGCTGAGGGATCATGTTGGTGAAAGGTTCTCTTTTAAAAATAGGTTAGCTGTGGGCTGAGAACAAAGGTATGGCTGCTGTTTCTAATTCATACCGCTGAGCGAGTTGTTAATACCAGCTAAGTTACTAATAACCGCCCTATGGGAGGGAGGAGACATAGACATGCTATTTTGGGTATTTTTTTTTTTTTTTGGTGATGATGAATTTAGTAATGACGCATAATGGATGGTGCACTTCTTTGTGTCCTTTTGTTCTTATGGAGGAGTGCATATTTCAGTGGTGTATTCCTTTCTGAAAGCATAGAATTCTCATGGTTTTGTTTTGGAACTTTGTTTTTGAGATTATAATATAATTATATCCTTTCTCCCTTCCCTTCCCTCTCCCTCCAAAGCCCCCCATACACTCCTCCTTGCTCTCTTTCAAATTCATGGCATCTTTTTTTTATTCATTGCTGTTACATGCAAGTATAGAGTTCTTACTTCACTCCCTCCGATTCTGTTGTGTGTTGATGTTTGAGCAGTTCTATGCAGTTACAGTGGAGGGCTTTGCCCGTTTGTGGTTGGCAGCTACAATAAAATGACGGATTTACTGAGTTCAGTTGTTCAGATGCTGTAAAAACGCACCAGACTGAAGTACATTGATGATGGTACCTGGGTTTTGAGAGGCTCGTGCACTTTTACTCCCTTACAAGGAAAGTTTCTTTTTTAGTTTGACCTGTATGAGTCATGACAATTTGAATCTGAGCACACTGTGTGGCAGGTACCTGCTGGAGGTGGATCCTAGTGGTCACATCTGTGCTTCTGTGTTGACCCTGCCTTGCTCGGTGGCCACTAGGCCATACAAATGCATTTTGAGGACCAGGACCTTCTGCTGTCCTGAGAAGCCACTCGAACTGCTCTTTATGTCCAACGTTAGGCGGGGCTCCATCTCACCGTGGCCTCTTTGCTGAGTCTCTTTTTTATGTAAGAATGGACACTCACGCTGATGTTCTGACGGGTTTAGAACTTAGCTGTAGATCATCCGTCTCAGACTGCAAACTCAGACAGCTTTGGAAAAGTCATTTTGTGAGACAATATGCAGCATCTGCCAGGAGATGGGTTGGGAGTACTCACTTCTATACTCCATTATTCTGCTAAATGTTTCCCATTTCACTGGCTTTTTTTGTTTTTGTTTTTGTTTTTTTTTTTTTGTTTGTTTGTTTGTTTTGCTTACAGGTTTTGGCCAAAGTTAAAGGCTTTCTGGTGTTTAAACCTGAGCAGGTTAGGTGGCAGACAGAGAAATACCAGGCTCTGTGTGCACTTCTGCGGGGCAGTCCTCAGGACGGCTCTCCACCCCCCACCCCAGCTTGGTACTAAAGCTAAGTTCCTTTCATGAATGGCTGCACCTCCCACACTTGAGGTACAGTGTTAGTTGGCCCTTCAGCTTGGGCCCCAGAAGGTCATTGATTTAGAGCCCCGCCTTATTAGCCAAAACCTGCAGCCAATTGACATGCTCAGATCTGGACCCCTGAGTAGTTCACCCAGTGTTCTATTCCATTGTCCCAGGTTTTCTCCTTAGGCCTCCCTGAGCCTTTCTGCTCGACTCCAACTGCTGGTTCTTTATCCAGTTTGACAAGATGGAACTTGTGTAGCTCCACTCCAGTGTCTGGACCCACCCAGGTTCCCCACACCTTCCAAATGCAGGGGAAGCTGCAGCTTTCTGTCAAAACCTCCTCGGAGCCCCTGAATTCTGCAAACAGCAGATTCCAAAGTTGCTAGGATAGATGGCCAGAGGCCAAGAAGAGAAATCAAACAGGAGTTAATTACTCAGCGATCTCTGGGCTTTATTTAACTTTCCCCCCTAAAACCATAAATAGCCGAATGTTAGATTAAGTAGGAAGCACCTGTCAAAGTCTATCATGAAAGCCAATTGAATTATAATCTGGCAAGTCCATCCTCATCATGATCCTAAGTTGTGATTGACTGATTGATTCATAAACTCTTCCTGGGCTGCTCTAGGACAGCAGGCTAGCTCTTCCTGGACTGCTCTGGGACAGCAGGTTAGCTCTGGGGAGGGTCAGGTCAGGTCTGTGCTTGTGGAGAGCTCCTAGCAGGTTGAGAAGCAAGCGGTTGGTCATTGCAGTCTGAGGGGAAGGCAGCTGAAATGCCAGTGTGTGGAAGCCCGGTGGGTGCTTGGGGCAGGACTCGGGCACTCTCAGCACAAACAAGTTTTCATGAATGAAGCCGAGGGAGGAAGATGGACATGGAGAGTCCTTGGAGGGGGAGAAACAGAGCGCTCGCTCTGACACCCATTGTTTTTCTGTTTTCTCTCTGAATTGTGCTGTTGTGATAGACATCATGAAAGTCCAGGAATGTTGCCAGCAGCTGTCAGGCTGCAGGATGGCCTGAGCACCTTGGGAGCTCTGAGAGCTACCACCACCACCACCACCGCATTCTCCCTTGATTCAGTCCTGGGTTTTTACATGAAGTTAGGATACACATGTTCATGCTGTTTCTAAACTGAAAAGAATGGACCGTCATGATTAGTAACTCTGGTATTTCAGGGGTTGGAGGGGGGGGGGACCATAATGAAAGTAAACATGAATGAATTTAAATCCTGTTAACAGGATTATAAGTTAGTTATGACTGAGTGCTCTTAAAAATAATTCACCTTTAAATTTTTTATTAGTTTATTTGTGCAGATGCTGGAACTAAGCTGGCTGAATCCACCATCCTGAGCAAGCAGATGATAGCCTCCGTGCCTGGGGTAAGTCCTGGCCAAGTTTGTGGTCTGTGTTTTCCTATGTCAATGAGCAGTGTTTAGGAATGTAGGCTTTAAGACTGGGATCCGAGTTTGAGGCTTGGCATTTACTAGTGATGACCTTAGGGTCAAGTCAAACTGTGGCTCCCCACTTTTCTGTCACCCATGGAATGGAATGCAACAGGATATTGTATATGTTGAGAACTGACTGGGATAATGTATGTTAAACATTGTGCAAATAAATGTTGTTTATTAATGCTGGACATGGTGGCTTTTATAGCAAGTGACAGACCAGGGGGGGCTTCTTAGAAACCCCCTAAAAACAACAGCAACAAAATAATATTAACAAACATAACCTGTGGGTGTTTTATTTTCAGTGTGCTGCTTTTGTAACTGAGATGCAGTTAACATCTTTATTCTTAAAACGGAGTCTATACTTCAGACTCTTCCTTTATGATAGATTCACGGGAGGAGAATTACTGCACCATTTTTAAAGGGCTTTTAACAGATGTCAGTATAATGTGAGGAGGGGTGGGATCAAATTAGGGAAAGAGAAGCAAATCCAAACACGGGAGGCTTTTATAGGTCAGGTCTAGACTCCATATCTCTTCTGCTTGCCTTACACAAGGACATACCAGCTGCAAAGGAGGATGGGAAATGTGGTCCAGTGATATGCCAAGGAAGAAAAGTGGACCTGGGCAGCCAGCGGCTCTGAACACTCTCTGCCTGTGTTGACTAACTTCTTAGAGGGTTGTATTTGCTACTTAGATGACTGATAAGAAATGCGCCCCTACTCTGCAAAAAGTTGGTCAGAATCAATGAAAAGAAGGCAGATCTACCACCACCCACAAAGTAGCAGTTACAGGACCCTCCTCCAGAGCCCTTTCCAGTGACACTAACGAGGCCGTTCAAAAGACATCTTTTTTTAAAGATTTATTTGGACTGTTTTATGTATATAAGTGTTTTGCCTGCATGTACAGCTATGCACCACATGCATGCTTGGTCCCCGAGGAGGTGGTGAGCCTCTATGTGGGTGCTGGGAATCAAACCCGGGTCCTTGGCAACAACAAGTGCCCTTAACCACTGAGCCAAACTGTCCAGCCACAAAAGGCACCTGCTACTTTCACCTGCCACCAATGAATTATAAATAAATAAATTCAAGTACAATAAAAATAATATATAAAAGATAACATTAAAATGGCTAATCAGCAGAATGTTGCTCTTTCTCTTAAGAAAAGAACCTTACGGTTTGATTAACATGTCAGAGGCTATAGAAACTTGACAGATTAGGAGATGAGCTGACACTATGGCGCCTTCGCCAGAGCCTATGCCTGTGCGTCATCTATTCAAGATCTCACTATTGTGATAACACTTCATGTAAGAGCAACCCGCAGTGTAAAAGTACACCAGCACTGCCAGCTGCAGGCACTGGTGTTGCCCAGTCGCACTCCATTGGAACCTCGTCCCCATTGGCCAAGGCCTCCCATTCCGCCCTCCTCAACAGATTCCTGATTACTAAACTCACTGATGGCAAAGGGCAGGTGACATTCTTACAAGCTCCTGGTGGGTGCGAAGCTGACCTTGGGGAGGCCAGTTTGGTGATTTACTTCTAGAAATGTGTGAACCAAAGGGGCCTAGATATCTTACAATCAAGTATAATTTTCGATGTGTCGTTTAAAATAACAAAAACACGAAACACGGGGAATGCCCAGCATCACCCCGCTGTTTAGTTGAAGTCGGGCCAGGGCTCTGTGGATGTCAAGCAAAGATTTCAAAGACTGTCACTCCATCAGGAAACGCTTGTGATGCGTGTAACTGAAGGGCTACCGAGCTAAGGCCATGTTAGTCCTCCAGCAGTTCCTTGTGCGTTAGGTTTCCTCAGCAGAGTCTTGGAGAGGAAATAGGAGCAGCGGCTTTTGCAGAAAAGAAAGGCAGGGTCTAGGATCATGGGGTTTGAAATTGCTCTTTTTACCACCTTGCATTTTCCACTTTTCTATATGAACTTGTGCTGCTTTGATAATGGAAGAAATACGGCTTTTAAAGCCGATGAATTGTGAAGAGCTGGGTGTGAGTGATTTCAGCTCACTTGAGGTTAGTGAGAGCCCAGCTCCTTTGTCACCAGTTTCCTGCCAGAGCAAGACAGATCCCTCTGAAATGGACAGAGCACAGCCCCGTGTTCTGTCTTTTTCTGGGGACACACTTAAAGATACAGCCATGTCTTACAAAGGAAAGAGGGATTGGCAATTACCAGCTTGTGCTTTTTAAAGTATAGATGGCTCCCCAAGATTTCCCGAGCTTAAGGTGGGTTTTAAGGCTGGATGTAGTCGCTGCCCCTGGAACGAGCTAACTATACAATGGTAAATATTGAATAATATTCCTAGAGATTCTTTTCAGTGACATTTGCCTAGTTGGACTGGTATAAAATATTGCCTATGAAAGAAACAAATCCCTTTCAAGAAATTCAAGAGCCAAGGCTCTCCTCTTATTTACATGATACATGAAAGGTCAGAGAGAGTGGAATAAATCGAGGGTGGGGGGAGTCCTGCTTTTGCATCGAAGGATTCATATTGCAAAAGCCGATGCACAATACCCTTCTATAATTCTTTCACTGGATTTAAATTAAAAGGAGAAAACCTTAGAACATGTGAAATGCTTGGAAAACACTGACAGACTGGCCACTGACCTTATTTTACCATTTGTTATCCTGTCAGAGGAACTGACAAGCGGAACATTCTAGAAGAGAGGGGAGGTGATACAGTTCAGCGCTGTGCAGATTTACATGAATATGGGGAAATGCAAGTCTCTGGGTGAGCTAGTTAAGTCTGTAATGTTCCAGATTTTCCTAAAGGAAACCCAGAGAGGCCGTTAGCAGGGTATTCATGGGGCTTCAAAGCCTGCTTGCCTTTGATCCGCATTATGCAGCTGACATGTGGGTTCTCTCACAGGCACAGCTTTGATGCAGCAAGGCTGTCCATCCACTTTCCTCTGTTTCGCTTTGAATCCCAGATTCACTGCACTGCTCCCCGAGAGCAGGTCTCGGCCAGTCCATAACCTGCCACACAGCGTGCTTTTTCTTTTCTTTTGAAACTGACCAAACACGAAGTGTAGGAAGGAGGTGCCGTCTCACTTCTCTCTTCTACTTGTCTAGCTTAGGAAGAACTCAAAATGAATACAAGTATCTATTTAATAACACACCTACTGTGCATATGAAGTCAAGCCATGACTTGATTTGAAAAGGACTTTTGACTCTGCGAACACGATATGACATGTGTACAGGGGAGGCAAAAAAGATTATGCCGGTGTTATCCCTGGTGGGGCACATCTCACGTGCATCCAAGACTTCCCTGGAGGCTCTGGTAGCATCAGTTAGGCGGACTCTTGTGTTTATACCAGTTTAAAAGCCAGCAAGCATCACTTCAATCGCCTGGTGGAAATAGCAATTCATTTCATTTCTTTTAGGCTTCCAGTTTCTTTAGTCTCTACCCCAAACTTTTAAACCAGTTTTGTACTGAGGGTAGCGTGTGTGTGGGGTGGGTAACAGAACACGAAGCAGCTTTAGAGAGAGAGTGTGGTGACAGTCCCAAGTGGGGCTGTGGCCGAGCCGTGTCCCTGTGTTTCAGTGCGGGACAGCTGCGATGGAATGCATCCGGCAGTACGTCAGTGAAGTGCTGGACTTCATGGCAGACATGCACACCCTAACCAAGCTCAAGGTAAGCCGGTGTCCGCCCGATCGCCCCTTAGACTCACAAAGCCCAGAGGGCTTTCTGATGTAGACCCACAAGGAAATTTATTGGTCCCCGCAGAAGCAGCTGCAGCACTGTGGAATGAGCCCATTTCTTGGGGGTCTGAAGAGTTGGGGTCCAGTAGTTCTGCAAAATAAAAAAAAGAAGTCTCGTGGTGTCAGCTTTTTGTTTAGTTTTTTAAAATATTTGCTCCTTCTTACCATGTCCTTATTTAATACAAGCCCCATAAAAAATGTGGAAACTGAGGCTTGAGTGATGTGGTCCTGCTGTCAAGGTCACGCTCCTCAGAAGTGGTGACATCAGAGCTGAGCCCCAGACTGCTGTGAGCCCCAGTGGATTCCCCTTCTACCCAGCCAGAGCTACCTCGACACCTCCAGTTCTGTCTCCTCCTTTGCCAAGGGGGTCAGCAGGCTCCTCCCTTGTCTAATGTGCTCAAAATAGATATCAAACAACACAGGAAGATGTGGCCCATTGCACACACACAAGCCGGTGACTGTCTGTATCTGCTAACTTCTCTAAGAAAATAATGAAGGGGATAGAACAAAATTCAATTTACATATGAACAAAATCCCAGTGCATTGTTGAACTTATTGTTTGGGGGTGTAGTGGGGGGGAGAAGGGTGGGGTGGGGTTGGGGGGGTGTGGTGGGGTGAGGGGGTGTGGTGAGGGGTGAGGGGGTGTGGTGGGGGTGAGGGGGTATGGTGAGGGGTGAGGAGGTGTGGTGGGGGTGAGGGGGTGTAGTGGGAGAGAGGGGGTATGGTGATGGGTGAGGAGGTGTGGTGGGGGTGAGGGGGTGTAGTGGGAGAGAGGGGGTATGGTGACGGGTGAGGGGGTGTGGTGGGGGTGACAGGGTGTGGTGAGGAGTGAGGAGGTGTGGTGGGGGTGAGGGGGTGTGGTGGGGGTGAGGGGGTGTGGTGGGGGTGAGGGGGTGTGGTGGGGGTGACAGGGTGTGGTGAGGAGTGAGGAGGTGTGGTGGGGGTGCGGAGGTGTGGTGGGGGTGCGGAGGTGTGGTGGGGAGAGGGGTGGGTGGAGTGAGGAAGTGTGGTAGAGGGTGAGGGGGTGCGGTGGGGGAAGAGGGGATGGGGTGGAGTGAAGAAGTGTGGTGGGGGGTGAGGGGTGTGGTTGTGGAGCAAGGGGGTGTCATGGTGAGATAAACAACTGAGGTGAGTGTCTTCCTCTGCCATGGTCCTACCAGGGAGCTAAAAGATGAATAGTCTGAAAGAATTGAGGGAGGCTCTGGACAAGGGCAGACGGTAAGCCGAGCACGGTCCAGAGTGGCACTGAACGATTCCCTTTGTGACAAACAGTAGTCTTGTGGCCTCAGGAGAGCACCAGCTGAGAGCCTGGCTTCTTCACTAGGCTCAGGCAGCCAGGGTGTTTCTTGGTACGGTGATGAGGAGAACAGTGCAGACAAGGGTGGGAAGTGCCCGGTCTACACCCAGCCATTCTGGAGTGAGCGCCCTGTCCTTTAGTCATATCCTGGTCACCAGTCACTGGCTCCGGTTACGTGAACTTAAAGACTTTAATACAAAAAGAGACGACAACAATTGCCTAAACATTTTGAGGTTGTTTTACAGAAACTGCTGAAAGCAATATTCACAAACATCAGTGATAGTTGAAAAGTTGATACAATCCAACCCTCTGACTGTTAATTCATATTAGGGAGCACATCAAAGCCCTCAAAGAGCTACAGGGTTTGGGACAGGGGCTTTCAAGGGGGGTGCTCAGACGAACTCCTGGGAAGCAAGGAGTTTAGTAGGAACGTTAATAATACTATGGTCAGACAGACCGGCAGACAGAGCATGGCAGTGGCTCTGAAGAGTTTAGGGCCTAGCACCAAGGATACATTACATGGTGGGACCCCTGAAGAGAGGATTCAGAGTCTGCATTGCAGAAGTGGGGTACCTCTCTGAGGATGGAGGATGTGTCATAACACAAGCACACCGCCAGGGTCTCTGATTCGCAGGCAGGAGGCAGGGAAGGAGTGTGTGTGTGTGTGTGTGTGTGTGTGTGTGTGTGTGTGTGTGTGTGACCAACAATACCCCTTTGATGGAGTTTCTTCTCCCAGATGAGGGCTCCTTGCCCTGGGCAGTCTGTTAGCTGGGGCTCTGGACAATGTCTCCGAGCTGACTATGTCTGTGGAAGAGGAGAACTTCTGCAGAGAACTCTGGCCAGAGCGGCAGATTCCAGCATCGCTTTCTTAAGTGCCAACTGGCTTATTATCCATAGTCATCGGCTACTCGGAATAGAACTGGCTCTAGAACCTATGTCTCAAGTCCCTGAGCAAAAAAGAAACCTTCAAAATTAACTTAGCAAATATGTATTGAGTGTCTGTATTCTACCTAGCACTGTCGTAGGTATTCAGATGGCATGGATGGGCGAACACCAGATACAGGCACAGCAGCTGTCCTCATTCAGTTCATGGTCTGCTACGAGGCCAGATTTAGTGAATATTTCATATAAGCTGAAATAAAACTGTGGCTTTCACAGTTGCTAGAAAGAAGCAGTAGACAGTAGCATGGACCTGGCCAGGCAGCTCAGGGAAGGCTTTCTGAGAAAAATGATACATGAGCTACATTTGAGCAATTCAGAAAAGAAAGGTAGTGTTTCAGTTACAGGGATGGGAGTGGGCAGCGGAGCCAGCACAAGGGAGCCCAGAATGGAGGAAGTGGACTAATGCAGAGGCCTGACAACAGGTACTCTGACTCTATAGGCCACTGGTTGGTCCCACTGGCCCCGTCCTGCCCCACCCCCACCCCCAGCTCATAGCCTAAGAACAGTGGGAAAACATTTAAGAAGTTAAGCAGGTTGCGTGCCTGGAGTGCTATGGGGTGGGGGTTGGGAATGACCTGACCTCCAAAGTGTCATTTGATTTGACAGAGCCACATGAAGACGTGCTCCCAGCCTCTGCACGAGGATACCTTCGGTGGCCATCTCAAAGTGGGCCTAGCTCAGATCGCAGCTATGGAAATCTCCCGGGGCAACCACCGAGATAACAAAGCTGTGGTCCGCTACCTGCCCTGGCTCTACCACCCTCCTTCTGCGATGCAACAAGGGTGAGGCACTTCTTATTTTTAAAGGGCTAGGGGACTAGAGAGACAGCTCCATGATTAAGAGCACTGGCTGCTTTTCCAGGGGACCTGGATTTGATTCCCAGAACACACAGGACAGCTCACAGCTGTCTATAGCTCCAGTCCCAGGAGATCTGACGCCCTCTTCTGGCTTTTGTGGGCCCTGCACATACATCGTGCACAGACACACACTGAGGCAAAACACCCACATATATGAAGGAAATTTAAAATGGGGCCGAGCAAATAAGCAGAAGTGTTCCTGGGTCCCTGAGATTCAGTTGGAGCTCATGGCCGTGTTGAAGGTTCATGGGAGTGGCCAGCCAGAGCAGGAAGTCATGTGTTGTCTGCTCCTGCTCTATTCGCTCTCCCCCTAGAGAGAATGCCAGGGGAGAACTTTCTGATGAGAAGAAAGAAAAGGATTCAAAAAGAGGCCAGGGAGACAGCCGGACTGGCTGAAGAATACTGAATCTTGTCCCACCAAAGCTGCTCCTTCCTGAAGGGAAAATACAGGATTAGAGTAGAAAGCAAGACAAATAGATAAGACTCTGGCCTTGGCGTTTTGTTTTATGTACTTGCCCGCGAGACCACACCTTAATCCCTTCTTCCACTAAATATTCACTGGGCATTGAAGGAAAGAGAAAACATAAAGTCTCCCTTAATACGTCCTTTCTTCCCTGGCAGACCTAAAGAATTCATCGAGTGTGTCTCCCACATCCGTCTGCTGTCCTGGCTGCTCCTGGGGTCCCTCACACATAATGCGGTCTGTCCCAATGCCTCCTCTCCCTGCCTTCCCATACCTCTGGATGCAGGCTCCCACATTGCAGACCACCTTATTGTTATCCTAATTGGATTTCCAGAGCAATCAAAGGTAAGTGATTTCTGCAAGATTCAGACCAAGTGCATTGGAATTGCTAATGGAGACCCTTATCAGCCAATTAGTTTCTTCTGAGAAGTAAAGGCATTTTAGCTCACCCTCCTGTGGCTGTTAGGAAAGTAACTCTGTGCTAATGCCTTATTTAAAGTTGTTTAAATTCCCAGGCTGTCTTTTCTCCCCCTAAATTGTTTTCTGGCTTACTTTTATGGAGATAAATTATAGAGGCAAGGAAGAGTTGGTTTCCCAGGCATTTTTGTCTCACAACAATATAGAGAAATAACAGGCTACAAATACAATAAAAATTCTGTGCTCAGTTTTCAGAACCAAGGATAAAGGTGGGGGGAATATGTACTATCTTTTCAACTCAAATCCCTTAAGACACATGAACACACAGCATGGAAATAAGGCTAGCCTGGCGCTCAGTGAAGCCTAGTGGAATCACCCACACAGAGGAAGTGTGCAAATTGCAGAGACAGATGGCAGCCTTAAGGGAATAAAGGAAAGCCCAGGCAGATCTAAGTCATGACACCCCGAGTCAGCTACCCAGAGCCAAGGGCCAGTCCCGGAGCTTAGGCAAGCTCTAGGAGATCCCAGTGGGTTTAAGAGAAGCTGAGACAGGCCAGAGCAAGCTCTGTGAGAAAATAAGAGTGCCCACCCAGTTGATCCACATGAGGCTTTCGAAAGGAACTGGTTTCTCCACCCAGACCTGTTTGAGCCTTAAGGATGGTACTGTACCTTTGAATCCCATCCTTGCATGGCTCAAGGGACTTGACTTGATGGGATAGTGGGGGAATTAAGAAAAGACAGATACACAGCTGGGATCAGACAGACTGGACTATCTGATAGAGAAGCATACACTTCCCAGAAGCGCAGTGTGTTTATCATATAGAGTCGAATAGAGGGGCGGGGTTATTGCATATACCTGAATGAGGAGGCGTGTTTATTACGTACAGATAAACATGGAGGCTGGTTTGTGGTTTGCAGCTGGACAAGGAGGCCCATTTAATTAATCTCAGTAGGAACAGTCTCTGTAAGGGGAGCAGTCTTCAGGCTGTAAACATCTGGGGACAGGGAGATATGGTGGATATGTTGTGCATACACTATCAACATCTGCACACCAAACAGAAGAATGCTTTGCTGTCCCTCTGAGCCTCACCGCAGGGGGAAGGCTTTGCTGCTTTCCCATGGATCTGAGGCTATGTTCCTTGACACTGCCATGCCCATGTCAATAACACACACTGGCTCAAGACTTAAGTCAGTCAGGGTTCCCTCTGCTCCCCCCAACATTGGTGACCATGAAGAAGTTATTTAACTGTCCTCAGCTTCAGTAGTGTGGATCTGTAAAGTAGACAGGAGGATGGCTAGGGAATCGTGGAGGTGGTCTGTGGAGAGCCTCCATATTGTAGGAGCTGTGGCAATATGTGCCCTCCATGGATAGGTGTTCCATCGACACCGCCATGTGATTTCAAGTGCAGAGCAGAAGGTCTCGGCTGCCTCTCTTTTACTCCTTGCCTGACCCCTTCAACAGTCTTACTATTATCCCTTTTTCATAGATGTGGAAACACGCTAACATGGCAAAATAGGATGGCTAGTTTCCTAACCCAGCTTAGGGAGGGAGACGTCAGTCTCATGAAAAGAAAGGGCAGTGGGTAGATTTACTCTGCAAACTTAGGCGTGTTCTCCTGGAAAAGAGGCTTTCTCTCCAGGCACACTCGCGCTGACAGAGAAATGCCGATCCAAGGCAGGGAAGCAGGAGGCGGTGGCTGGGGTCATTCCTTTGTGCTTCTGGGCTCCCAGGAGCACAGAGCAACAGCCGTCCTCTTCCTTTCCAGACCTGTGTGCTGCACATGTGTTCCCTCTTCCACGCTTTCACCTTTGCTCAGCTCTGGACGGTGTACTGCGAGCAGAGCGCCGTGGCCACAAACGTCCAAAATCAGAACGAGTTCAGCTTCACAGCAATACTGACAGCACTAGAATTCTGGAGCAGGGTGACACCCAGCATCCTTCAGCTGATGGCCCACAACAAAGTGGTGAGTCCGTGAAGATCCTTCTGAGCGGAAAAACAAACAAACAAACAAACAAACAACTCAAAATGTCTAAACCCCTCCTAGTCATAAACCAACAAATAAGTATGCAATACAATGTGTGTGTTAAGTGGCTTTTTTTAGCCATGCCACTATATCAAAGCATCATGTTGTAGATCATGAATATTTAAAAAAAAAAACATATACAAAGCGGACAAATTTTGTCTTTTCTACCTAGCACTAAATGAATTCTGTATGAGATTTCTACCTTTAAGATGATATAAAGACAGATCCTTAGGAGAAAAAGCCATGTCAGGTTTGGATTCCAAAGCAATCTGTGTGAACTTCCACCACTAGGCAATCTTTCTGGTGTAGTCTGAGAGCGGACTAACCACAGGAAGTCCTTTCTACCCAAGTCTCAAAGCCAAGAGAGGGCCTGTTCCAGATTACACTGGAAACATCTGAACAATGTTTAGCCTGTACCCACTTCATTAAACAAAATTGGATGGTCCCCCTGAAGCCAGTTGGAGGTGTGTGGGAGCTATTTGTGAGAGACCCTGGGGTTCATTTGGTATTTGGAGGATTCTCAGCTGAAGGGACAGCAGCCAGTGTCTTGGCTACAAGGGCTCCATGGGTAGAGTGCTAATCTGTGAAGAGTCATAAGCTGGAAGCACATTCCAGTGTGCACAGGACCCCATGCCACCCGCCCAGGACCCCACGCTGCCCGGGCCACAGAGGTATTTGGGTATGCTGTCTTAATTGAGGAATGTTTTCTGCTACCATTTTGGAAGGAAGGAGGACTACGCAGTTTCCTTATTGAAGCCTTTGCAGTTCTCTCTAGACAGTACTACAGTTTTACATATGGAGGGACGTTTGGTTCAGTCAAGGAAGGTTATGCTCATGTTAGGGTTCAAAAACAGTTCCTGGTTCTAAGGAGATAATTGCATTTATTGGGTCACAGTTCTGTGGCCAAAAAAGAACTCAGGGATCGGCTATTACATTATTTTGGAGAAACCAAAACTGAAGCTTTCCACGTTACATGGATATATGAGAGATTAGCATTTTCATTCAGCGTCAGCCTTTTGGTGTCAATGCTCTCCTCCAAATCCCTCTTGACATTCAAATGTTATAAATGAGCATGCCCCCAAAGCATTTTTTACATATAATGTTACATATGAATTTTATTTTTTTTTTCTGAAACGTTTATCCAACCCAGTAAAGCCTTCTAGTAAAACCTCCTTGGGATTTAAAATCCATCCCTAAGAATTTCCAAGGAGGGACACAGTCTTGTCTGATCTGGTGTGAGCATGGCTACGGGTACCATGGGGGATGAGACCTGAGAGTCAGATCTGGGGTGCATTGAGCCACTCCCTGAGAGACGTCTCTGTGAGTGGAGAAAGGATCAAGATGGAGAAATGATGACCCTGAAGGGTGCAGAGAATGAAGGTGAAGCTCTGTGTCCCCAACGGGAATCACGGTGTCCTGCAAATCGGTGAGAGTCATCCTTGAGCTCCAACAGCAGCCCGCTCTGAGGGAGGATGGAAGCACGGTTCCAAAGCCTCGGGCTCTTTAGAAAGTCTGTTTCCAGTGTAAGGTTTTGAAGGTGAATGGAAACTACTCTGTGGGCTCCAGTCGCTAAGCAGGGAGACCTTCTGGGTGCAGGGTACCAGTCCTCTGTGACTGATGATGAGTTTACAAGGTTTCTAGTTTCCCGGGAATGGAATTGACTTTGATGTTTGTTGTTTCAGATGGTAGAAATGGTGTGTCTCCATGTGATTAGTTTAATGGAGGCATTGCAAGAATGCAATTCAACCATTTTTGTCAAGGTAGGAAAAACCTACGATTTTTATAGATCATTTCAGACTGCTAAAAAATATATATGGATTTGTTTTGAATGTGTGGTCTAAAGAGGGTGAAGAACGGGTTCAGTTTAACTGTGTGGGAACCTGAGGGGTTGGAGGCTATGGTTGGAGGCTATGGCTTCTGCAGGATCTTCCCACGTGGCTGTTCTGCTGTGTCTGCTCTCACTATACCACTGCGATGCATTCTTTTATGTCAGACCATGGCTGCTGTACACAGGAGTGAAAGCAGATAGGGAACATTGCTTTGGAAACAGCCCTATGACCAGTCAGGTGGTAGTGCCTCATCTGGCAAAAGCCATCCAGAAAACCATAGAAATCACCGTGCACTTGCTTGACTTGCTACATGCTGCTCTCTCTGACATAGTCTTGTGTGTTGATATTTTAAACCAGTAAGTGGACAAGAAGAGAATTCATGCATTCATCATCTTTCCGGAAACATCAGAGTATAATGTCAGATTAAAGAGTAAGGAGAACCTGGTAAGAGCATGGCTACCTGTACCACAGGGAGTCAAACCTGAGAGGCAGATCTGCAGTAGCTTACACCCACTTCCAGCGTCTCCTTCTCCTCTGTAGCTGTCATCCTTGCTCTATATCCCGCTGATGGTTTCTCCTCCCAACCACCTCTTTTCTTACCTTCCACTCTACATTTCTTGTCTTGGCCTCCATCACCACCACCGCACTGCAAAAGGCACAGTTGTTTCTCTTAGTTTGTGCCACTCTGCGCTAAAGACCCTTGGGCTGTGCCGGGGAAAAGCAGCCCATTTGCAGGGAATACTCAGCTGATACCAGACACTGCACTGTCTTTGGTTCAAATGGGAGAGATATGTCTTACCCAGCTCAACATAGGAAAAAGTCAACAGTGTGAGAAAAACTAGCAGCTGGATGCTCCGACCTGATGTTATTTTTTTTTGCAGTTTCTTTAAAGTGTAATTTACATGATTGACACCTGCCAAACTGGACATATTTAAGTTGTGTGCTTTGATGAGCCTTGACATCTTTTGCTTCTTTTCACAATTACTTATTTATCATAAGTGCATGTGTATATGTGTAGGTACTGCTATGATGTGCATTAGTATCATATGTGTATGTGTGGGTGTGTACTGCTATGGAGTGCATGTGTGATCATGTGTGCATATGTGTGTATGTCTGTGTGTACTACTGTGGAGTGCATGTGCATGTGTATATGTGTGAGTGTGCTGCTATGAAGTACATGTGGAGGTCAGAGGATGACTTCAGAAGCCTATTCTCCCTGCTTCCTGGGTCCATTGCTCTCCTTACCTCCATGCTGCATTGTGCATGACCATCATGTCACAGCAGTCATGGTCTTTCATTCCTCATTTTCAAAGTGGGTTGACATTTATACTTTGCCTTCACAGATAAATTTTAAAATCAGCTTGTCAATTCCTATAAGACTACTCGGAATTTTGTTGAGATTTCGTTGAGTCCCAAGGTTGGGAAAAATTACAATCTTAACAATATGGAGTCTCCTGACCCACAAGCACACTCTATCTTTATGTTTGTATGTGTTCATCTTCTCTCAGAAGTACCGCATGGCTCAGAAATATTTCCAAAACAATTGTATCATACGTCTGTCAGTTTTACCCACAAACAGGTCACTTTTCTGTCCTATTGTGACTTTTGTTTTGCATTTAAACTCCCAATTGTTCATTGTTAGTATTAGGAATACAGCTAACTTTTCTGTTGAGCCTGGACCCTACAGCTTGGTAAATTCTATTAGTTGTGGCAGCTTCGAAAAATCCTTTTTGTATCTTTCAGTTTGATAGCATTGATATTTATAAAGAGAGACTAAATGTTTTCATTTAGTGACTGTATTTGCCTTAGCACCAAGTAACAACAACCTAGTGGACGGATTAGGAAGTATTCCTCTGTTGAAAAGTTTGTATAGAATTGATATTATTTCCCCTCAAATATTTGGCAGAATTCACCAGCGGCCCTACCTGGACATATTGTTTTCTTTGAGGATGAATTTTTAAGTTATGGACTTTAGAAACAGATAGAGGCTACTCAAGTACAACTCTGCTCCTCCTGATCATTCAGGCAATGTCTTTCTAATTTCTCCGGTTCATCTAGGTCAACAACTTGGTCCATAGAGTTCCTAGTGTGCCCATTTCACTTGCAACTTTTGTTAACTCTCATTCCAGCTGCCGGTTACATGTGCCTTTATTTCTTTCTTCATCTGTCTGATTAGAAACTTACCAGTTTTATTGAGTATTGATTAAGAAACAACAGGTAACTGTTGCTTGGGTTGGATCCATTTTCCTCTCTTGTTTTCTGTTCTTTGTTACTCCCCACCCCTCTTTTGTTGTAGGAGCTGGGTCTCAAGGGGCTCAGCTGAAACTCACTGTGTAGCTGCTGTTATTGTTTTTCTTCTTTCTTTTAAACCTGATCTTAAATTTGTGCTTCTTTTTCTAGTGTCTTAGGGGGAGATGCAACTCACTGATTTCAGTCCTGTCTCTTTTCTAGCATATATGATCAGTTATTAGCACTCTAAATTTCCTTCAAAGCTCTGGGTGAACCACCAAAATGACTTTGTACATCGTGTTACTTCATGTAGGTTGATGTTCTAACTGCTCTTTTGCTTTGCTTTCTTTGGCATCCCTGATAATTTGGTGTAAATTGTTTAGTTTCCAGATATTTGACTACTTGTAGAGACCCTCCCATTGTGAATTTCTCCTTAATTCCCTTCTTGGCAGAGAAAATACTCTCTGTGATTTCAATCATCTTAAACTTCTGAGACTTGATTTTGGTGTGGAATATGATATGTCTTAGTCATTCCTCTGCATGCCCTAGAGAAGAATGGGCCTGCTGTGGTGGTGTGGAATTTGCTGTCAGTTGGTGCAAACTTGTTGAGTGTTGATCAAGTCTCTGTCCCATTGGAGTCCTTCCTTCCGAGTCTGTTTCCATGTTCTACGAACTCTCTGGGAAGGGAGTTTCTGGATAGCACTGTAATTTGTGGATTTGCTCTGTCTCTTTCCACTTCTATCAGTTTTGAATTGATGTATTATAATAATTGGAAAGTTTCCTTATCAGGCCTGTATGTTTGGGATTGTGTTTCCTTAATGACTTGAAACTATGAAATGTCACCTCTTACCCTTGGCAATTTTTCCCTCTAAAAGCTACTTTGTCTAATGTTGATAAAAGCAGGGTAGATTTTTCTTGGCTAGTGTTAGGATGGTAAATCTATTTCCATCTTTTTTAACTATGTCTATATTTAAAGTGTATTTCTTACAGACAATGTGTATTGTCTTTTTAAAAGCATCCAATTTGATATCCTCTTCCTTTTCGTTAAAGTCTTTAGGCTGTTTTCATTTAATGTATATTGTCACATTGTTAGGTTGAAATGTATCCGCTTTTCACTTGTTTTCTGTATTTCTCATTTGTTTTTTCCCTCTGTTCCGTTTTTGTTTCTTTCTTCAGATTAACTGAGAATTTTAGGATTTGATTCTGATTATAATTTTCTTTTGTTTCATTTTTTTAAGATGGAAATTTGGGCCATCAATTTGAGAATTTTCTTTTCAAACACCAGCGTTTAGAGCAGTGGTCACATAGCAGATGTTTATATTATGATTCGTAACAGTCACAAAATTACAGCTATGGAGTAGTAATGAACTAATGTTATAGTCGAGGATCACCACATCACAAGGAGCTGTATTAAAGGGGCACAGCATTAGGAGGGTTGAGAACTGCTGCTCTAGAGTGTTAGTTTCCTTTTAGATGCTGCTTAAGTATACATTCACTTTCACCGAGTTAAAAACACTTCCTAATTTCTGTTTTATCTTCTTGTTTGACCTATAGATTTTTTTAGAAGTATTTTAAATTATCTTCTTAGCTCTATGCCATTTTTATTTTTTAGTGGTTGATTTTGAGTTTACAGTGTATATTTTTAACTTATCAAGATCTTCAAGTAGTATTGTACTTGCACTGTATCCATTTCTACCTCCTGGCTCTATACATGTATAGAGCTCTGGCTCTCTCTATATAAACCAAACCACACATTATAAAGATGATAGATAAGTATGATGGTAATGGTGGAGGTGGTGGTAGTGATGATGATGATATACTAGAGTTTGAAACTAAGGCCTTGTGCGTGCTGGGCAAGTCTTTTAAAAAGCATCCAATGTGACATGATTCTATCATGAAACTATCCTCAACTCTTTTTACTTTCTGCCTTTTGATATAATGTCTCACCAAGTTGCCCAGGTAAGCCTTGAACTTACAATCAGCCTAACTCAGCATCGCCTAAGTAGCTGAGATCACAGGTCTGCACTGCCTAGGCAGTCTTGCTGTTTTGGCCTTAAATAATCAACAATCTCTTAAAGAGACTTGAAATAGGTTTTAAATTTACTATATTTTCTACTTGCCATTTTCTTTTTTTAGGTTTGTTTTTGTTTTATTTATGTGTATGAGTGTGTGGCTGTGTGAGCATATGCCACATGTGTGTGGGTGCTCACTGACACCAGAAGAGGGTGTTGATCCCCTGGAGCTGGAGTTACAGGCGGTTCTGAGCCACCTGACATGGGTGCTGGGAACTGGACCTGGGCCATCTATAAGAGTAGACATGTTCTTAACCACTGAGCCATTTCCAGGCCCTATGTTTGCTACCATCTCTCCAGGCCTCATGTTGGCCATTTTCTACTTCTTCAGACTTAAACGTCTACCTTCTGTTATCATCCCATTTCCACTTTTAAAAAAACATGTCTTACATGAGCCTGCTGGTAATTCATTATTTTCACTTTTTATGTCTCAAAAACATTTTGCAATATTTATTTATTTGTACTTTGAGACAAGGTCTCACTATATGGGACCAAGCTGGCTTTGAATTTCAGTAATCCCCCTGCCTCTGTTCCTGGGAATACAGGTTTATACTACAGCACCCAGTTTGCAATGCTTTAAAAATCCAGTGTCCCTGGGTACAGGGCTCTAGATTCACAGTCACCCAGTAGCTTAGAGGTGTTGTGACCTGTGGTGATATTGTGTTCCCCAAAATATTGTGCACCCTAATAAACTTATCTGGGGTTAGATAACAGAGCAGCCACTAGATATAGAGGCCAGAAAATGGTGGCACACACGCCTTTAATCCTAACATTCCAGAGGCAGACATCCGTCTGGATCTCTGTGAGTTCAAAGCCACACTGGAGACAGCCAGGCATGGTGACTCAAGCCTTTAATCCCAGGAAGTGATGGCAGAAAGCAGAAAGGTATTTAAGGCGTGAGGATCAGGGACTAGAGCTGGTTAAGCTTTTAGGCTTTTAGCAGCAGTTCAGCTGAAATCCATTTGGATGAGGACTCAGAGGTTTCTAGTCTGAGGAAACAGGATCAGCTGAGGAATTGGCGAGGTGAGTTTGGATGTGGTTTGTTCTGCTTCTCTGAACTTCCAGCATTCACCCCAATACCTGGGTCCAGGTTTGTTTTTATTAATAAGACCTTTTAAGATTCGTGCTACAGTGACCCACTGTCTGCTTGCTTAAAGTATGCCCAGCAGGACTCTGCACACTTCCTATCCTTCCTCATCCGCTATAGTTGTAGTTTTTTGTTTTTAAATTCGGGGAAGCATCCTCATTGTTTCTTTGATTGTTACCTTCAGTGCCTCCATTCAACAGTCTCAGCCTTTCTTCTTTCCGGTCTTCCTGGAAATAGACATCGTAGGCTTGGTAAGACACTCAGCACGCAGACACTCCAATTGTCCCCAGTTTGATGACCTGGGCTTGACGCCCGGAACCCATGTGGTGGATGGAGAGAACAGATTCCTGCTAGTTGCTCTCCGACCTCCACATCCATACTCACAGTACTCACATGCACACACCCACACACACCCACCCACACACACACACACACACACACACACACACACACACACACACACACACACACACACGTACACATGCACATACACAATTATCCAACAACTGTTTTTAATTAAAAATAGGTGTAACAATTCTTTTACTATTCTGGTCTGCTGATTCTATTGTCTGAGCATTTTGGTCTGTCTTCTGTTGACTGGTCTTTTCATTTGTGGGTCATTTTCCTGTTTCTTTGCATGCCTTGTCTGGTGGGGTGTTTTTTTTTTTTAATTGGATTCTTGACATTGTGGATTTGACTTTTGGGGTGTTGGCTGTTTTTAATACTCATTTGTACATTCTTGGGCTCATTCAGTGACATAATTAAATTACTCACAAATCTTTTAACCTTTCCTAGGCTCGCTTTTCAGCTTTGTCAGTTGAGATGGGAGCAACACCTTCCATGGCTGGTACCTCTTCAGGAGCACCATGAGAGATAGCCCCCATCCTTATGGGTACCTGGTCTGTGATGTAAACACTTCCCACCCATGCAGTGAGCACGGACTCTTCTTTCTCTGTGTGGCCAGCCAGGGAGATTTCCCTCGAGTCACTTTGCATTATTGTGTCTTCAGTGCTGGGTGTTTTTCCTGCTGATGTGCACTGGTCAGTATCCAGCTGAAGTGCAGGGAGACCGACCCTGTGTGGATCTGTGGCATCCTGTCTCTGTGTGCAGCTCTTTTTTCCCCATTTTTTCTGTGCAGCTCTCCCCTCCAGTTTGCCCTGCAGACTTCAGCCATGTGGAATAACAGATTCATCTTCAGACCACTGCAGGCTGCCTCTGCAGGCAGACTCTCCCTGCATGCCCAGAAACCACTCCGGGTTCACCTGGACCACCGAGCAGTCTCTGCTTGGACTGACTCCAATTTCCATGTCTTTCTTCATCTTTCAACTGTCTCTATCATGGTTCATGGTGAATGGAATGCCACTCTGCCCCTCTTTGGGAGGTATTCTGAGTTTGTCTCCATTATGGTTCTGCTCATGGTGAGTGGGGTGCCACTCTGCCCCAATTTTGGGAGGCATTCTGAATTTGGAATAAGGCCCAATTCCCCTAATGGGGCATCTAAGGTCATCTGTGGGCTCATGGAGGTTTGCTCCGCCTTTGTTTTCTAAACCTCTTTTTCATGACTTTCTTCTAAGAATCTTTCCTGTCGGTACCCATGAGTCCTTCCCACCTCTTATTGCTCTGCACACTCCCACAGCTGTATCCATGCTTTATCTCTTCCCAAAGCACTTGTATTCTTTTTTGGGGCCACCATGGTGAGGACCTCAGGCTGGGTGACTTAAATATCAGAAGCATATGCTTGCACAGTTCTGGAGGCTGGAGGGCTGAGAGCAAGGCACCAGCAGGGCTGGCTCTTTCTGGGGACAGTGAGAGGGCAACTTCCTGCTTTTCTCCCAGCCTTTGGCAGATCTTTGGCATCGCTTGGTTTGTGGCCCTCTACTTCTGTCTCTTCATAGTGTTCTCTCCAGGTATCTGTGTCCAGACTCCCCTCTTCATAAGGATGCCAGCTGCATTGGATTGAGGCCCTGCTGCTCCAGTATGACCCTATCTTTACTGACTACATCTTCAACAGCACCATTTCCAAATAAGGCCACATTCTGAGTCACTGAGGGCTAGGACTAGCATGCAGATTTTGTGGAAATACAATTTAATCCATAACACCCCCACTGCTGTGCTGGAGTGACAGTTAGGAACACAGAGGGAAGTGTCGCTGTGCCAATCAGTGCAGGAAGGTACTGAGAAGTGCCAAAATAAACCAGCATTTCCAAACTTACTGGATGGTCATCTCTGGCCCCATTTACGCGTCACCAATGAGATTTCTGGGGACACATCAGAAAACGGACATTATGTGTTCTCCCTGACTTCTAGATTTATGGAGCTACGAACATTTACTCACATTTTACTGGGTTGACATGTGACCAAAAGGTCAACGCAGAGAGTGCGGAGCTGCTGCTGCTGGAGGCAGTTGTCATGGGGTTATATGACCCCAAGGAAGGGGCACTTCAGAGGCACAACAGAAACAAGCTCTTGTCTTGTGGGCACCCACACTTTAAAAATTCCCATCTCCACCTTGCCTTCTAAACTTTCTCCAGGGTTTTCCCTTGAACCTGCCCCCAGCACCTCTGGCCTCCCTCCTCCTCTCCTCCTCTGCACGCTCCCTGGAGCTGTGCGTGAGTCTTGTCTTGCTTCCCACCCTAATCAGGCACCTCCGGGGCTCTCTTTTTCCTGTCATAGACACACACATTCTGTATCCCAATGGTATTCTGAACCCTGCCCTGTGATACTCTTTCACGAGCTACAGGCAAATCGAGTCACCCTTCTCTCAGAGCCTTGGCTCTAAAGATCCTGACAAGGAAATCCCATTTCAATAAAGTGGGGATTTAATTAAATAAATACACATTTAATTTCCCGTGCTTGGTAGCTTTCAAGAGACCATCAGTCATTTACTCTAAAGTGTATGCTTTAAGCGCTCGTGGGGTGCTTATTAGCCTCCGAATGGTGCCATCTCAGTGGGGTTTGGCCTGAGAAAGAGGCTGCTGATATCAGCGGCTCTGTGGCAAGCACACATCTCTTGTGGTGGTGAATGCATTCGGAGCAGCCTGCGTTCCCATGCAGCAATGCAGGCAGATGTGGGAGAATGGGAGACAGCAATAACCAGCCTCCTGTCTTTCTCCACACAGCTCATCCCTATGTGGTTGCCAATGATTCAGTCAAATACCAAGGTAAGTGGTCCCCTGCGCTGTCTGGAAGGTCTGCTTCCTCCAGTGAATCTCAGAGCATCCATAGGGGACACTGCTACTCCCTTGGCCATAAAGAAAGAACGATTCTGGCTGACTCCTTGTCTCATGGGTCGATAATACCGGAGACCTGTGGCAGGTAAGGGACCCGCAGAGGGCATCACTAGGAGCCCTGGTCCCACTGCTCACTGTGGATGAAGGTGCAGGAATGGAGGAGGCACTGCCTCTAGGTCTGAGCAGGTTCAGTCCACAACAAACCCTATTTAAGGAGGATAACTGTGGAGTCTGGCCCAAGCTTACCCGGTGATGTCATCTGATAACCAAGATTGATTTTCTGGGATGGAAAGAATTCCATTAAAAAAGGATAACACTGGCCGGGCGGTGGTGGCGCACGCCTTTAATCCCAGCACTCGGGAGGCAGAGCCAGGCGGATCTCTGTGAGTTCGAGGCCAGCCTGGACTACCAAGTGAGTTCCAGGAAAGGCGCAAAGCTACACAGAGAAACCCTGTCTCGAAAAACCAAAAAAAAAAAAAAAAAAAAAAAAAAAAGGATAACACTGAAGGAATGGCTAGAAAGAACCCACTTTCTTCATTTTACACGTGAGGAAATTTGGGACCATAAAGAACAGTGACTTGGATAGCACCCCAGGTCCTGGAAGGAGGTCCCCAGGTGAATGTATTTTCTAATGCCAGGTCTCACTGGGGGGTGACATTTTGACACATACCCCTTAGTGACAAATATAGTGAGGCTTGTCAATAAATGGGAGAGCCAAACACAGCACTGTCCACATCTGGTGCCTGATTGCGGCACCTGGAGTGTGGGGGAGGGGAAGAGGGCAGCAACACTCTTGGCAATATCTGCTTCCCCAGGTTGGGAAGCCATATTGTTTGGAAGGAGAGGGATGTGGACTCCAGACACCTGGGATATTAAAAGCCAGCAGGGCAGCTGTCAACGGTGTGGACAGCCTTTGCATCCTGACTGGCTAGCTGTGGCCACCGGCAGGGCAGGGATGTACAGACCACAGGGCAGGGATGTACAGACCACTAGAACCTACTCCGGTTCCGGTTTTCACTATCAAACCGAGCCACTAGCCTTCCTACCTGAGGCATTCCAAACTGCCAGCCCCACAGTTCACCTGCTTTGCGCTAATCTGTGGCAATTTCACATGGCATCAAGTACAGAGGGCAGACCAGGAGGGCTTGGTGAGGAACCGGGGAAGGAGGAGCTTTGACATGGCCTTCCTGTGTCAACAACTGTCATGGACACAGAGAGACCATTACAATATTAAAATGTACCGAGCATCCGCTATGGGCCAAATCCCCTTCTAGAAAGTCTGTTAACTCACTTGTCTTAGAGAGCTGTGAAATAAATATGTCCCCACCTGGTGGGGGGGGACTTAATACAGACTAATAGACCCTGTTCCCACAGTTCCCCAGGGGAACTGGGATTTGAAACTGGGAAGTTCCACTACAGAGCCCAAACACTTAACCACTGTTCTAGGCCCCTGTGCTGAATATGAGTGGTTGCTCAGGACCAATGCGTCAGGCCAGGTGCTGGGTGTCAGCTTCACGTTCCCATTGCAGTGAGTCAACATGAGCTCATCAGTATTTGGATGGAGTTGGGCCAGGATAACTGTAGTAACATAGAGCAGGCTCACCCCATCCCCACCCGCACCTCCAGCTCTGCCAGATTTGAAGGCAGGCTTGCTTCAGGCCAGACCTGTAGACTGACTGCCACGCCCATCCCTACCTGTAGACTGACTGCCACGCCCATCCCTACCTGACATGTGTACTTAGTGGGAAGAACTGAACTGTCTACCCTTTCCTTAACAGCACTTATCCGCCGGCCTCCAGCTCCGTCTCCAGGCCATTCAGAACAACGTGAACCACCACAGCCTAAGGACGCTGCCCGGCTCGGGCCAGAGCAGTGCTAGCCTGGCTGCCCTCCGCAAATGGCTGCAGTGCACCCAATTCAAAATGGCCCAGGTGGAGATCCAGTCCTCGGAAGCAGCTTCTCAATTTTATCCTCTATGAGTGGACTCCTCGGCTCCAGTGTCAACACTCTGGCTTAGCAATAATGGGTATAAAAAACAAACCATTTGATCCACGCAGGTTGGGGAACATTGGTACTGTACATTCTCTTTCTAGTTTAGTATAAAGACGTGCAAAGGCCGGAGAGGGCCACAAACGAAGCTTTCTTGCTACACATATTTCTGATGACTCCTTGGGCTATCTGATTAAGTGTTTCCTTACATTATTTTTTAAAAAAAAAAACCAAATCATTTTTCTTTATCTAACTTCTATTTTTTTTAAGAAAAAATAAAAAAAAAACAGACTGGTGGGTACTCACAGAAAAGTTGTATAAAGTCCCCCTGTTGCTATTTTTGATGATAGAGAATAAATAGGGTTTTTGAGAACTTTGTAGTGTTTTTTCTTAAAACTCTACTCTTGACAATGCAATAAAACAAAACGAAAACAAACAAAAGTCACCAGAGTCCAGTGACGACACCTGACTGAAGCTTTTGTCATTATCTTTGGAAAAGAGGCAGCTTGTAAGGAACATTACAAAGTGCACTTAGAAATTAGATGGTTAAACTGTGCCAATTGTTTTTTTTTTTAAATACACTTTCCAAAACTGTCTGGTAAGTCATTATTATTATTATTATTATTATTATTATTATTATCTCTTTTTTTGAGACAGGGTTTCTCTGTGTAGCCCTGGCTGTCCTGGATCTCGCTCTGTAGACCAGGCTGGCCTCGAACTCACAGAGATCTACCTGCCTCTGCCCTCTGAGTGCTGGGATTACAGGCATGTGCCACTACACCCAGAAAAGTCTTATTGTTTTTAAAACTAATTTTTCAACTCATTAGTTCCTGGATGTGCTTTCCTATAAGCTTTATGATAACTTTTTCAGATTTGGGCGTGATGGATTTTATGCCTTTGTTAATACTTGGATAGGACTCCATTCAAAACTGTAGACTGCACAGTGGACCAGAGAAGTCCCTGCACTGGTCCAGAGCACCGCCTCCTGAAGTTACATTTCATAAAATGAGTAAGAGCACCAAGGTTTGGGTACACTCACACTGTAGCAGTTGACTACTTACCCAGAGCAACTTCTCTTCTCCAACCTGTAATGCGCTGACTGAGAGAAGACACAGTATACGTTTAAGCTGTGTGCTGGCAGACTATTAAATGCATTTTTATTATCTTTGTGAGCCTGGGGCTTTTTAAAGTCACTTTCCAGCACTAGCGTTCAGTTCCTGGCAACCATCTCCTCAGGACTTTTATAGATCCCCCTCTAAGGCTGCAATTATTCAGAGACAAGGGTTTCCCTTCTTATCTGCTCCACTCTCTTGAGGAGGACTTTGAAAGCACAAGATAATACCCCTTTTTAAAATGAGTTGCTTATCAAGAGTCTCCTCTTTTCTCCTGGGAAGTTCCATGTGCTTCTCAGGGGGAAATGAGTCCTTGGCGGGGTGTGAGTGCTCCAGGGAGGACCACAGAGCCCGGTGCTTCTGAGAACCTGCAGGGAACCTACTGGGCCCTGTGACAGGAGCACCAAAGTGACGCTTTTGTACCATCTGACAGGTCTTGCAAAAGGCCTTTTTGGGCAATCAAAACCCTCCTCTGCCCCTGGTCACGAGTGGCTGTGTTTCTGTGACCATTCTATGTTACAGTAAGTCGTGCACATATATATTTTGCTTGTAAATGGTGACAGGCTTGGGGGCATGTACCATCCCCATCCCCAGAGTTTGGCACATAGTACGTGTTTAATAACATCTGCCTAATTGAATGCATTTTTTTTTTTCTTTTTTGCTATCTAGTGGGCTCAGCCGGGGCTGAATTATGACATCCTGCTTCTGTTCAAAGATTCCTAGGATGGGTTACCAACTGGAGGAGGCAGTTCTAACTGCTCTCTTGGGGAGTTGTTTTGCTGACTACCCCATCCAAGCTCACCTGTAGGCCCCAGGCAACCTAGCTCTTAGTGGCCACATTCTACCCTTAGACAATGCCCGCTTCTTCTCCAATTTGTCTTTGCTCCAATTCCTTGAACAAGCTTCTGCCTTTACTTCCCTTTTGTTTGTATCCTCAGTGAGGGTTGGAAATGAACCCTTACACTCAGCGTCTGGACCCTGTGGTCTTAATCTGTTACCACCTACAGGTATGCACCCACACACCTATCTCCTTGCACTTGAGGATTGTGATCATTTTTTATTGTCAGCTTGACACTGACCCTGTCCCTGTGGTCATATACTACCACTTCCCTGGTTGACAGAGATCCATAAATGACCCAACTTACACTGTATCCACAGATGCCAGTATTCCACCCCCCCCACCCCCCGCCCCACTCCTCCACTCCCCGTTACCTTATGTCAGCCCTCCGGCAACTGAGCTCAGGTGCTTAGGAGACAGGAAGAACTGGGGACATTTTAACAGGATTGCCCCACAGAGGTCAAGGACAAACAAACTAAAGTCACAGTCTAGATGCCGTCTACAGGCCAGATGCTGTCCACAGGCAAGATGTAAGATGTAGTTCACAGGCTAGCTACTGTCCACAGGCTAGATGTAAGATGTGGTTCACAAGCCAGATACTGTCCACAGGCTAGCTCCTGTCCATGGACCAGACACTGTCCACAGGCCAGAGGCTATCCATGGCCTGTTCAAATGTGGTTGGACAAACCATAGCTACCACTCACATGTGGACTGTGGCTAATCTTGTGTTGCATTTGCAGAGCTAAGTTGCCACAAATACAGTAGGCCAGAAAGCTTCTTAATGCAGACACCACATGGTCCTTCAGAATGTATGCTGACCCTTGTCCCTCGTAAAGGCCACCAAAGAGCACTGAGCTGGAACCCCACTACCTCAGGAGGCTTGTGATTTCATTATTAGTGTTTCCTCACCTGTTAAATGGGAACAATGACACATTCTACCTCATAGGGTTCTTAATGCAAAAAAAAAAAAAAAGATAAAAGGATACAAATTTTAATGAAGCTTGGAGCACTCAGGAAATTATTATTTTTATTCTTGCTAAAGCTTAGAGAGGTAAAGATACTCATCCAAGGTCATATTGCTTGTAAGGGACAGAGACAAACTTGGTCCCCAAGCCCAAGGACTATGCTCCCAACCAACCATCTCCTATGTTAGCGTAAGCTACATATATCCCACACCAGTGCCAGATAACAGCTGTGAAAGCAAGGGCAAGATGCCACCTGACCCAGGTGTGGCCAGCACTAGTGGCTTTTAGAAGGTCAAGGAGTCCCTTGGTTTTCCTTCCATTGGAGAAGTTTACTGGTTTTGGTGTCATCAGGTCATTCTGAGGTGCCTGAGAGTGTCACAGGCCCAACTCTTCCTATACAAAGATTCTGTTCTCAATGCTGTGTCACAGTGGTCATGCCTCTTACTAGCTGGCTTGGACAAATTATTGTGTCTGGACCTTTGTTTTCCCTTTCTGTAAAATGGGTCTTTTCACCAATCCTGGGGTGATGGAAAGTCCCAGCGGGCAGGGACGGTGATGCTGCTGGGAGACCACGAGTATCCACGAACCTCTGGAGGACTGCTGCTACCCACCAAAGACATGGAAGAGGACGGCTCACAGCTGCAGGTTTTCCCTCAAGCCAGTGCATCTGAGTCAAGATCCACAAGACCATGGGAGCCAAAATGTGGTCATTAGTCAACAGTTCCCAGACTCCACTGTTTGTCACTTCCTTGCAAGCCCATCGTTCCACCATACACTGAGACGTCTCCAGCCATCTCTTTCCTTAAGAGCCTCCTCTCAGGCCAAGTGGTCACAACAGCTTCATCTCCACTGTCAAGTGACAACAGAGCAAAGCAGTCGGGATCAGGTCAGAGAAGATGGGTCATCCAGCAGGACTCTGATGAGCTGGGATTGGAGGGTCACTGCACTCATTGGACAGTGCAGACACTGTACTACACTTCTCTACTAGGATTGACTTGCAAATATGTATATTGGACAAATGAACTGTTTTGACAATAATGACTCTTGTGCAGAATGGAATGGGTAGAACTCATTGCACAGTATAAAACCAGGGTGTTATGAAGGGTGACCCATGAACCATGATGTCTGGGCTGTTAAAAGAGAAGTTGGCCAGCTGCTCCCACAACTGAGGAGTAAGCAGTGGGCCTATAGGAAGGACCTTCAAGGGAATTCATACCAGCCACTGTCTATTGAGTGTCTACAAGGTTCCAAGTCCCTTCTAGACATTGGCCTGACTCTCCTGCCTGAGACGGGTAGTGAGAGTCTTCCCATTTTTGCAGTTGGGCTACTCGGGGCCCCTGAGTTAAGTGCCTGCTCTGGGCCATGAGCTGGCAGTGGCTTACACTGAAAGCTTTATGCTCCCAAGTCAGTGCTTCACTAGAAATCGCTTGTTTTCTCCTTGACTGAGCTGTGTCAGAGCATGGGCTAGAGAAGTCTGGGGACTTTCCTGAGGTATTTCTGTTCATTGATTGTCCTCTGTTTTGTACTCAAAAGGGAGAGAGAGGAGAGAGAGAGCGCCACCTCATCTGACAACAAAGGTGTTTTCCCTCTATCTTTGGGAATTAATTTCTGTGGAAAAAATATAGATCACAACTTGAATCTCATTTAGTTTCCCTAATTACTGTAATATATATATATATATATATATATATATATATATATATATATATATATATTATATAAAAGAATGAATTTGTCTATAGGAGAAGTTGAGGCGGGAGAATCACAAGTTCAAGGCCAGCCTGGGTAACTTAAACCCTGTCTCTAAATAAAAATTAAAAAGGACTTGGGGTGTAGGTTGATCGTAGAATGTCTGCCTAGTGTATGCAAGGCCCTGGGTTCAATCCCTCGTGCCACAAAATTAATAATAAGGAAAAGAATAAACTTGTACACACTGAAGGTTGCAGTGATGAGCTCTTCAGTTTGGAATCTACTGAATGGGATTCACTCAGTTCTGAAAAGACCTGCCCCGAATTAATTACAGCCACAGATAGCAGTGGCAAGGGCTTACTACATGTCACATGCTTTTGATGTAATGATGTCATCTGACCGTCACGACGATGGGAAATAGGCACCCCTAATCCCTTAACTATGAGCCTTACATAAGAGACAAGAAAAGGAGGCTCTTTGCAGGAGTCCCTCAGTGAGGTAGCAGCAAGTGTCTGCCTCCTGCAGCCTCTGTCGTGTGCGTTACAGAAACTAGCAGCTAGACACTAGGAAGGTCCTTTGCTACTCATCTGACCTGCAAGACAATTTAGAACTATTTAGACACAAAGGCACCAGTGGACAGCTTGCTGGCTGACCTTGTCATAGTGCCTTTTGTGTGGGGAGCTTGCAATTTTATTCCTTCTTTTGATTGGAGTACCTGTGGTTGAAGATCATGTGGTCTCCAGCATGGTCTAGCTCCCACCACTGATCTGGCCTCACATGGTCTAGCTCCCACCACTGATCTGGCCTCACGTGGTGTAGCTCCCACCACTGCTCTGACCTCAGGGTCAGAACCAATACCTCAGCCTCTGAACAGAAATCCCGTGGTCTTTGAGCCAGTCCCTGGCCTGGCAACCTTCCCTTGTTTACCTGCTTGCCTTGCAGGCTCTGGGTTTACTACCTTCGGCTTAGACTGAACTCTAGCTTATAGGTCCCAAGAGTCCCTTGGCCAGCAGGGACAAAGGGCAAAGGCCAGAGCAGGGCTTGAGACCGTGCTCTTTGCGTCACATTGGCCCTCCTGTTCTTGGCTGGCTTCACTCCTCTGCTGTGAGCTCTGGGATGCCAACGACCCCACACCATGCTGAATTCTTCCATAGGGAAGCTGAGGTCAGGTGGGTATGCCGAGGTGAGCCCCGGGCACAAGCTGCACTCTGCAAGGTGCACATGTGACTTGAGTCTTTGGTTGTTTCAGGAACAAATGGCTTTTTAATTACACAGCCTAGACAGGTCCTTGTGGGCCAGTGGAGAAGGGTACCTCCTGGGGCTGTCTGGCTGCCACCTTGATTTCCACCCCTTCAAGTGGCCACTTAGAAAAGAGAGGAATCGTGGATCATCAAGCTGAAGGACAGGATGGTTGCACTTTCCAGGTGAGGACAGTCACACTTTCCAGGGGAGGGGGAATTGCAGAGCTGGAGACAGATGGGGTAGGAGTACTTGGCAGATAGCAGAGTATGGGGGTCTTCAACCTGTGGGGCATGAGCTGGGCTTCAATGGTGATCCGAGGGGATCGTGCGGACATGGGCTTTACAGCTGGCTTGGGTTCAGGACCTGCATGTTCTCCTGCCTTCTGACCATAGGTGAGATGCCTAAGCTTCCGCTCCGTTAGCTGTAGAATGGAGGTGACAGTGCCCCAACCCTATAAAAAGTACACGAAGAGTTGCTGTCCATCTTCAGCACCGAGAAAGCCTGCTAGTAAGACCAGGATGAGCTCTTCTGGGACCTGCCCCATCCCGGGTCTGTATGGCACCACATACTCTTCAGTCTGTAATGCTGGCGACAGCTGCTGTTTTGCTGAAGAGCAATCACAGCTTGCGATGGGCACTTGGCTCCCGTTCCTCAGTGTGCTGTTCCCACGCTGCCGAGCTCCATGTGCTGACTCAAGGCTCCCCACGATTCCAAGTCTGAATGAGCAACTGGGGAATCCTCCTCCACATGGCATGCTCTGCCAGCATTTGGAGTCACGTGGCGTGAGTGCAGCACAGTGTTTGTAATGGGGATAATATTTTGAAAATAATAACTGCATATGTTTTTTTTATCCTCTCCAGGAAACAGCACGACTCAGTCTCTTCTGTGGATGGTGGGCAGGAGGAGACCAGTATGTGGGGAAAGCTCTGGTTGGACAGGCTGAGAGCAGAGAGCCCACCTCTTCTGGACCCTGGTGGATGGCCAGCCAAAGGAAGAGGAAGTAGGGAGGGCCTGGAAGCCAGGGCATATGTCTGTATCTTTCCTCAAGAGGCTGTGGAGTTGCAAAGCCAGACGTGTGCCTGGGAGTCCTGGAAGTGTCTACAGCTCTTTGGCCCAGTGCCTGATCAGAGGCCAAAATCCCCAAAGGGCTGGGGGCTAAGAAAATAAGACACATCAGGAGGACATTTATAGTATGAACATTGGGGGTCAGCTAGTGACCCCAAGGGCTAGAAGAGCCAGACATAGCCTGATCATCCCACGAAGCAGCCAAGCTGGCCCTTCTGCAGCAGAGAATGGAGACCACTGAGGAAAACCCTCCAGCCTAAGGCCAGCTGCTGTGTATCCATGACTACCGTTACCTGCTCAGTGGCTCAGGTTGGTGCCTTCGAGAGGGGAGTGGCCCTTGGAATGATGCCACAGTGTCTAGCCACAGGAAACTAAGCTGTCTGAATGACACTAGTGAAATGGGGGGACACACTATCCCCCAGTATAAGTTCAGGTTTGACTACACCCAACTGTGTGCTGCAGGAGGGCGTTTATACAAAATAAAATGCTCTCTTCTTTATGCCCGTGTATACTGTGTGAAATTTGTAAACCACTGTGTACCGGTTAATTTAACAAATATTTCCAACTTCAGGCATGTTAGGATGTTTGGAGGGCTGGAGATTTGGTAATGAGTAAGACCCAAACCCAGAGAAGGCCCCTGTTCCTGTATGAACGCCTTCTAACAGGGCTTGAGCGGGAAGCATGAACACAAACCAGCAATTAGTCTTAGGTGGACAGGATTGCCATACTGAAGCTAGATTAAGGTGATAGAATGGAGAGAAGCTGGCCGTGGTCAGAGAAAGCCACGGGTGATGAGAGGAAGGGCCAGTCAGAGCTTATTCTGCCCCATTCAGGTGAGAAAAATTGAGGCTCTGAGAGGGAAGAGCCTGGCCCGAGGTCACCTGTGCAGTGATCTTTGCTAGCTCCAGCTTCCAGAGGCTGGGATGGCTAAAAGATTTGCCCCTTTCCTAAGGTCTGAAGAAGTGTGTGTGTGTGTGTGTGTGTGTGTGTGTGTGTGTGTGTGTGTGTGTGTGTGTGTGTGATGGACCCTATGCAATCTGTGAGCCCATCTAAGTTGGAAGAATTGAAACTCGTGGCCATGCAGAGTTGGGTCTCAACTACATCTCTGCTTCCTTGCTGTTTTTTCTGAGCCCTGGCAGCCCCTTAACATTTCTGAAGCTTAGTTTACCCTCTATAAAAGAGCTGGGTCTCTAGGCTAAAGGGGAGGGTTCAAGTTGAGGTATAGAAGTGCTGGAAAGCCGACCCTGGGTGTTCCTTGCCTCCATTCCCTCATCACCGGCTACCTGCTTGCACATTAAGGACCCATTGCCACCGTCAGCTTGCTCCTTAAGGATGGAGCCCGGTCTGTTCCCTTCTGTATCCCCAGGACACAGCATGGGTATGGGTGGGTCAAGAGTATCGAGGGGCTTACAGGGTCACATGGCAGGATAATATGAGAGGTCGAACCCACAGGGGAGGACAGGAAATGAGAGCTACACATGGGGACTAAAGGGGCATGTGACTGGCTCTGGGCAGGATGCGCGAGTGCTCCAGGCTTAGGAAGGAGGCAGCCTCAAGGAGGGAGCTGGCTGGCAGGTTAGATAGCAGGGGGAGGCAAGCCAGATGACCAGGACTGGCCAAGGAGTGAGGATAGCAAACTGAGGCACACAGTCAATCGAGCTAGGGGTGGGAGTGAGTGGTGGGGGCGAGCTGGGGCGGGGGGAAGCAGCAAGGCTCGGGGCAGCAAGACTGAAGACCAAGGCCAGGGAAGGAGCCACAGTAGCCAATGGATGCAGCAGAGGAAAGGCAGGGGAGCAGATGGTAGATCAAGGAAGAACTGCAGTTGGGTGGAGAAAGGGACCTGAAGTGAGATGGGACCTGGACTTGGTGGCTGGAAGGGAGGAGCTGGGAACATGGATGCGGCTTGAAGAGCAGCCTGAAAGACTGAGGCACTGAAAGACTGAGGCACATTCCAGGAGCTGGGACTCAGGTGGGGAAAGCTGGACTTGTGTTCAGCATGGCACCTGGGCAGTGGCAGAGTCCCTTTCTTTGGAGAGAGAGGGAAGAGAGAAGGAGCTGGATGACACCTGTTGGGGGGGGACCCCAGCAGTAAGGGGAGGACAGGGCTTGGGAAGTGCCCCACCCCAATACGGGAGAGAGGGATGGGGCCTGGATAGACTCAGCATTGCAGGTGACCCATCAAGGGAACTGTCAGATGGCCTGTGAGCTGAGGTTTGGATTGGGATGTGGCACCAGTCGGGTGGGGTGACCTATAGTAAGGGGACCAGCTGGGGTACAGCAGCTGGGCAGGACTGACTTCCAGGTGCCTCTCAGTGTGTTTAAGTGGCACACTTTAGAGAAAGAAGGAGGAAGAAAAAGTGGCTTGCCACCACTGCTTCCATGGGCCCAAGGCTGGTTTTCTGTCTCTCCTCCAGCTGCCAGGCCAGGCACCCTGTGGGTGACACTGCTATCGTATCTGCTGGTGGCAGCTAGGCCCCCTTCACAGGACATGCTGCTGTCTGGTGAGAGCAGTGTACGGTGTTGATCATTGGAGCTGAAACCAGCAATGAAGACCCCAGAGAGGAGAGCTAGGGTGGGGACGAGACACCTCGGGGAGTCTGGTGGCCACTGCTCTCTGCTGATGGCCTGCCCCTCTTCATCTCCCAGTCTAGCCTTGGAGCCCTATTCCTGGGCACAAAGGGACAGAGCCTTACACACAGGCTGGCTGCTCTCTGCCTTGTCCTCTGCTGGTCCCGGGATTGTGGCTGTGGAACCCCATCTGGGGTGCACAGGAGTGTGTGTGAAGCTTGAGGTGTTTCTACCAAGGTAGAGGAGCCAAGTCAAAAGCCTGGGTGGCCTGGGTGTTTTCACTGACTACGATATGGACAGTAACTGTAACGATGGCCCTTCCACTGTGGGCCTGCTTGGGAATGGGGGTTTCCATCGATGGCAGCTCATCAGGACCCGGTGATGCTGGGAAAATGTATCAAGAAGGGTATGTCCTGAGAAAAACATCTCTGGCTCAGTGGGGATCTCTACAACTCCTCTCATTTCCCTGGTGCCTGGGATGCAGATCCTTGCCCAAAGCCCTGTCTTGAGTGGACAGCCTCCTAGACTAGGGGCCATCTGGGAGCCACCCAACCCGAGTTCAGGACATGGAGGGCTCTTTTGTCCTCCCCCCGTTACTGAAGTTACTGAAAGATTGGGAACCTGATGGAGTAGGAAGAAACAATTGTGCCTCAATGATGGGGAAGACGGTCTATGTTGGGGGTCCCTTCAGTCATTAGCAGAGGCTAGTGCTGAATGTTTAGGCTCCAAGCCTAGCCTCATCTTTGTTGGCTAGTCTCTGTGAGGGGCCATCAGAATCCCTTCTCAGATTCATCTTTTTACTTGAAGATGAGGATAACGGCATTCTCTCTCCTAACATCCTGGCACATCTGCAAGGACTCCCCCTCATCCACAGAAAGATGGAAGCTTGGTGAAATTTTCCTGGTGGGGCCTGGATTTGTGCACAGCCCTCAGTGCCTCCTGCCCTACTTCCTCCAGGCTCGGGACAATCTGAGGTGGACCTGCTGTTCCTGAGGTCCCTTTGCTGGAGCACACGTCAGGCCAGGGAATTAGGTTTTGATATCCAGGAAGGGGTGGATGTACGAGGACACGGGCTACAGGCTCAACCCCACTCCTCCTCCAGCATGCACAGGAGCTCCTCCATCCTGGATGCCCACAGCATGGTCAGACCACTCTACTGGAGCTTTCCAGATGTGGGTCTTAGAAGTCCTGGGTCTGAACTGGTTCCACTCAGGCAGACTGGAAAGGCTTGTGGCTCTAGTATCAATTCAGATGGAGGTGGTGGGTGAGAGGATGAGAGACAGGACTGGCCTGAGAAATACCAGCCCTGGGGCTGGAGAGATGGCGCTTCATTAAGAGCACTTGCTGTTCTTGTAGAGGACACGTTTGGTCTCAGCACCCACATTGGGTGGCCCACAACCATTCATAACCCCAGTTCCAGGGACATCTGACACCCACTTCTGGCCTCCAAAGGCACCAGGCACACACATGGTACACATACACACATGCAGACGACAACACACACACACACACACACACACACACACACACACACACACACACACACACACACACAATAAACAAACAAACAAATAAATAAACAAAACCCAAATCTTCAAAAATGAAATAAACAAAAACACATTCCCATGACTTTAGGAAAAATCAATAGACAGTACCTTCAAGGGGCGCAGCCCTCCCTGGGTTCCCAACAGCATGCTTGCTCTTTCTCATGCATGTTCGGGGCCAAGCACCCGCTACAGACAACCGTGACAGCCACCTTTATAAGTATATTTTTATTGACAATAAAAAAATCTCAATGCTTCCTTCCTTGCAAGGAAGGAGCTGCTGAGTCTTGACGTGTGCATCTGCCCGCCAAGACAGAACACCAGCGGCGCGGTCACCTCCCATACACACGCATTGCTAAGAAGGCAGAGGTCAGGGGATTTACATTCATGCAATGCAGGTCTCACACTACCTGGGCTGTTTAGGTCATATTTATACAGACTTGAGTACAGTATTTATATATATATATTTGTATAGATAGATATCTCTTTAAATATATATAACTATATATAATATGCCTATTTTTTACATCTATTATTCTTTCATCCAAAATGTCTGCTAGCAGGCTTGTAGAAACACCTGGTAACTGGGAGATCCTAAATGCCGCTGAGTTCTGACATGACTTGAAAACAGTGTAAAATATCTGGGTTAACATGTGGACATGGACGCTTCACCTGACTTCTGCATTCAGGCTGCTTGGTGAACTGGTCTTAGTGGAGCTGCTGTGGGGTCCTTTGAAATGATGCTCTAAGTTCACACTCTTGGTTGACATGATTATGTTTCAGCCATGTGGGTTTAAAAACTAGTGGCTTCTGTTGTGATGTAAGATGCGTCCTCTCAATGGCCAGTCCTGGGCTTGGGGGTGCTGTTCTCTAGGGACACCCTTTTAAACCTGGGCCCTTCCCTTGATTTCCCCTAATTGTAGAATGCGATGGTACAACCCCACTAAAAAGAATATACATGTACACTAGCCAAGCACAGCGGAAACTCAGCTATGGTCCCTGCCTGGAAACTCAGCTATGGTCCCTGCTGGCTAATAGCATGTACACTGTGGGCTTTCTAGATTTAAGCCAAGGTCAGGACGTGGGTGCACGGAAATCTCAGACTCTGCCCAGCCCTTCATGTCCCCTGGCAAGGAGCTCCCCTCCAGCTACAGGGGTCCCTTCCTCACTCCCGGGCCTTGAGAGCCCAAGGTGGGAGTGGGGGAGTGTTATGCTCTCCTGTGAGGCTCCAGAGTGTGTGTATGTGTGTTTACAACTAAGGCCCAGCTCTCCTATCTATCCAGTGTCTGCTGCAGGCACAGGCACCGGGAGACTGTGGCCCTACTCTCAATTTAGATCAAGGTGGCGGTGGGGTGTGTGTAAAGGTGGGAGACAGGGTACTGGGGTGGAGCCTGCCAGGTTTCTCACCCCTGTCTGCCTGTCCCTGATCCACCTCCTCTGGCTTCTTCATCACTTGGAACCACATCCAAAGAGGACTGCCAGGTGTCCCCCTGGGTGAGGTGAGGGCAGCCCCACAGAAGGCTCTTGGCAACCCCATGCCAGAGCTAAGGTATGCTGTGAAGGTGAAATTCAAACCCAACCCAAAACCATGTCCTCAAGGAAAGGAGGGTAAATGTCAACTAATGGAGGCATGCCCTGGACCTCCCCTTAGCCTGCACCCCTTAGCCTGTACCTATTGACTCAGGAGCAGGGCAGTGGCAGCTTCAGGGTACCCATCCACTTGGGACTGATTTTTTTTTTTTGTCCCTCAGTTTTACCTGGCTTTGAAATTCTCATGTAGCACAAACACCCACCAGAGAAGATCTCTGGTGGCTGAGGAGGAAGCTAATGAACTCAGCTAAATCTCTACACTGTGGGGGTGTTGCCTTCCAGTAGGCCAGTTTCCTTCTAGGCAAGTACATGGGGCTGGTGAGGGGAGCCGGGCGGGGGGCCAAGGAACATAAAATCACAAAGGTCAAGGGATGTGCCTCACTGTGTGGGTGGCCTCCAGGGAAACAAGCCTGTGGGCAGAGGGTTAGCAAGGCTAGATGGTTGTTTACCACTTTTCCTTCCCCACATTTGGGAGGGTTTGGCGCCTTTAGAGCCCTGGCCACAGAAAGCCACTTCTGGGAGACACAGAAGAAAGCCACCTTCTCCTGGGAACTTTCTGAGTACCAAATTGAGGTTTCAAGGGACTGTTGGGGGTAAGTAGGGGGCACATAGCACCAGACCAGCATCGGCCTGGCACAGAGTGCCCACATGGGTTTGGCACAAGTTGTGACCTCTGCCTGGTGAGGCAGGGCCTGGCTCACATTGATGCTTCCTGAAGAGCCAGATGTGGGGTGTCAGAGCAGGTGCAAAGGGAACCTCTGACTTTCTTGGGACACCCTCAGCCTGGGCTTATGGGAGACACTGAGTCCACTCCCAGGGGACTATATAGGCTGGGCTCACTGCTTCCTGAGGCAGGCATGCAGTCAGGAGCCACAGGCTAGGCTGTGGGTGGGCAAAGGAGGGTGGCACGGGCTCTGGAGACGGAAGACCACAGCAGATACAGTTATGGACAGATGTGGGAAGCACCTTTGGAAGGGGACATTTGTCTCATGGCTGTGTGATGGCTTTTGTTAGAATGTCCACAGAGAAGCAGGTGAGCTTCCTGCATGAGAGGAAGCTTCCAGATTGGAGTAGTCCCTGGATCTCCTTTCTTCTGGTTAAAGTGGGGTGTCTTTCTGCCCCAGGCAGACAGACAGATAGACCCTCTACTTTCACTGGAGTACGTGCTTTCTCTAGCAACTGGGTGACAGTTAGTGCGCCCAACACAAGACAAGAAGAAGGGTATGGAGAGCCCTGGGTGGTGCTGCTGCTTAGGGGCCACATGCAGGGGAGCCTGGCTCAAGCCTGGTGTCTGTGCTGCACCCCCAGGGGTTGACCAGGGCTAGCCTGGGAAGAGGATGCTTTCTCTTTCAGGAGGCCCGAGGCCCGTAAAGCATGAAGTCCTGGACAGGCCCAGGGTCAGCTCATGTCCACCTGTCATCCCATGTCCAACAGTGCCACCAAGGTGCCCTTCCAGCCAGTGGGTCCAGGGCCTGCAGATTCATACTACCGCAGTGTTCACATCCACCCCTTTGCTACTCTGGGATGAGCTCATGGGATATTCAGCAACACTGGTGCCATTTTCATCTTTTCTCAGTGGTTTCCTAGAAAGGATTGGGGAGGGGAACAAGGACATCGTTAGTTGCAAGCAATTGTGATAGTGTAACCTCCAAACCAGAGTCCAGGTTAGCACCTCTGTGGGGTCAATCAGAAGCCAAGTAGACTCTTAACTAGGGTGACCATATAATTTCATATACAAACCAGGGCCTATTGACAAGGAAAGATGGGACAGGGACAAGTCTGAATTGGAACTGTTCTGGACAACCCAAAATGTGTGGTCAGCCTAGTATGATCAAGCTCTGATTGATCCCTTTGGGAGCAGTTGGTTCATAAGGAGCGGCATTAGTAATTGGATTTTGCATCCTGCCTCTGTGCAATCAAAACAATGGTAAATGTGATGAATGAATGGTAAGGGTGGTGGGTGGCATTAGTGATGCTGGCTGGTGATGGTAGTGATGGTACAGGTGATGCTGGTTATGGTGATAATTGTGGTAGAGGAGATGTTAGTGAAGTTAGTGTTGGTAGAAGAGATGATGGTGGTGGTTGCCGTGGAGATGCTGGTGGTGATGGTAGAGGGCATGATGCTGATATAACCATGATAATGTGATAATGACGGTGAAGGAGGTGGTGGAGATGCTGGTGGTGACGGTAGAGGGGATGATGGTAGAGGAGTTGGTGATGTTAGTGATGATGATGATGATGATGATGATGATGGTGGTGGTGGTGGAGATGCTGGTGGTGACGGTAGAGGAGTTAGTGATGTTAGTGATGATGATGATGATGATGATGATGATGGTGGTGGAGATGCTGGTAGTGACAGTAGAGGAGTTAGTGATGTTAGTGATGATGATGATGATGATGATGATGATGATGATGATGGTGGTGGAGATGCTGGTGGTGATGGTAGAGGGGATGATGGTAGAGGAGTTGGTAGTGATGTTAGTGGTGATGACGGTGGAGGAGGAGATGGAAATGCTGGTGGTGATAGCAGAAGTGATGATAGTCTTGGTAGTTGTGGTAGTAATGATGGTGGGGCAGATGGAGGTTATGGTAGCGATGGTGGGGTATAATAGCCGTGGTCATGGTTGGGTTGATAGTGGTAGTGGTGGCAGTGATTGTGGTGATGATTGTGGTGGTGATAATGATAAAGAATTCCCAAGCTGAGTTAGCACACACCAGTGGTTCTTTAACAGTTTTCATTGAACCATCTGAAGCTCATTTTAGAGGCCACTGAACCCAAGATCCATTCCCCTTATGTACACAGGGATCAGGAAAGCCAAGAGGGAGGTCCTGAAAACGGTATAGTCTACTCGCTGAGAGTGTAAAAATCACAGTGCTATTTCCTCACCTGGCTGAAGTCCTCTTTCCTCCTTTGAGTCATTCGGGGGGGTCTCTGGCCTCTACCCTGAGTATCTACAAACTCCTGGGCTGGACTGTACAATCTGTATTTCACACCACTATACTGCTGTCTCTTAGGTAAAGATGACTCCAGTTACACATAGCTCAGGCACCTCCTATGTTCTCAGAGGTACCCGGATGAATGGCTCTTGCTAAGTATTATCTAGACATTTATGATCATCTTCAAAAGCTCAGGGATTGATTGCTTCTGCCTTCTCAAGCACCCTTAGAGTCTCCCGCAAAGACAGGATGAGCAGGCATGGTATTTAGTGACTGGTTCAAAGACCTTCGGATGGACTCAGCAAAACCTCAGCAGAGGGGAAGGCAGGCAGGTGGTCAGTGGAGTCACAAGACGATCAGGACTTCTCACATGACACACTAAGGTCAAGTCTATTCACATTCCCCTTTCTTGTAGCAGAAGTTGTTCACAGAGGAAATCACCCCAGATGGCTGAGCCTAGCCGCTGTGGCTTTT